AAAAAAAAAAAAAAAAAAAAAAAAAAAAAAAAAAAAAAAAAAAAAAAAAAAAAAAAAAAAAAGACCTACTAACTGAAACAATAAATAAATAAATACATAAATAAATCCTTTTGCACTTAAATTTCCTTTTTTTCAGTGGTCCCAAAATGATAAAGAATAAAAAGTTATGCACAAACTGACAGACTGCCAAATTACTGTTTACTTTCACTACTTAAAATCATTGCCATCTTTAACACTCAGAGAGCACTTCTTTTCGTTATTACTCATCTCCCCTCTGTTTATTAAAGCAATCATAGGCCACTGGGAGTCTCTCTGCCGAGACAATGTTTGCCATTACCAATTAAGAAAGCGCATTGGCATAATAATAATAACCAAATGAAAATGAATGATACATCTTCAAAATTGAATCATATTTGTGACAAGACGCTGTGGTAGTAAATATATCAACTCATAGTGACACTCCACTGATAATGCTTCAGCACAATCAGAAGTTAACAACCGCTTCCAATGATGGATGGACTGTCTGATGACTCATTCACAATTGTTTTTGTGACTGTGTGCATGAGGATTCTGGTAGTATTGTCTGTTGACAAGCTGTCAATGGTCCTGTTCACATTGGTCATAATCAAGATAAACTTTGACTGATTGCAATCAATTCTGACTGACAGAAAGGCACCTGGTGTAACACCTACAGTAGAAAGCTCAAACTGAACATCTATAAGGATGCCATATCATGTTAACTTACTGGGAGCAGGTTCCTTCAAGCTGACAGTCTTCTAAAATCATAAAAACAGACCATCCACTTTACATGGTAAAAGTGTCTTTCAAGCAAGTTTTAAACATCACAACCCTGCCCTTGTCAATTGAACAAATGCATTGTTAGCAAACTAAACTAATTCTACTCCAGTTAAAAACTGAAAAAAAAGTTCCTTGAGCAAAGTATCACTGGTCTAGTTAAAAGATACTAATTGGCTAACAACACATTTGCAGCAACAAGAAGCCCACGCAGATTCTCTCTTCAAACTGGAGAAGAAGCGTTTTATTATTTGTTAAGTGGAAACATGGCCATGGGTGACTTATGCCTAACTATGGTCACTAAGCTGATCTCATAGTATTGACACATTATTGCCTGGTGGAATTATTAATTAATACCTTAAACAAAATCAGTTGTCTAGCCAACTGAGGATTGATTACGAGTTATTGTTTTATTGATTGTGTCTGGATGCAGTATTGCACCGCTGATACAACAAGGCTCCATAACAATATGTCACTAAGAGTCAAACACATTTCTACCAGCGATGCCAACTCTAACGATACACAATGAAATGCTCTATGCAGATAATGGCTGTTCATCAATGTTCTTTTTTCAAAATCATTTATAGGGCTGTTTGAATTTCACACAAATTATCAAATTTATTTTTCTAAGGCTTATTTTTTATCATTTTTTAACCCCAATTAAATGTTCAAGAGTCACATGCAACTGCCAATGGCATATTGACAATGAGCTTTTAACAGACGAGTCCTTTCGGCAATATTCACCACTAATAAATTGAATTCAAGGAAATTTCTGAAGAAAACTCCTATTTGAGGAAATGGTAAGATGTACTATTTCTGAGTTAATGATGCAGCTACTTCATTCCCTGTCTCTTGATAATGAGATTTTCTAGACACAAGTTTTTGGTTACAGAAGCCTCATTCCCTATGTCTCTCCTGTTCCCCTGGGCTGACTACAGGGAAATACAGAAAATTGAATCACCTTAACTGGACTTCCTTGCCAATATTTTTGTTCTTTAACAAAGACGGTTATCATGAAAAACAAAGTTAGATTTCTGACATTTTGCCACAGTGGCATGTACAAACATGAACTTTTTATGAGCCTTCGGTTGAGCAGACAAGATGGAAGAGAACCCAGGGAAATAAAACAGGAGCCTCGAGTCCCCAGGCCTCAATAAAATCATAAAAAAGGAGAAAAAGTTCTGATTTGGTTTGTTGCTATGCATCCAGACAACTGATCATGCAACTGCCCAATCAAACATAAAATTTTGATGTCGCCAGGACAAGAAGTGCATTGTTCACGAGTGTGGACTCCCCATACTGCTATTGCTCCGCAGGCACCCAGAATCCCTTGTGATATGTCTTGGCAATAAGACCTCATATGACTTGAGTAAATCTTTCAGGTGATTCAATCACCTGACTAACTCTCTTTTGTTACTGCTGTCCTCTTGAGTGACACTTTCATTTTCCTCGATGAATCCAGGGAGTGAAATGGGAAATGTTACTTTTCATCAAGAGCAAATGAAAACATGAGTACATTTCTAAGAAAAGCTCAAGGCCTAGGTGAGACTTTTTCATTATCTCTCTGTCACAGATCTCAAAGAAAACAACATTGGGTGCTTTCGAGTTCATACCACCACAATAATTAGTGAGAAAAAGTATGCTGTGGTTCATCTGTGTCTTCAAAGCAGATAATGTGTGTGTGTGTGTGTGTGTGTGTGTGTGTGTGCGCGCTTGCGTGTGTGTGTGTGTGTGTAGGTGGGTGGGTGTGCATTTTATGTATTTTAAAGCCTGACTTAATCATAAAATATGCACAAAGTACCTGAGCAGCAAATTGGATACATTGTAGATTTACAAAAGCTTTGTAGTCATCTAGAAGCTGGTAGTATAGTTGCTCCAATGGAGATTACAGCTTACATCTCTTAATACTATATAGGTGCAGTAGGTGATACTCTCATTAGACAGCCTCTACATAAAAGCTTAAACATCTTACCAAAAAATATTCAAAATCCATTAAGTGTGAACTGATAATCTTTAAGCTGCATAGATCTTAAATCAAAAAGCATTTATGTGCCTCGGAAAAAATTTGTCAGATCTGTTATTAAAGTATATACAATGCTCTGATGAAATGGTTACAAATGAGAGATGTTCAATTATTTAAGAATGTTATTTTTTTCAAAAATATCTGTCAAATGGAAATTATAGACATGTGCAACATGTTAATCAAATTTCAAGGGATATTACATATATAGGGATTATATTGGGTAAAAGGGTTAAGACAAAACAAAAAATATGTACAATAGCAACATTTCCATAAAACAGTTTCATAACTGATAAGTGAGTAATTTTAGTGAAAATTTTTAACCCATTCAACTCAAACATATACATACACATACACTCACATGGAGAGAGAAGAAGATGGAGAAACCTCCATCATAACCTCCTGCTTGTGTTATGCAACATCACCTGGTATTAATGACTTAGGAAACAAAATTAAACACAAATGGCAACAATAACATGTCAATCAAAGCCAGGACATCCAAAGAAAAAGGCAGCTTGTAAAAACACTCAAACTCTCCTTCGTAATTTACCTCACTATGGTCCACTGGTGGTTTCTGTCAAACCAATCAAGAAAACTAATGAACTAAGATGTTAGGTAACCCACCTCACCACTTCCCCTTATTATCCCCACCAGACTCCTAATTGCCAAGTAAACAATACCTGGATTAACTCTTGCAGTAGGCAGGCAGTTACCACTGAGAACACACAATCTCAGAGACATCAGATTACTTGCATTGAGTATTTTGTATGGGAGGAGAACTAAACCCAATGATGAGGGTGAAGTTGATTACTGTGTCAAATGAAAGTGACTTAAAACAAACTGCAACAACTTGTCAGAAAAGTTGTACAAAGATTTGGAAGTTGTTTCATATCTACTTGGCAAGGGTGCCATTCTCATCATTCTACTGACTAAAAAGGAAAGGAAAGGTTGATGACTTACCACTGTTTAGGTGTTAATATCATTTGTTTTATTTTTCCACTATTAAGGTTATATAGCCTATTAGTCAAAACCAGGCCAAAATGACTTTATATAAAACTGGTTGTTATAATAGTATCTTCAAATGTTCATAGATATTTGTCCTCAGAAAAAGTATGATGATTTTCCTGATGACATTATATCAGAGATTTTAGGATGAAACAGCTATTTTCAGTTTTTTGATGTTTTCTACTACCTAGCTTGCATAAAAAAATCACCAAATAGGAGCTAAGCATCAATACTATAGGACGTGCAACTGATCTGTTTAGATTTCATCACTAATAATTTTAAGTCACTCCAATTTGCAATGGACCTTTGTGAACAAGATGACCTATCGAAGATGCCCTCATTATGAAAAGAAAGCTTTGTCTGTGCACAGAAATGTCTTCATGTGAATACAATCCCTCTCTTGCCTCAGGTAATTTCAATAATAATGTCTGCTACTTAACAGAAAAAGGAAACCATGTAGCAAATATATTCCTCATTATTCATGCTTGGGAGAGTATTGGAAATTTTCTGATCAAGGTAATCCAAGATTATCCGTTAACAAGCTAGCATCAAAGATTATAAGATTCTGGGAAAGTTTTCCCAGAGCAGCCCTGCCATGGATTCTGAGAAAATAAGCTTTCTGCCCAGGAGAAATAACCTTATGGGCTGTCAATTACCAACACTCCAAGGAGCCTTTGGGAACCTAAACAGCCTTCAAAATGATGTCAGTTGTCACCCTGCCAGTTGTCACCTGGCTGAAGCTGTGTGCATTTGCATTAAACAGGCATATCATCTAAAAGTTTTTCAAAACTGCATCAAAACAAGTCTCTGAATCACAGAAACAGATTGTCTGAAAACATGATACATACATATTTCACTAATTCACTGGTCAGTTATTACTCATAACCTCATTGCTATCATCTTGATTCATCGGCAGTCATTTCATTAAAGTCAAAATAGGACATCATGTTGTGGCCATGTGACCAGTAACTATGGGAACCCAAACATCATTTGCATAAAGCTCCCTGGAAAATTCTGTGACTCATCCTAGTAAGTCATTGGTCTAATTACTACCAGGGCTAAAGTCATCCTATCTCTTCAACCTACTTGTTATGTAAATTGAACATATAGGAAGACAGATGGACTGACAGATCAGAAACTACAGGTGAGGAACGCAAGTCCTTAGAGTCCTTCTTTTATTAGTCAGTGGTACTAACCGAACAGTACTTACAACACGTACATGTTATGTGTAATATTTCTCTCCCTCTCCCAGATTTTGGTGAGTAAGTTTATGTCAGATTCAATATTTTGAAGTTACATGACAATGCTAGTGACTCAATTTCTGTTCAATAGTGGATAGTGTTTCAGCATTTCTTCAATTTCGGAATACCATTTTGCAACCTACACTAAGTATGACATTGGCTCAGGTAGTTTCTGTGATACAACAAATTCGACAATAGTCAAGACAAATTACTATCAACTAAGCACCATTATCCACTAATTTGCTGTCTAAAATCAGCTCTTTCTAATTGTTGCCAGGCATGTAATTCATTAAGCAAAAGCCATTAACCAAAAGACAACACAAAGAGTGTTCTTTTAATGCTGTCTATAATAAACCTGAGGATTGCATGACAACTGCAACTAGATGGAAAATACTAAATTATGAATATACCCTGATAAAATGCTNCCTATCGAAGATGCCCTCATTATGAAAAGAAAGCTTTGTCTGTGCACAGAAATGTCTTCATGTGAATACAATCCCTCTCTTGCCTCAGGTAATTTCAATAATAATGTCTGCTACTTAACAGAAAAAGGAAACCATGTAGCAAATATATTCCTCATTATTCATGCTTGGGAGAGTATTGGAAATTTTCTGATCAAGGTAATCCAAGATTATCCGTTAACAAGCTAGCATCAAAGATTATAAGATTCTGGGAAAGTTTTCCCAGAGCAGCCCTGCCATGAATTCTGAGAAAATAAGCTTTCTGCCCAGGAGAAATAACCTTATGGGCTGTCAATTACCAACACTCCAAGGAGCCTTTGGGAACCTAAACAGCCTTCAAAATGATGTCAGTTGTCACCCTGCCAGTTGTCACCTGGCTGAAGCTGTGTGCATTTGCATTAAACAGGCATATCATCTAAAAGTTTTTCAAAACTGCATCAAAACAAGTCTCTGAATCACAGAAACAGATTGTCTGAAAACATGACACATACATATTTCACTAATTCACTGGTCAGTTATTACTCATAACCTCATTGCTATCATCTTGATTCATCGGCAGTCATTTCATTAAAGTCAAAATAGGACATCATGTTGTGGCCATGTGACCAGTAACTATGGGAACCCAAACATCATTTGCATAAAGCTCCCTGGAAAATTCTGTGACTCATCCTAATAAGTCATTGGTCTAATTACTACCAGGGCTAAAGTCATCCTATCTCTTCAACCTACTTGTTATGTAAATTGAACATATAGGAAGACAGATGGACTGACAGATCAGAAACTACAGGTGAGGAACGCAAGTCCTTAGAGTCCTTCTTTTATTAGTCAGTGGTACTAACCGAACAGTACTTACAACACGTACATGTTATGTGTAATATTTCTCTCCCTCTCCCAGATTTTGGTGAGTAAGTTTATGTCAGATTCAATATTTTGAAGTTACATGTCAATGCTAGTGACTCAATTTCTGTTCAATAGTGGATAGTGTTTCAGCATTTGTTCAATTTTCGGAATACCATTTTGCAACCTACACTAAGTATGACATTGGCTCAGGTAGTTTCTGTGATACAACAAATTCGACAATAGTCAAGACAAATTACTATCAACTAAGCACCATTATCCACTAATTTGCTGTCTAAAATCAGCTCTTTCTAATTGTTGCCAGGCATGTAATTCATTAAGCAAAAGCCATTAACCAAAAGACAACACAAAGAGTGTTCTTTTAATGCTGTCTATAATAAACCTGAGGATTGCATGACAACTGCAACTAGATGGAAAATACTAAATTATGAATATACCCTGATAAAATGCTACGTGGCGGAGATTCAAAATGAAAAATTAAGCTCATTAAAAAGTGTCACCATTAACTAGATGGATCAGTTGTCATGGTAACCATTGTCAACTAAAGGTTTAATTTCCTGCACAAAGCAGCTAAAGATGATTAGGTTACAGATGCATGCAGAAAGATAAAAGCACCAAGCTGATCAGTAGTCAGTCGGCGTGTACTGAATTCAGACATAATTTTTACTAATTATAGTTGTTAAACTCGCCTGCCTCTTTCCTTGCTGATAATTAGTTTTCTCTCACATCAGCTTTTCTCACAGTTCTTAGACATAATTCATCAGAAATATAAAGTCATACTGGCTCTTTTTGAGTAACATGATGCACCTCAAAATTCAGACAAAGACTTGATGAAAAATTGACAACTTGAATGTTAAGTCAACAATCAATAATTCAAGTATGCCACTGGAATTAATTATGGATAACACCTTTATTTATCAAGAAAATATTTCAGAGACATAGTGTTATAGGACAAGGAAAACAATTCAATGTCCTAAACATGCCCTGCATTACCAGACAGGTGAAAGGAAATACACCATGTGATTTGAAACACCTTTCGTCACAACTTTTCAGTTCCAGCTGCCCCTTGAGGAGATACATAATATTATTATACATTGTTGTAGAAAAATCTATTTTCTCTTATTGTATCTGTGCTATTCCTCATCCATGTTCTTGGCATTAAACATTTTTTTTCAAATACAGTACTTTTCTTTATTTTGATTACTTCCTTATTCGAATCAGGAAGTTTTGAACTTCCAATATTCACTGTTAACATTTGCACAACACAAAGCACAATTATTAATGCATATACTGATTTTCAAAATTGATGATTTTATTCAACAAAATGTAAGGGAATGAAAATTTAAAAAATCATCAAAAAGTAGGAGTTACAAATTATGTCTGGCAATGTGTAAGAAAACTTAAAAGGGAGTAGCACAAGCTTCATGCTGAAACATGTTTGATTAGTACATATGAATGACAAAAGAGTTGGCAAGTTGTTCAAATGTACTAACATAATTTTCTTGAACAGTGATTTTAAAACTGTCACATTAATCTCCTCCATGACTTTCTTTGAATTTCTCTGTAAAGCTGCTCAAATATCTTACATTCATAATTTTAAATCTATAAGTACCTTTTAGCAAAAAACACATATATACACAACTTCCCTGTTATGCCACCTGTTCAATTACTAAAATAAAATAATGTGACCAGCTGGTGGATACACCTTCTACATTTATTTACTCACAAGGAAACCAAAACATAAATACAAAGCAGCCACTCATATTTCACTTAATATAAGACTGTATTTCACTTACTTAGTCCTTGGTCTTATTTTCACAACCATAAATATTTGATGAGAGAGAAAACAACCGAGATAATAATCTTGGTCATTCAGATTCATTTCAAAGGAACCACATTACAACGAAATCAATATGCACTATCATCAGCTATAGCTGGAATAAAACACACGTGAAATGACAAATATTACTGAAGAAATCTGATACAAAATCAATGAATTTTAATTTCCATGAGTTTCTTAGCCCCAAGACTGGAGATTAGGCCAAGTGAGTAACTCTTCATTGCAAGATAAAATGCACCAGGAGTCAAACACAATAGGTCCTTTTTGCAAGCTATCTGTCACTCTGAGCCCAACTAGAGACCAGGAAAATTATATGGCTTCGGGCAAAACTTCCACAACTTCTAGGAACAATAGTAATACAGCGCGGATTCCCTTTCCTTGGAGCTCATTTGGTTAAAAGCCTCATCACAGTGAGAACTGAAATAAAATTACTATTGCCTGCATGTGCTTTCATGTGGAACATTTAACATGTGCACAAAAACAGGCAACTTTCAAACACAATTTCCTATTGGACAGTCATAAAAAAATTATCAATTTAATTACTGGGCTAATCGGTGAAGGATAATTATTAACCCTGCATTGCATCAATTATAGATTTTTAGGCACAGTGCACATTCAATGGCCTATAGCTAAATTATATAGTAATCCATTCATTCTAGCTGAATATAAGATAATAATTATTTATAAGTGTTGAAAAATGCAAATGTGACAGACATAACAATTTCATATTAAGTGACTTTGTCGATATAATAAATGCAGACATGTTTTCAAAGTACACGGTACCTGCATGCTGTTGACATCTACAACAAGCACGGCAACATGCATTTGCTTTCTAACAATGGCCAGCCCGCACTTTTTATTACTTATTTATAGCTGTCTGTAGTTGGAAGTTTCTCAAAGCACTTATCACTCATTGAAATTCTGAGAACTTGCTGCATGGTGGTACATCTAACTTGTTGTATACCACTAATTACAGCATGTATGAAGCAAACACACCTTTCATCCAGACAGTTCTCTGGCCATCTGTGATTATAAATAATATTGAAAAGATGCACAAATTTTATTTGGAAATTCGATGACACGACTCTGACAAAATGTGTTACATTGTTTATGTAGGTACAAGATGCTCATTATTGAATACAAATACATAGAGGCAACTAAAAGCCATAAAAGGTGGAAAATGTGAAAAGGTAATTATTACCTATACCTTTCAGTTAAGGTATAGTTTACTTGAAACTTATGAGCATATTCCAAATTGGGTCATAAAATAAAACTCCAACGATGAAAAGAAGAAAATCCAAAAACAGTCATTTTCTTCTGGCCTCATCACTGTATTAAAAAGAGATAAAAATTGCTAATCACTAAACTAATGGTGAGGTAAGTTTTGTGCTAAGTATGTCAAGTTATGGGTTTGATATCAATAATCTTTCTTAGAAATACGATATCTTAGAAGTAGAAGTGGTGGGGGCTTTTCTAGTGAAAGCTTTCCCTGTGGAGAATGGAAGAAATCTGAAAAGGTGGAGTGGGGAAAGAAGGGGGGGGGGCGCAGTTTCTTGAAATACTAATGATCTTGAAAGAAGATTTTTAGGAAAGACGAAAAGAAGAGAGAAATCAACAAATTAATGCACATGTTGCCTACACTGAAGGTATTGGGGAAAAGCAAAGAGAATGCAATGTACTGATATGGATGCTGTGGAAGTATGGGCATTTGTATCAATAATGGGTTTCTACAATTTTTATTTTTATTATTATAATATATATATATATTTTTGGGGGCATTTCAACAGCAATTTTTCTTTTGAACAAACAAATGTCATCCAAATAGATTTAATTCAATGTTTAGTAAATGAGCAGTTCCCATTGCCACTGTTATAAATTATTCAGGTACCAGTTGTGCTCAATTAGGTCATGGGTAAAGTGTGGGTCCTGTCACCTGCTCTGTGTAGGCCTGATTAAACACAGGTGACACAACAGGGGCTGAAAGGGTACCTTGTCATCCTTGTCACGCTTTCGCTGTCACCAGTGTCACCAAGTCAATATTTCTACAACACATGCATGGCAGTTGGATGACACATAAGTCTGGCTTTAAGTTTAACTTAACAGTAACTAGAAACCTTTAATTGAAAAAACATTCCAGGTTTACCACAACCAAACAACCACAAGATTTTTAATGAACAGCTGTTCACAGAGTATTATCTTCAACTGAAAACTTCAAAAAGAGAAGGAAAAAACAAATTATCAAATAAACCTCTCATAACAGCTCCAGACAACAGGACTATGGCATAAAATTCATACTTTATAGAATGTAATTTACCTCGAGTCCCTGGGCAATCATTCCCCACCTGTCACAGAGGACTGAAAACAATAGATTTGATCAATTCCTTTAGAAACCAGGGTGTCTAATCCAACTGAAATGTGATGAGTTAAAAGATAAGCACTTTCTACTCAAATTGTTAGAGAGGCCCTCTAGGGTGTATGGTGTAATGTGTGCATGATCTGAAGAGGTGAAGGAAACTTCTAGTAGTGTTTTTTAACCTAAGTGTCATCTCTGAAGACCCCTATGATGTCTATAGTACTAAAGGCTAAAACCTCAATGAAGTGCACCTAATGTGGATGAAAAAAACAATTGCTACATGTTTTTTTCTCGACTTCATTCATTAACATATAATCTATACTAATTTTATAATACATTGTTGTTGTACAGATTCCTGTGTATCTTTACAAGACAAGTCCCTTTTTATTATCAGGGGCGGATTTAGGCCGTCTTTTGGGTCTTCCGAAAGACGGTCAGATTTTCAAGTTAACATTGACGGGTATCTAATTTTTTCTGTTGGAAGACGGTCAAAATTGGAGGATGAACCAACAAAGATAATTTGGAAGACTGTCAGTAAATAGCTCTGGATCCGCCCCTGATTATTACCTACTAAATGCAATAATTAAGGGAAGTTTATCCAGTTATATTTTTCATGTAATATTTGTAAATTACATTATAATTAATCATGCTGAAAACTGTTTGTATGCTCTGACTTCAGATCTGCTTTACTTTTGATTGTCAACAAGAAGTAAAATCTGCTCAATACTGTATATATAACCTATATTCATCTCAATTGTTATGTTATAGTAATTATCATTTCGGATGACTATGCTGTTTTAAAAGACAGAATGGACAGCTATGTTTGACCTGAAATAACTGCCCTAGCCCTAACCCCCCCCCCCCCCCCCCCCCTAGAGAGCCCCAGCTCATCTTCATGTCTAATGCCATGTGCTCCTTTCTCACAATCCGTCTGTACTTCATGTCAGATTAGACACTTGGCCACACTTATGTTGTCACTGCAGCTTAACTGGGATTTTATCACAGAAATCAAGGTAGTATATATGTATCCAAACTTATAACATATAGTGTTAGCTATCACTAAACAAGGCAGCAAAGCTGTCAAATGTACAGACAACAAGAAAGACAAATAATGCAATCAAGTTGGTTGCCAATTTGATCTGTATGTCAATCATACTTATAAGTTACAAAATAATAAGTAACACAGTATTCCTTTTAGAGCATTTGTAGTGGCAGTAAATATAATATTTTTATCAATTTTAATGCAAAGGTACATGATGCTTAACAGCTTATAATCACCACCAATTTCAAATTACTGCACGTAACACAGACATCTAGATAATGCGACTAGCAAAGATCTTCAGGCCCATGGAAATTCAAAGTCACACCTTAAAAATGCCAATAATGTACACAAGTACCAAAATGTGTTATTTTCATTTTCAACACCTTTACATAATACACAATAACCAATTTAGTTTAATTTTTAAATGATCAAATAAAAGGCCCATGGGAATTCAAAGTCACACCTTAAATGCCAATATGTAAACAACTATGAAATGTGTTATTTTAATTTTAACACCTTTACATAATACACAATAACCAATTTACTTTCATTTTTAAATGATCAAATTAAAAAAATTGTTAAGATAGAAAAAAAGTCAATAAAACAATTTCAAATATACACTTTGCACCATTCTGAGATTCTGAACATAGTAACGGATTGAATCTGACAAAATGCACTGATTTGAGTTTATTTCCATGTTTGACACTTTTATTACAAAATAGAAGATAATAGATTTACGATCATTTTTTATATAAGCAATTTACAAAATTTTTAAGATGCAGAAAATGTCAAAGAACACTTTTACAAATATAAGTTCAATACTGAGACTGTTAATATGCCTAAGAGTTGAATCTAAGGAAAACCCATTCATATACAAAAAACAGCAAACTTAAGAAAAATAAACAAATCAAGCTAATTTTCAAACTTGATCTACATATCAGACCTCTGAATCAGTCCTGCAGTTTCAAAGCAAAATCTGGCATGCTTTTTATTTTGTTTGTATAATGCTGCATAAAATATGCTACAAAAACAAAAAATAGCATAATTTTTGGAAAAATGGATCAATCAGGCTGATTTTCGAACTTGACCTATATTTTACTGATTATTAATCATTTCTGTAAGTTTTCATTTTATTTGTGTAACACTAAAAGTGCAAGGCGACAATGCCAACAACAGATACAGGTGAAGGCAATATGTACAAACATATCTGTGTCTGTACATAAAAAACTAACAGCACCTTTCTATTCCTTGATCCCTCAGTTAACCCACTTGTCAATTCTTATTTGTTGACTACACCAAACTTTTGTTGCTATGGTGATCATGTATCAGCAATACTTTTTAATAAAATTTTTAAGCCTTACTAATGATTTACAATATCTAAGCAACATGGCTCGATATGCTTTTTCATTTACTTCCAGTTGTGGTTTTTATGCAACCCTAATTTTGCCCAAACTGGGTTGAACCAGAATTTGGGACAATCACATGAAGGGTATTGACTTCTCCTTCTCTGCTTGCCTTCACCTGGCCTGAACATACTGTACCTGTGCCCCAGTACCAGTTTATACTTTTTTTAATAAAGAACTAAAATGTATATCATTTCTGTTGATTAAAATAGAAATTCAGGCAAAATTATCACAAATTGGCACTTCAAATATGTCTTATTAGTGAACCCAAACAAATAAATGGTTGCATCATTTTATTCTAAGCTGTAAATGAATGACCAAACAATCAAATGGTTGCTTAAATGTAGGTGTTTGCCCTAACAAAATAAAAACACCACCACACAACCCTTTGCCATCCTACCAACGACATGAAAATTTAGCTCACTTTAACCACCGATGACCACATGCTGATAAGACGATCATTCACACATCACACATCCTGTGCGACTGGGCCATGAACTTTTGAACTGGCAAAGGTGCCTGCAAAACTGATTCTGATTCAAATATCTGAATGAAACTTAAGAAAAATAGAAACATTTTTCCTGTGCCCCCACCCCCCTCCTCCCCCTCCTCAACCAAGACTTTTATGTTCTTATATATAAAGCAAGCAGCTCACATTAACCACTGATGACCACAGGCTGATAAGGGGTCCTTTCACACATGCAAGCAAGCAAGACTGCACCATGAACTTTTGCACTGAAAAAGATACCAGCAAGATTGAAACTAGTTCAAAGATTAAAACAATTTTCCTAGTGATCCCCCACCCCACCCCACCCCTCCAAAGGAAAAAAAAAACATGTAGCAGTTGGTCAACTTCAAATATCACTTTAGAAAACACATACAATATTATAAATTATTAAAGGAAACAGATCTTTCTATTATTTTCATTAACTTCTCCCAGCAATCTGATAATTATAGACTCATTTCCATTGAAACTACATTGATTACTACGTAGGAAGCCAACCCTCGCTGAATGCAATCAATTTCACAGGTTAACATGCCTCCTCCTGGGGCTGGGGGTGCTAACATACAGGAAACAGGGTGATTATACAAGTATACTGGAAACAAGAGGATGCATGCTAATATTAATCTGATTGCATTCAGTGAAAGTCCCCACGCAGTTGGATCAATCTACGGAGACCAACAGTTTCATTGGAGTGAGCCCTTTCACAAGCAATTGAGACAAACCCAATCTTTAGTGGACATGCTCTAATAGACGGAGAACATTAAGGATGCAGACAGACATTATCACTTTGAAGTGTGTTCAAATTGAACTGTCTACCAACCTTATTTTCTTTCTCATAAACTTGATTTATTCTAAAGATCAGAAAAAATCTCCCTCCTTAGTAAGTGAGACCTTTTTGAAATGTAAGTTGATTACTTGAGGCCACTAACAGTGGGTCAACATGGCCTAGGGGAGACATGTTCTCATTGGTTATTAGAGGGAAGTCTTCAGACAATTTGTGGATAACTGAACAATTACCCATATAAAAATGACCCTTTGGGTCACCAGTGGTCAGTCAACAGAGACCAAAGATCACAAATGACGAGTTTCATGAACACGATGGCATAAATGTCCTCGTGACTGACTGACTAACGCATTATTACAAAGCAGGAAGCCTCGGTACTATTCAAATCGATGCATCATTACACAGTGCCAGCAAAACCTCACTTTAGCCAGCGGTCTTTCCTCTCTTTTCACACTGTTGTCAGTAAGAAAAATTCTTTATAATAATTCAAAGGCACGTGGGGTAAATTTAACTACATGGGGGGTGCTGTTCATATTGTAAAATTGAAAAAAGCCTTCATGCCTGTTGTGTACATTGCACCTTCTGTCATCTGCTTCAAGACATTTCTTACCTATACACTGCTGTAGTGCATGTTAGTCTCAGAGGGAATCACAAAGTGGTGACTTAATATGGCTTAGTGATTATATCTGTTCATAACTGTGAACGTGCATCAAAGTGTTTGTAGGGGTGCATATGTGTTTAAATCAGCTGGTGTCATAATACTCCGATACATCCATGCACATGCATCAGTTTGTAAAGAAGGTACAGTTCCTTTTGGCTTTGTCATTGACATTTACTTTTCTGCAGCAAATGTCATAGTTGTTGTCCACTTTATTGCATGCCTTTAATCTCATGTATTCCACGCAAGCAAATCTATCAGGGATAAACTTAATATTATGATCCTCAATCAAACTATTTAACTTAACAGATAACCTATCACAGCATCAGTCATTTTTTATTCTTTCCATTCTAGTGCCATTACACAGATGGGTTGATGCAGCCTAAGGTCACTACCAGTGAAGAATACCATACCAGAATTCATACAAGCTAATCATCAGACAGCTCTGATGAACCATCAGTTAAAAACCAGGCTGCACGAGATTGTATTTTAGGCCCAGTGATAGAATAAAATGAGATCTTCGGGTCAGACTGATCCAAGAGTCAGATTTCACTCTCATCCAATACACAATATAACCATTATGGATGCTCCCATAAAAAAGCCCAGCTCATTGCAATTGAGAACTACACAGCAGATAGGTTAAATAGAGCACCAGTCATGCTGGCTTTAAATATTCTGGTTAAAAAATTCTACTGAATAATACACATGTGAACTTCAGAATGTCTTGCTTAAACTATATATGATATAGCCCTGACCTTCTAACCTTTGACCCTGATCAAATTTTAAACTGTTTTAAAATACATGGATATCTGCTGCATTAGCTACCATTAAAAACACCTGGTGTTACACACTGCAGGCAAAACAACCATGTTCTTCAAAGTACATGTATAACGTATATATATAACTCAAGGGGACCCAACAATTTACTGAACAAATTGTAATGATCATCTCGTCTCCCTCACATAAAAATACCCAAGGACAAAGAGAATTTAAAGAATAAAAGAGTAAAGCTAATTTCTGATATTCTTTTTTAGATGACCCACACAGTAAAGCATACCTAAGGGACTTTTGGACAGTGTCCATTTATATCATCACAACAGGAACACAAAAAGACGAAGGCTGTTAAGGTGCGATTACTCTGGCTCCAAACTGATAAACAAATTGAAAAAAAAAAGAGATAAGAGAATGTCACATCCAAGAGGAATAAAAGATACAAAGGATGAGTTGGGGAAATCCTCCAGGGTTGTGAATGTTATGGTTCCCAAAATGTGTGGTTCATTCTGATTTACGTGTTCTTAACTATATGTGTTAGGCACTTTCTTATTCAAATCAAGATTTTTATTCTTAATTAAGTACAGAAAAATTGTTATTGGAAAAACAGGAACAGCAGTCAATTTGGTGAAGAATGAATGAATGATGAAATAAATAGGTGAATGAATGTGTGTCCAGTGGCATGGTCAGCAGTGGCTAGCGGACTTCCTGTTATAATGAAGCTTGTCACGATGTTCTGACACCTGTAAATAGTGGCAGTAATCTTATAATTTGACCCTTCCTCTTCTTCTCCGCTTCCTGTTCTGAAAACCCAACATTTTTTCCCACAGTGTGTCAGTCTATTTATACCCACACTTCAAATATAAAAACTTGTTTGGAAATTATAGTCTGATACATCTCTTAAATGACAACCCCACATCATAACCCTAAGTGTAAAAACTTGATTTTAAAGTTAAACTGCACAGAGAATAGAAAGACAAGCAATAAATTGCATTATGCATTTGATAAAGAATGACATGCCTTAAAATTACATGGTAACACCCTTTTAAGGAGCATGGGTGTGTCACTGAAGTGGTTTCTTTGGTAGGTAATAGATTCTTTCTGTCATCTCTCTTGGTGCTTGGGGAGTTTTGTATTTGAAGGAAGGGGAGAGCTGCTTCCCTGAATAATCATATTTGTACAAAATTTTTCATTATAGAAGAAATATAATCACATATGACATCTAGTGAGCCTCGGACCTTCCTATGAACAAATTATTCTTAACCACTATCTAGCCTTATCAAACAATCATACACACAAATACCACTATACATGTACCTGCATCAGCCTAAAGACAAATCCTTTTATGTTGATAAAATAGCGGGGAAAAAAGCAATCAATGGTTCTGACGGAAGAAATGATACACATTTCCCTTTCCTTGAAGTTTTAACAATATGCAGCTAATTTATCATTAGAGTCGTCAGTGGTTTGAACTATAAATTTCTGTTACGACATGGTACTGTAACATATCACCAGAGGGTGTTTAACAACATGGTTAAGTTTCGTTTAGCATGTAACTGCAACTTATGATAGGGTCATATTAAAAGACAACTGGATCAGAGTTAATGGTGAGATTACAGTCATGGCTTTACTATGCTTAGTTCCTCCAATCTTCACACACCTTATTCACCTTGTCTCATTCATATCACATAGGCCACACACAACTCACTGGGGTTACATTGCAGTCTGCCCACATACCACCCCCTTCCTGGACTTTGGACTTGCATTCATCTCAATACCCCCTCCCCTCCCACATCAAAACAACAAAGGACTTTGACAATATTGCCACACCCATCTTACCAGTAAGCCCAAACCCAATCAAGAACTTCTCAGAAGAATTTACCTCAGTCTAAAATCTCCCCTCTTCACCCCCTGCCAATCTACCCAAACCATGCCCTATAACCTTAATGTATAGACATTTTTTTTGCTCTGAGACACCTACCAAGAACTTCTGGGGTATTCTTAATTCTATACTAAGATAAAATATACAATAATTTTATTGGGTCCAAACCAGATAATACCCTAATGCAGGTTCTTTGTACCTAACCACCTAAAAGAGAGACACATGACAAAAGACCACCTTAAAATCAGATCTCAATATCTCATTCAAATGTCACAGGCCCCTCTCCCATTGCACCTGCCAAAGTGATAACTGGAGTAAAGAAATTGACAAATGTGAACCATTGTGGTCAGCATAGCCCTTAGAATCATAAAGTTTCAGTGCTGTGGTGTTTGTGGTTGACATCAGGGTTCTTGTCATTAAATTTGGGGAGCAGTGGTGCTGTGAACTTTTTTATATACATAAATAACTGGGTAGGTGTATCATGGGGGGACATGAAGGCACATGAGCATGAGTAACAGGAAGAATAAGAGTTGGTAATTACGTAAACTTTATAATCCAGATTGTATGTGAGTAAATAGTAAATAAACCATTGAGAGGTGTTACATAATCACACAGTACTATCATGGAAGTCTAGCTGGGGTAATGGGTTCTTTCACCTTGGATTTATTTCCTGCAATTTTCTGTGTGGAGGAGTTCAAATAGAGGACTTCCCCTCCTGATGCTGCTATGACTTGTGTAACTGTTGGGTCGGCCATGTTAAACCACCATCTAATGATGTAATGAGCACCACTGAAGTGTTATCAGAGGGAAGATAATTACCCTGCCAGTACCATCAAAAAAAGAACAAATCTATGTCAGAATCGTAACTGAAAGTCTGGGTCAAGTATCATTAAACTTGGCCAAACACACTTTAAGCTAAGTTTTGACAAGGGGTCACTTTAGATACTAGATAAGATAAAAAAAAAATTCAAAGATAGACGCAAGTTTTCAGGTTACACGGTACTTAAATGATAAGTACCCCAGTTAACCTTACAACCTCCAGACAAGGGGTAGGAGGGGGAGATGGCTCCAACAGATACCCAAGTTAATACAAGCACCTCCTAGCTCTAGATAAATCTGATCCAAGATGATTCATCCAAAGATCAGAATCCACAGTAGTTAGCGAGGAAGTCACAGCAAAGCTGTACCATGCAATTTCTGTGGTTTCCTTCACAGTTTTAATTGGAAACATTTTTAGTTCAGGCATATATATCTCAGGCTTTAGTGCTGCTGTTAAAGGGTAATCCTATCATCTATAAAAAGAATTAGATGACCTAATACTGTTTAAGCTGCTCATGGTTTGCAGCAAAAAAAAAAAAAAAATGGTACACAGAAGCAAAAGGTGTCAAGATTCTAAAGGCTCATTCCCAATGAAACTATCGTTCTACATAGATTGATCCAACTCCTGGGGGACTCTAGATGCAGTCCGATTAACTGAATGACACACCTCCTCAAGCAGCTAGGAAGTGATTAACTTTCATGTGCAATCAGGCATACTCAAAGGGAAATGCCTTCTTTCTCTTAGACCCCATTCCCACAGATTTTAGATCGATCTATCCCCGTAGGGAGTCTCACTAGATTACTGTCAGCTTAGCCGGCTTAAATGTCTGTCCCGCCTACTAAAAGCTGTAAAGGAGTAATTAACTTCTGTGTGTGGTTGGCTGACAGCAATTTAGTGGAACCTCCAGGGAGTTAGGTCGATCTAGTTAGATCGATCTAAATCTCTGGGAATGCGCTCTTAGAAACAGACTGCTAGTCACCACAAAATTGTTATTCCTGCTGCCATTAGTTGTATTTTCACTGTGTCAGTAAGCTAACCCTCTCAACCTTTCAATTTTCCAATTCTTCACCAAAATTTTTATGGTAACTTGTTGTTTTTACAGATAGTGGCTATAACTCATATATTTCTTTTGAAGAGGGTTTGCAATCTGCTTTCCATCTAGTGAACTTATTCATTTAAATGTTAATTAAGTATGTATAATTTGTACAGATCTTTTTTGAAGAGGGTTTGCAATCTGCTTTCCATCTAGTGAACTTATTCATTTAAATGTTAATTAAGTATGTATAATTTGTACAGATCAAAATAAATCTCAAATTCTATCACTGTTATCAAGTCTAGAATTCTTCTATTTGTATCTAGTTACACTTTTTATTAGCATGAGGTCAAGCTTAACCAATGATCAATTAATTAATATGAAATAGCCTCTAAATACCCCCTACCCATTTTTCAGCATTTCTCATCAAAGTTTGTAAGATTGCATTTACAGGTACGCATAACAGAATGAAAGAACCCTTAACCCACCCATCTTATTGATAATACATGCTTTGCTGGAATGCCATTCAAAGTTGCATTTCTAGTCAAGTTGTGAGGGCTGTAATTATCATCTTTACCTCTTGTGCTGGGCCATAAGCTAAAGTTGGGTTAACATGCATTAAGGAGGCATACTTCCCCCACCAGAGATTCTAATAATGACATAATTTTTGTGCATATTTCATTCAAATTTAATGATTTATTCCCAAGCAAAGGAAACCATCAAAACCCAGTGTTATCCAGCGACTTAGTGCATCATTTTAATGGAGTTATATTTCTTTCTTATAAAAATAATTGGAAAACATACTTTAGGCTTGGACAGCTTGTTTCAAGGATATGGCAAAAATAAAGCCAGGAATAAGGTTGCATTTCCTGTTATATGTGACAACTTTGCAATGTACTTGGTATTTACTATCACAGCAGTATAAACTTTTGGTAGCTAATCTAATCCTTTGTTTGTTTCACCTAATTGCATCATAATGCAGGTAATTTGCTTGCCAATAGACTTCCTATGGTTAGAAGTCTTACTTACATAGTCTACTTGGCCCTAACACATAAGTACTAAGTTAAACTGCCATACCTTGAATGGAAATGTGCCCAAACAGTTGTAATACACATAGTGCTGTGACTTTTACAGCTTATTGACCGGCACTTTTTTTTTTCTACAATGATCACCAATTTCCAAAAGAGGGTAGTGAACAGGCATTTTACATTTCAGGGATGACACAGGAAGACAAGATTTTGGGAGAAAATTAACTTAAGATAGCTGATAAGAAGAAGCCCCCTCCCATATCCACTTAACAGAAGTGCTGGTTAAGTGAAGATGTTTTGATAAGATAACTTACTCAGTGGTGATGGCAGCCCCTAGAAACACCCCCTTACCCATTATTACCAGAGGCAAAGTACTTGTTAAGCATAGCACATGCCGTGCTTGACAAGTGTTCTTACACCATGCTAACAGGGTATAACCTACAACTGGTCTGACCTTACCAGTTCTTACATCTGAAGTGCAATCATAATGAGAATAACTATCTGTACGTATCTTTTGGTGTCTTTTGGGCACACCCTTTCAGGCCCTTACATCATATTCCATCCTAACCCCAAGCAACTGATATTCTTGAAACATGGTACTGAACATTTTGGTTCCCTCCAGTTTTCTTCTAGCTTCCCCTTATACAACAGCATGACAACATCTATAGCAGAGAGTAAATCATATCTGTTTTAAGAGAGTAAAGGTACAGGTCTCACATTTAAAAGAAAGATGAGACTTGAAATGACACAAGCATTAAGCATTGGCTTGTTCAAGTGGCACCCTAATATAAAAAAATATATATACATAAGCATTTGCTGACTTTTTACATTCACAGTTATTCCCCCCCCCCCCCCCTTATGACAATTATGTGGTACAGAAACAAGGAGGTACTGGAATGAAACCCCAAACACCAAACCTATACACATATATAATTGTTAAATATTTAGTTTGGGTAAACTGGTCTTCTAATGAAGCCATATTCAATGTGTACTAAAATTCACTCTGTCGGAAAAACATAATTCAAGGCGGAGATACTTTTTAAATGAGTAATAAAAACACATTTTCTGTATATCTTTCTGCCTTTACTGGCAAATGTTAGCACATTTTTCCTCTGAACAAACCAAACCTTTGTAGGCAAGGAAAAAGGCACTTCAAGTGGGACCTATAACTAGCATCTTATCTTCAATCTCATTAAACATGATCTCTCCTGATTGACCACTGGTGCTGATAAGCAGACGTCCGGAAATAAGGGCCTAGTTTTATGGAGAGAGTTTCTGTCCTAGTGTCATGCCTGGTCACCCTGAGAGTCCCAACTACTACAAAGGTCTTTTCCTCTGCATGAGCATTTGCTTGTGGTGTGAAAGAGGATTCCCTGTCAGAGTACTCTGACTCCCAGGGTGCAAGCCAGCCACCCCAGCATGTTCTCACAACATGCTGTTCTAGCAGATGTCTTGGGATAACAGAGAGATAGGCTGCATCAGTTCCCTACTCAAACACGCAGCTACACACTGTGTAAACTTCAGTTGTGAGCTTTGTAAAGAATACTATCTGCTTCAAAGAACTTGCCAGGCCGAACCAGAAGACAGCACCAGCTGGGTGTGTAAACAACTCTTGGATATTTGTGTGTTCTTTCAATTGGAGATCATTTTGCTTGTGTTCTCTAGAAACTAGGAAAATTCTTTCCTTATGTGTACTGCCATCAAGCACACACCTGGAGGGGAGGGACCCTGGCAACACCACCATCAATCTCTTATCTTAGATCTACAGATTACTAGGTCATTTTCAAGCAAATAAATAAGCAGCAAAAGATCAGCCCTAGGGGGTATGGTGTGGCAGTGTGGTGCAAGGGTGATTTTAGTCTCAATTAAGCACATTATTCCTAGATAATATCTTATCTTTCCATTCTAGAAAATGATAAAATTTATACTTAGGTACATTACAGTTAACAATACTGCTCTATATAAAAAGGGGGTGGAGGTGTCAGATTCCTAGGGAGTGGCTGGGTCTAAATACTGAAATGATCTGGCCTTTATGTAGTTCTCAGTTGGATCAACTGAAGGAGTAAAAAGTCCACTTTTTCAGAAAAAAAAGACCCACAAAAAACATGCCACCCCTCCCACCCCCCTGGAAATTGTTAGCCACAGGCTTGCAGTAACCTTCATATATTGTGAATGTGCATGAGTGTAAGCCTGTGTACAAGTAGGAGACAGGACTCTCATTTATATCCGTCTTTCTTTACTGAGGGCACATTCAAAACAGATAATCCTCGGACTGACAAATCCGTGGATCAAATATGGCCGATCCAGTTAAAAGGTAGCTGCTTATAATCTCCTGATGGTCTCCCTGCCTTCACAAACTCTGTCCCTGCAGAGGCCTAGCACTTTTAAACCTCAGACTCAAGATTTAATCTGTTTAATGGTGCGTGTGGAGGTGGTGAGACCATCAAGGGATTAGGCAACTTCCTTTGATGTGTGGTCGGCCATATTTAGTCCGCGGTTCATCTTTTCTGAATGTGACCTGAGTCAAGTCTGTGTCCTCGTTTCAACCGATCATATACTGAGGTAACTTTATTTTTGTCAACAATCAATCACCTGTTAATCTATTCACATGCCTCTCTCTTGGAAATGAAACATTCTTTAAATGCCAAGTGTTAAATATTTTATTTCGGCTGGCAAAACGTACTGATGAAAAGTATTTTTTTACCACTGTTTTGCCTAAATGTTAAATTTGGCTATAACTTTTCAGATACTAAGCTTACTAAATTGCCAAAGTGAGTCAGTCCAATGAATTTTATTTGCATACACCATCACATAAAGCTTCCTTTTCCAGCCTTATATATGTATAATCCCATGTCCGACTCCTCAGGTTCCACCAGTATGGTATACAGTATGGTAAGTAGTAGCCTAATAATTTTGTTGCATGTCATATCGCATACTCCATCTATTTTGTCACATGTCACCTTTTCTGTCATGTGTCACATTAAAGGCCAGGAAGACAATTCCTGTGTATATGCAACCTCCAGGCGTGTCTCTTTGCTTAGCTTCCATCATGCCACTAATCAACATCATCAGGAAACAATTACCCACTATCAAAGCACCACAGCATCTATCAATACTCAGCTACCTTTAGACTCCATTCTCCCTACTGTTGAACACAGACATTAACAATGTAGGAACGGATAGGACACTTGCCAATGATTGTTCACTTGCAATTAATCAGCATATGCTTCATCAGTACATCAATATTTACAAAGTTTTTGTTGACAAATAAATCACTCAGTAATCGCTGTTGATTGTGTTAGTTGGCAGTTCATGATATGCAATAATAACACATTATCTACTGTGATATTTGTTGTACCCACACTTTATTTGATTAAGATCATACAAATTTCAATATCTTTTAAACAAGTGACTCTACACAAACTTGCTTTTGCTTATGTTCCACAAATAATAGCAATACAGCAGCATATTATCTGGCATGCTATTGGAGGTATCAACACTTCACATAATTCAAATGCACATTAATCTTTTTAGAACTCGTCTGCAACGAGACTGTCTATCATGATGATTGGACTACTGTCCAATATGGGGATCCTAGACAGCCCAAAATTTCATAACTTCTCAAAACTTGAAGTGAAATTTTCTTGGATTTGGAAGAGAGTGGGGTCAGAAATAAGGACAGGCAAGAAAGCTTAGTGCAGCAGTGAATTATAAATGATAAAAGCTGACAATTTTTTTGAGATATTTTTTTGTTCGTTTCTCCTTAGTTCTACAGTTTTTTGCACAATAATGTCTCACATTCACCACAATTTGTGTGTTACTTTTTACTGCTTTTTAAAATGGCATTCCTGATGCATAAAGTTGATCATCCTTATGGCTAAAAGGTTAGCCCCACCTCATGCAGATTCTGGCATGTTTTCCAGTTTCACATGATGTCATGCAGTGCTGACAGCCTCGTTTTAGGCTATCTCTGACGATTTCTATAACTGTGTCATCCTTTCCTGCTGAAGTCATCCTGCAACAAGACCAGGTGATCTTTCATTCATTATATTAATCTTATGTCCTGCTTCTACAGACAAACAGAACTTTGACAAAATATACCTGTCTTGTGGACTTCCAAGCTCTGGCAAGCAACGGGAACATTCAAGATTGCAAAAGATCTCACCTAAGTCTGCTGCTACAGATTATTTTTTATTAATGTACAATGTAGCTGTTTTGCATAATGCCTGTTAAACTGGATAAATCCTCCAAACCCTAACACATTTTTGATGAAAGCAGTTATTTGGCAAAAATACATCGTTCCCTTGACACCATATTTTTTGGAAGCCACTTTTAACCTAATGGTAATCACTGCTTGCCTGCAATTCAAGAAAAAAGTCACACTTTCTATCTTTTGAAAAACTTCATAAATTGTGACAAATATTGTTACACTTTCCATTTATTTAAATGGAATTTATAAATGACACAATTCTTTACACTTCACACTAAAACTTTAAATAATTATTTTACACTTCCTTTTAAAGCAGGAGAAATTTACGAATGGCAATGAATGCAGCAATCAATTTTCTCTTCAGTCTGGTGTAGCAGTCTGGTAGTCACCTTCTGAACACGTAGTAGTTTTAAAATGACCTAGAGACGCCATCCACAGAAATCAAGATGGCTGTGTGGTCTAAACCATCTTGGTGGGAAACTACACCGTGCCTGGCACATCTGACACCTGCATCACTTTATGGGAGATCTGATTTCAAATTTTCTTTGGGTTATCTGTTCACAGGTAAATAACTGTGCAGACATTAAAGTTCATTTTGAAACTCTCTGGCTAACATAAATGACAAATGTAGCTGTACTCCACTCCCCCCACAGGCATTGGGTATATTGCGCCTGGTTGGTAAAGGCACGGGGAACGGGATACAGCCCTCAGCACCACAGGGGTCAGCTCGGGCAAATGATTTCATAAAATTAGACATTTTTAAGTAAAATTTTTTGAAATTCTTACACCCACCTAATTTGGTGATTAAAGGTGTTAGAATGCTCCAGCCTCTAGGTGCTTTAGACTGCAATGACATTGGTGTCTCTTCATGTGAGAAAGTCATACTGTAGTACTTCAAACTGACTATATGAAGAACATGGAACAGAGTGCCGTCTAAAAATAAGTTTGTATCAATTAACATACTGTATAAGCTTGGCCTACATTTACAATTAATCTGGTGCTACAAAGTGTCATTTTTCAATATTTAATCATTTGACATAATGCCTAAAACGCTAACTACAAACATATCATGGCAACATGCCACATATCATCTAATCCAAAACATTTTTGTACAACTGAGATCTGTTTTAGTGTATGCCACACATCAAATCTAAAAAACTTGACAAATCTTTAATCATGACTGAAAGTCAGATGGTTGTTGCATAAAAAACTGCAATAATTTTTTCTGTCATTCAGGTAAATATGAATAATTCTCTTATCTTCTATCATCTGATTAAAAAACTATTCAGCACATATTACAGACAAAATTATCTACATGCTGTATAATTATTGTTATTCTATTCCACCACAAGACACCTGAGCAGCCAAAGGAACTCCACCCTCGCTCCACCACAAATTAAAACTTCATTGAAGCCTGGTCCCAATCATAATATGCACAAATACAAAAACAACAAAGTGTAATTCTTATGTGACATTTAAAAAGAAAAGAACAGATATTCTAATAGGTGAATGGAAAGTGATTACATAGTCTCAAAAGTCCTGGATCAGATCACTGACCCAAAAGATGCCCAGCTGACACTCCGGTCATATGGTTGGTTATCTTACAACCTCAGAATTGGCCAGAAGAATAATCTGGCCTCCAGCTGCTCAGATCAGGAGGACCTTTGCTACCCTCATCCCCATTTTTCTCAAATATCTGTTAAATTGCTTTAACAGCAATGTATAACATGCACACACTCATCACAACTTGTGGTTAGGAGAAGAGCAAGCAATTTTTTTCACTCAATAGGCTTATAATACAATAGCACTGATGCAACCTGGCCATTGTGACACATTACTGGTAAATTGCATGTTAATCGAATGGAAAAAAAACAACAAAAGCTTTTTGCTGCTTGAGGGGGTGTCTGTGTTGTGGCACTGACTCAGTGTCACCTGGGATTTGAATTTTCAAAAGAGAACTTTATAAAATATGTCTGTCAGGAATAGATTATTAATGGCCCAAAACAATCAGGAAATTATAGCTTTATCTTATCAGAGACAGCAGGAGAAATAGATCATCAAAACTGCTAGCTGGGTTCAGATAACTATCACTACAATTATATTCTATTTGTCACATCATTTCACACTTGGACTATGAAGAGTCTTTACCTTTGGCAGCCATCATTCATACCAGTGTCATTTACAACCCATTGTAACCAGTACAATCAAGTCATCTGACAGTAATTTCAGCCTCCTAATTTAAACAATCAACCAAAGAGTTTTTACAGCAATTGTCACATGTTTCAAGCACAAATGTTATAGTCCCAAATATACATCAATGCCTTCTTTGATGCAAATTGTCAAAGGAAAATAAATGGAGAAATGTCCCTTTTTTCACTTTCATTAAACTATTTAATCCCACAAGCAGAGGCCAATAATAACTCTCCTAAAGGGGAGCAAAAAACCTTTTCACTTCAAAGACACCTTGAGTTATTCATGTATTGATGACATTTCTTAAAAAAAATCCCCAACATGAACACAGGATGTTGCTGGTCCACCTTATCCTATTTCAACCACAAAAAACTCCAAAAGCAGTACATCACCTAAATATTTGCCAGTATATACATGCATATATATGGGAGACTTGTTTTTTGAGTTGCATTAAAATTCATATATCCAGGCTGCTTCAAAATTACTTGTTCTTTTCTCCAGGGCAGAGCAGCCAGGTCATGGAAGCAGGTGTGGGCCATTGTTATGCTAATAAATCTTCCGTGCAATATCCAAAGGGAATCTAGATCCAAGCATGATAGAGTGAGAAAAAAAGGAAGAAAATAAGCAACACTGAACAATTTGAGGCAATATAAAGTGGTCCTGGCAAAGTGAATAAAGGACTGAGGTAATGAAAAAACAGTGACTATACATACTTATTAAGAGACAAGAATAGTTATATTGTTTAAATTTGAAGTGATGGAAAGAAAGAAAGAGGAAATATGAGAGATAACCAGTGTGCGTTATTTTAAAAGAATCTGCATATAATCAAAACAGAGTGAGTGTAATGGAGAAGAAAAAGTCCTAACATTAATATGTCCCTGAAAGACAGGGGAGGGAGGGGAGAAGAAAAAGTGAAGGCATTTCATAAACATTTAAGTCTCACACTGTACTAGTAGAAAAGAGGGAAGAAGAGGAGAGGTTTCATGTATTTATGGTTTGAGTGAGCGCCCTCCCCCACCCACCCTCCCCACCACCCACCCTCTACCAGGACCATGGATTGATTTTTCCACTAGATATTCACAGATATGTTTCTGTGTTAGAGAAAAGTGCACATTAATCTTTAATGGTAAGACAAAATATTGACAAGGAAAACATATGATTGGTCTTGATAATGATAAGAAAAAATTTTAGCAAGGAAAGATATGTAATTTGTTTTTATATTCAAATGAATAAGGAAAGAGATTATAAAAGGTCAAGAGGAAAGGATGAAAAGGATGATATTTGAGATGAAAATATAGCAAGATGATAATTTCAGCCAGAAGGTAGTGAAATAAAGCAAGTAAGATATTGAGTATAACTGATCAATTATGCTAAGATTAAAAGGATAATTTTTTCTTTTTTTTTAACTGAAAGAAAAGACACTTGTACATTCTTCAAACAACAGAAAACTGGTGTCCAAAAAAAATCTCTGCAGGAGAAGTACCACCAGCAGACAGCAGAAAGGATGAGCAGGCAACAAGGAAAGAGGGATGAATGACAGGAACATGTGAAAGTTGAGTTTCTGAGGCCGTTACCCAAATATAACAAAATCTTCTCAATGAGTGCAAAATGCTCTGACCAAATGTGCTCCTCATGAAGCTGTTGTAATAAGATCTCAGGGGCACATGCTTGTACAGTCATAACATAAACATGGGGCCCTACTAGCATGTTGAACCAAGAGATAGCAGTTTATAAAATCTAAACATTTCAACAGGCCCACACTTGTAGTTTTAGGAACATTTGAAATAACTTTTCTCCTTTTATCACTCTGATGAGATAATAAGCTAGGTAAGGACCTGTCAGTTTTTATTCATCGTCTAAACAGCAAAGACATGGTACTGTGGAAGATAAAGAAGTCAAAGGAGGAAGCCCACAATCAGTCTCCATGTCTGAAGCAGTTGTTCTGCTCCCTAAAGCTACACTGCTGTGATAAGGGAAAAATTTGGAGTCTGTTTTAAATGAGATAAGTTGTCTCACTGCTTTTATTGTGGGTAGTATCAGGAACTGTGAGGGTGCAAATGCCCAGCCCTCATTTTTTTTCATCATTTATCTAGTGATGCTCAGAGTTTTTACTTGTTTTTTCGTTTCAATGTCTATCATATCATGTTTTTGACAAACATTATTCAAGGAACAAACCCACTATCTAATTTTTTCACTTTCCAGTTTTTCATCCCGTTTCATTTTCTTTTCATTTACAAACAAGTTTTAGCAAGGCAATTGCCCACTCCTTATATTGTGGCATTTTTTTCCTAACAACACTTATCTTTACATTCAGATTTTTTTTCACTGTTTTCCTTTCAATATTTTTCAAGTATTGTTTTCTTTTCCTCCAAAAAACAAGTTTAAATGATGTGTCACACATGAAGACCCTTGGTAAGTTTATCTCCTTCCTGTCTTACAGTAAGAGGAAAACTTATACATTTTCCATCACGATTGTCTGAAGGCCTGTTTCCAGCACATTCAGCAACATCTCAACTAACACCGTCTCTAAACTACAAACCAACTACAGACTATAGCAATCAATTTTTTTCAATCAATTTTTTGTTGTCTTGCCCACTCCCATCCCCATCACTGAGTAGAGATATAACTTAACTCAGAGTCTTTCCAGTACCAGACATTACTGTTCTTGAAAGGCAGAATGTGGTACTTCAGGGCACTGAAAAGACCCAAAATTAGGTAATGCGTGTAGAATGGTAAAATAATTCTGAGAACAAAAAAACAAATAAATAACTATAGCCACTAAAATTCATTATACAAACTTTTGCCATTTTAATGCATCATTTCCAATGGCAGTGAATTAGGGCTCATTCCCAAATAAACTATTGTTCTATGTAGATCAATCCAACTCCATGGGGACTCTGGCTGAATGCAATCAGATTAACAGATTGACACACCTCCTGGCATTGAGTAGAGAACAGAAAAGCTGGTGATTATATGAGTATGTTGAAAACAAGAGGAGGCTAGAAAATAGAATCTGGATGAGCAAATGCTAAATCTCACTTCAGTATTCACTCAAAAGACGGCTATTTGGAATGATTTCCATTACACAGGCTGCTGAAAATTAGGTAAGAAGTTAAGCAGTCACAACTGTACTGAAAATGGGCCCAACACTGGTGTATTTTCTCCAGCTGCTGTTTCAATCATGGAAGGGATACAAAGCTTTTGCTACGGCCACTGACAATCAATGAGACCCTTTTTTATATTCCATGTATGAGACTATAATTTTTTTTGTCCAAGATTTTTTGTGACAATTAACTTTCAACTTAGTTTAAAACATCTCATATAAATGTTTCATATATTTGGTAAGACAAAAGCAGCTAGGAAAATGCACATATGAAGAAATGAGAAGTCAATCTTATATGCCTGAACTACCACTGAGTTTGAAAAAAATGTGGGTCAAAGATGGCCAATGCCTTGTACTTGGCAAAAATTCAAAAATGATTAAAACATATATGATGCTTTGTCTTTTATTCTAAACATGATATTAGCATATTAAGATTATATATACCAGTATTTACAATCTTTATCAAAAACTGAAACAGCAAAACACAGTTTTAATACATAGTAAAACCAAACAAAAATAATCTAAATTGTCTTAGTACAGAAAGTCTGTTGATTAATGATGCATGTTCAAAACACTCTTGACATATGTAGGTGAACACAAATGAAGCAGACATCTCTCCCAGAAACTGATGACTCAACAGCTTTTTATGGAAAATGAAATCATGCATTTCTAGTAGCCAGAGTCTACCAATGCCCTGGAAACCTTCTTGCACAGAGCTTTCAAGCAAGATTTGTAGCATCAACATAGCATTTTGAAGAAGGTATGGCATAGGGTTTTAAACACATTCATACATAATAAGCTGACCCATAATTTTGGGTTTCACTACAATCTCCTTTCAAATAAAAGGAAACCATTTAGCATGATTCACAAGAACACAGAAGCACCAAAACAGTCGCTAAAAAAACTATGAGGGTAATATTTACCATCAACTTTCTTAAATAAAAAATCCATAACTTCCTGCTAATTCATATTGACAAAACATTCATTTATCAGATTTTTTCAAGTAAAAGAAAACCAAAAGTAACATATTTCAGTTTCAGTACCCTACCAAATCCTCCCACTAATGTCTTCACAAAGCAGATTGTCGTGACAGTTTTCATATCTTCCTCTTTCACTTAAAAAAATCAAATATCCAAAAACTTTCAGAATACAAACTTGCTGAGATAACTTTCAGTACTATGCATTGCCATGAGCCATGGCAAAACAATCTGGAGCTTCCAGATAGAAAGTACTATACCATATATATATATATATATATATATATATATATATATATATATATATATATATATATATATATATATATATATATATATATATGTATTAGCACCAATCCTTTAATAAACCAAACCTGTAAAATGACAATGTTCATATCAGCCATGTTAACAACTTGCTATACTGCACTTTAACATGTGTGATTTCCAAGCTACACCTTAGTATGGAGACTTAATGATGATAAATGACAGTGCGTGTATAAATAATTTATTCACTGAACTTATTAATCTTTCATGTGTGAATGCAGCCAGGTTGTACACAGAAACATGCTTGTCTGACCCCCCCCCCCTCCCCTCTCCCTAATCATAGGCTCACTCTAGGTTATCTTTTTTCTTTTCCACTTCAATTTTTTCCTGATTCTGGTCAAGTGAAATTAAAAAGATTTTATTTTTTCTAAACATAAAGAATATTTTAGTCACTGCCACAAGTTTTTCAAACCACCTCCTTCCATCTACTTTTTCCACATTATATTAGCACATCTTCCACATTCCAACAAAGTAAGAAAGGGAGGATATATATATCACATGCTGACATGGTGTCCACCTTACTGGGCTTCAGACATGCAATTAACATCTGCAATACCAACAGTCACCCTTTGGTCAATTGATCACTAAAAGCCAGGTGTAAATAGGCAGAGGTTCTTATTACTAGTTAAAAATCACTTTAATAATACAATCTAGTTTGTTTAATGCAGTGACATCACAAAATACTATTTCTCAAAAACAATGATGCTGAAAAACTTCTTACCACCAAGAAGGGCAGTAAACTAAATTTAAGATGTGTTTTTGAAGGCATTAAAAAAGTTCAAGATACCAATGTCTTTCAAGCACTTGGTTATCCCTGACTATTATATATATATATATATATATATATATATATATATATATATATATATATATATATATATATATATATATATATATATATATATGTTTTTCTGGAGTGTCTACCCCAACTCTCTTAAAAATAATGAACCCATAGTACGCGGAATTCCATTGTAAGCTGTGCTAAACTAGAGTTAATTCCTAGGATAATGACTCTCAGTTGCTTGCACTGAGAAAATAGGTGATTGAACTCTACTGTTATTACACTGTGGTATATCAGTCCTTAATAAGGAGCACACCCTATTTTTCATTTGGCACATCTAATTTTATTGAGAAATAGTTTTTGTCTCACACAAGCCAACATTTTTTATACCAGTAAAAAGCATATGTACTATTTTTATGTGCATTTTACAACATGGTTGTTCTGTGATTTGAAGATGCCTACCACTATGTATTTGGTATGTCAGTATAAAACATAGATACTGGCAGGATCTGTTTACCATTCAGTATATACATTTTAATGCCCTTAAAACCCTAATCATATCTGCACATGTATCTAGACCCATGTATCTAGACAGCCAACCCTGCACTTAACAGTGCATGTAAGTGCTTGTAAGTGCAAAACAAGACACTCCTGCTGTACTTGCTGTAAACACGTGTATTGACTTGCGTGCGTCAAATGTGGATGTCAATTTCCAATATTTTAAGGGTATGTACAATAACGTGATTGTCTGTGCACAAACATGAAGTCTTTTAAATGTTTCATGCTTTGCTTATGTCTACATGTTTTATGAAAGGACAGAAACAAAAACTACACAACTTGGGTTATTTTTCACTAACTGGCAAAACACTTCTTCTGGTACCATCAGTGCAACAACTATATATAAGAAAAAAAAGAGACGTTTTAAGGACATATGTTGATTTAGTCATTACGCACTGGCTGTCCTGTGCACTGACCAGGTAGAATGACCACCAAGTGACCTATACCAGCAGGTGGTAGTAAAAAAAAATCCATTGGATTATAATATCGTTAAGGTGTGCCTTATATAAGTTACATTAAAGGTGTGTTATTCATGTTGTCACTTAATATGTTGTTATTGTTCAGTGCCACTATTGAAAGACACATCTTAGTGCAACTGCAGTGCATTGCAAACCTGTGTCTGGCTTGTTTTTGTTGACAGTGGTAACAGGTTACGTCTTATAGCACTGAATCTATACCAATATTACATCACCAGGCAGTAATTATGTGAATACACAGATATAGTATAATTTCTTACTTCACTGCTCCTATGTCAAGTTATAAAAATAAAAATACATGAGAAGACAATAAATGTGTAAAATACATAGTCTGTCATCAAGAATATACACATAAATATATATTTGCTGCCCACATTTGTTTATTTTCAACTGTTATGTTGTTTGTAAAATGTCATATCAAAATCACTTAACCTATATACGATGAATGTCATGTTAAGTATGTATTGGTTTTAGATTACAAATTAGAAATCACATTGGATGCAAATTTTGAAGAAAAGTTATTTTCCAAAATAGAACAGTTATTAAAAAGTAAACATCTGTATGGTGATATATTAGTAGTAGGTTCAGAATAATAATGTTATGCATCAGAATAATTCAACAACATCTGCTCAATATCTTATCTATCCCTCCATCACTGCATTTGTAAAGAAAAAATAAGAATTTTAATCAGAGTATTGATTTGATCAAGTAGAAAAAAGGCAAGAGAATCAAATTTCATGATTAGAAAGTGATTAAGTGTGACACAAAGCTCTACATTTTCTTGCTTTTTTCCCAAAGGACTCATGCAAATGATCTTGAGTTTTTAGCAAGTTGTTATTTCTCTAATTAAAACCCATTGAGTTGGCTCTGCCTAGAGACTTACAGTAGATGTGAGCAGATGGCAGATTAGCATAGTTGAAAGCATTAGGCCATGATTTACCTCTGGGCTACACAACAGGGGAGAACTAATCAGACGTTATTACCTGCTAATTAGAACTTAATTTATCCCTACTAAGATGTGCTAGGCACAGGGCGGGTACAATCCTTCATTTTACTTTGAAGGAGCATGCCTATGTTGTACTAACTTTACAACAACTTTTCCCACCTGAGAGACAGCTTTTATGGGTAGCTAGCACTAAGTGTCCTGTGGATTAAAGTCCACAAGACATTTCACACTTATACACAAAATTAATCAAGTTTTCACAGAATCTTTTCATTATTCATTGTGGCTTGTAAGTTGTTGGGAGGGTCTTGCACCTAATGCACCTGACCTGCTGCCCTCTTGTGGTTGGAAAAGAACTGTGCTGACACCTTTTGGCACAATTATTAACACTGCTTAGGTGTATGTGCTGCCACCTTTTACTTAAAATTTATACTATTGATAAGGTTAAAATGTATATACCAGTAACTACTGTGAAGATTATTTTTCCAGCTTTTGTTAGGTAGATCTAAGGGTTTGCAATAAGTAGGGAATAATATATTTCCTAACAAACTACATATTCCTGACAAAATGTTAGACCTAAACTAGTTTCTTCTTGCTATGTGGTTTCAAAGTGTTTTAAATGTACTTAGTACACTAACAGTAGGCATAGCTGGATCCTATCAAACATAATATCACTATCCAAAAATAGTCTAATACCTATGACCATCTATACATGAACAAGTAGTCTCTTGGATGACTTTTATCGATACAATTTTATGAAAATTAACTACTAATATCATTCACATATCTGTCAACTAAATATTATGGCATTTTTAAAATAGTCTTTACGTGAGAAAAATACTTTTTCTCTTTTGCAAGTTGATTTTCCTATTCTTTATAATAAAACAGAGAAGAAGAAATGTCTAAATACATACATTATGTGACCATGTCACACAATAAGGCACAATCATGAATCTCCTCTGATGCAATTTTCGAGTTCATGCAGCAAAAGCAGCTAGCAGTACTATCTTATGTTTTACATAAATAATCAACTCTCTTGTTGAAATCCAGGCAAAGTCTTACAATTTTTAAATGAGAACTTTCCATACATATTCTTGCATTTTTAAAGTGAAAACTTATGTAAAAGTGAAGTTAATCTGTATCACATGTTTGAGAATGCTGTGCTTTTTCATTTTAAAATGTGTAGTCAACAAAACTCCTAGCCATATCTTCATCAAATTGTTCTTTCGGTAATTAATTGCCCTAATCATAGAAAATCAGTGTGTGTATGCACCAAACTTTCAATTTGAAAAGCTGAAAAAATTATATTCTATAATTCCATGAAATTTTATGTAATACTCCTTCATGGCATATACTCTAGCACATAAAAGCTTTGACCTAATAACTTTTATAATGACCACATAGCGCTTGATAAAAAATCAAATTCAATGCCAGAATATGACCTATTAGAGTTTTACCCTAATTTCTTAGCAAAACTTAAAACAGTTCTCCATGAGTCTTTTTTTCTTTTTGTCTATCTATGCCCAATCTATTCTTTTTTCATATTAACACATCCTTTGAACTCTGTTGGAAATGTTTCTTCCCAAACTTTCAAAAATGTGGTCAATTTATTCCCCATCAATGAAACCCAATCCAATACTGAATACATTTTTCTCAAAGACAGGCTCTAATGTTTTGACTTATTAGCAGGAATACAAACAAGGTATCAGAAGTCTACTGGATTATCTTCATAAATACATTTACACCCCATTTCCATAGATTTTTAGATCGATCTATCCCTGTGGGGAGTCTCACTAGTTTACTGTCAGCTTAGCTGGCTTAAGCGTCTGTCCCGCCTACTGAAAGCTGCTAGAGGGTAATTAACTATGGTGCGCGCTCGGCTGACTGCAATTTAGCTTGAACCCCCAGGGAGTTAGGTCGATCTAAATCTTAATCCCTGGATTGATCTAAATCTCTTGAAATACACCCTTAAACTGCACTTCTGAAGTGTGTGTGTGTGTGTGTGTGTGTGTGTAGTACTGTCTCACCCTGATTAATTGTGGCATTGGTTATATTTTCGACTTTTCCGAGAAAGTAAAAGGGATAACAATTGTTTATTTTGTGAAAAAAAAGGATGTTCCTGGGGTAAACGACAATTTTCCCAAACTTATCAATGGTTAATGAATCCGTTCTGCTTTTCACATTAGTCACTGTGCGTGTTTTGTTTTTTTCTTCTAAGTTTAGTTTTTGTAATGATCTCATAAGAGTTGACTACTAGTACAATGTTACATTATTAAGTCAATTTTGAAAAGGAAAAGGCACCTTTAAAAAGACTTACCTGCTGCTATCCAGTGACATGCACTGTCTTAATGTTGTAATCCAAAGTGACTGCTTGATTGCCATCAGCATCAGCCTACAAAACAAATAATTGTTCATATATTTCACAGCATCTTATGATTTCATAATATCAAATATCAAAATAAAACAGCTACTTTTTATGCATAAAACAAATCTGCTATCGACAATGAAAAATCACTGGAGAAGTTAATGCAGCAAGAAAAACATGTTTTAACAGGTTTAAATCATTGTGCTAAATTTCAGAACAATTTTCAAACTAAATTTTCACATTTTACAATTTTTTTAAAAATTTTTATAAATTATCAATTTCTGATGTCAATACTGAGATTGGTACATTTTATAGTAAGTTCAGTTACCATGTGAGCTGACAGTTAACTGTAAAGCTAGAATGAAGAGCCAGAATCTTGGATTATGGAGACAATTAATGAACCACCTTAGTCATCTTGATAAGATTTCCCAACATCTGTTGGATGGGAATTATAATAAAGAATCAATTACCTGTATCCTTACCAAAAAGTGACTGTTTTAAAATGATTATGATAGGATGGATGATACACCTTTGTCTTACGTGTATGAAGCCGGAAGAAAGCCCTGTCATAAGCTGAGGCCAGCAAAAAAGTTGCCAAGGAAATCTACAATGTCAGAATCTCCAAAAAAGTGTTTTCCCTATCTTTGAAAAGAACAATTGTCAACAGAAGTATGTTGGATTATACTACATTTGGGGAACTAATAAAACATTAACTTTCTGTGACGTGCAAGGACTAAAGGTGATGATATATGAAAGTGAAAGAGTTCAATCAAAACTTGACAAAGGATGTTTATGGCTTCAGCTACATTGTTTATGAGCACAATGCTTTTTACATGTAGCTCCAAAATGAATTATTCTATTGGAAAATGTTCTCAAAAGAAGGAAAGATAAGGCATTCACCCTTTGGTTGGTTAAGGTGAGAATAATTGTGATTCTTCCTTTTAATTCACATACAGCAGAAATTGAGATATCTTAATACTCCTTGTTGTGACAGACTGATATCTCTCTTCTGTCAAGCTTGATAATACCAACAAAAAAGGTAACATAATTCCATTTAAAATGTAGCAATGGCAGTGCTAACATAAGAAATAAAAAATATATTTTACAACCCTAAAAACATAAGAAAGACATATAACAAACTATAAGTCCTTTAATTGTTTATAATAAAATTTTTTCTTAGGGCATTTTTTGTCTGCCATTTTGAAAATCTTCATTTTACTAACTTAGATGGCTGTGAAAAAAAATAGTTGTCACTTGAATTAAGCATCATTTTCTGCCACAGACAACACTAACTTATCAAAAATTTGTGCTTCACCCAACCCTATTCTATACAGGTATATATATATATATATATATATATGAATATAGTTACTGTATGTAGTACATATGCTTTGCATGTGTTTTTAAAAATAGTGAAATTACTGACCTAACGAAAGCTCGTAGCTCAAATTTCTCATAAGAAAATAATTTTTTGACCCATTTTGCCTCTAAAATCTCACATAATTGTTATTTACCCTACCCTAGCCTAAATATCTAAATCAAATATGGTAATAATTCACTAGTATGGAAATTTCCATCAAAAAAATTTTTTTTTACATTTACTACAGAAAAATTTATTAAAGAGACAAAAACAAATACTGTTTTATCTTTGTTACACCAATATTATTACATGAAGTATAATGAAAATGACAAACAAATATATCCTAGTTGTACAATTCTAATAAATCAAATATATTCTACCTTTTTGTTTAACATAAAAATTTATAAGCAATTTAGAATAAATTTAAATTTCAAAAGAATTTTGTACAGCCTACCATCTCATTAACAGCAAACACCATCTAACACACTTGTTTATAAACTTAACTGCCATATTTAATAATCAAGTTTTATTAGGACTGAAATGCCTGTGGCACATATATTCATTGACAAGAGTGACGAGTTGTAATTGATTCCATGAATAGCAAACTGACATAGCTGGAAATCGAAATATACAAATATCTTCGTCATATGCATATAATTCACAGTTCTTACAAATTATATGAGGTAAATCAAACTAAAAAGGAACTGAACAAACTTAATGCCAGTGTTAGTACAACCAGCAATGACCAATTTAATCAGTAATAACCACATGCAAAATAAGACCTTGATATACAATCTAACAAATGCAAGCACAATTCATTTTTATTGATACTTACATTCATTTATTTCACATCTTTTGCATATTTTAAAAACCTAAGATATCTCCTTCTAATTGACAAATTAAATTCTAATACACACTAAAAACATTTCAGACACAATAGAGCAAATCAACAGAAATGTAATGTTCTCAAAAGAGAACACATTTTCAATCACTCACCTTGGAAATGCTACATCCACCAAGTGACAAAGAGTTATGAAGGACAAAGAAGTTCAGATTTATTGACATTGAACATCTATTAATTAACTGCATGTAACAGTTAACTAGGCTCAGCTTGCTTGCATAAGCATTATTATTGATTGAAGTCTTTGTTTTAGCACACAATGATCAATCCCTCTTATTTTCACACCAGATGGCACTAGCTAATAGCACTCACAAAGAAAAAATTCTCTTTCTTCAGTGTCATAAACTGGGCCCTCTTTAACTACTAACTTTTAAAGTCAATGAGCTAAATTTTAAAAAAATCACAATCACAATGAAATAAATTTTCAACTAATTTAATTTTAACAATGTGCTTCCATCCGAATTAATTTAAATAGATAAAAACTCATAAGTCTGAATGCACAATCAATGGTAATCAATAAGGTAAAAAACAAAGAAATATCATTCCACAAAAATTACATTTTATTCTAATATCCTTCTTCATGCAAGTAAATCTGCCTCCCTTGGTTACAGATATAATACCTTGGATTTTTCAACCATATTGAGTTTTCCTTCAAATAAAAATTTAATCCTACTTACTTAGATTTGATTTTCTTTTTTACATTTAAATTTTAAAAAGCACAGTGTAGGCTTTTTTAAACAATAGAAAAAGAAAGAAATTCCTTCATATGTGTTTAAAATTCTATACTGTCATTTTAAGTAAATGGATTCCAAATATTTCTCATAATGTTTAGACCTCCATGTGTTTCGGTACATTTTAGAGACAAGTATCAACTTCATGTACTTTTAATTTGAGGAATGAACTAGGAAAGGAGGAGATTTGTAGGAAATGTAGATACAGAAAATGACTTCAAGACATTTACAAATGCAGATGTAGTATACTAGTACCTCTAAAATAAACATCCTACTTTTCCTAACGTTTTAGAAATAAAATTAAAAATTATCAATTTAATAGTTGTTTTTTTTTTCCAAAAGTTCTAGGTGCATTATTTTTCTCATCAATCATTAACCAAATGAAATGAATTTTGCAGTTTTTAAAAAACTTTCCAACATAACTTATAAACAGAATTAATGAACTGGAAATATAACTTAAATTTTCTAACAAAATGTAAATACTAAATTAGAATTAGAACAATGCAAGAAATACTAAAAGTTGTTTTTTCCCTATTTTTCATTTAAGCTTTTGTTTTAAGAAATATGGATGAGTTACAATTTATATAATTTTTAATGATTTTCATACTTGAAGGTTGTTATTTATTTGCTTAAACATTAATAAAAGCATACCCTTCCATGACAAACTATTGCAATAATATATAAACAAGTGGAGAAAAATGTTCTGCACCTTGAATCCATCATAATGTGATGCACCTTTATAAAAATGAAAGCATGCTGATAAACATCTATATATAATTAGCTTTCTGGGTATCATATCTTTGCCATATATTAATACTTGATTTTATTTTCAACTGCAAAATGTATATACATGCATTTTTTAGCCACAAAATTATTTCTATAACTTAATTGACTAACTGACCATCCCTATAATTTATTTCAATCTAAACAGTTTATATGACATATCTTATTGAGATAATTCATTTTAAAATCTGGTGCCCAATTTTCATGTACTTGCAGGTATATTTTCCATACTCCTCTTTCTTTGAATTCTTTACATTAAAAAGAAACTATCTCTGAAGTGAAAAAAAAACGCTCATCATATATAGCTAAGTACGCAGCCTTGAACTCTTTGTTTAAAACAAAGGATTTCTATTAATAGCTCGCCTATGTTAATCAGACCATGTGCAACAGCCACTGCTCTGTGACATCCAAGTCCCATATTAAGAAGATGTCTATTTTCTATTTGTACTATTATTGCAATAATATATAAACATATTATTTGACTTTAAACTATGCAATTGCTACCCATGCATTGTAACGTACGTGGAAATCTACATGTACATGTATGTAGACCGCCAAGCAAGACGTAAAAAAAGTGAAACTTTTTATTAAGAATAGTACCCACAATATTAATATGTTTCACATCCAGATATAGCTATCCTTAATTCCATAAAAATAAGAAAAAACGAAAAGGTCATGTCTCACTTGCTTTAGGCAACGTCGTTTATTCGCATGCCGCGATGTAGCCTTTCGCAATCCCCTCCTCCACCTCCGCCTACACCCGGAAGTCGCTCCATACGGTGATCTTACGACCTCTATTACCCATAAAATGTTACTGTAACTAAATCGACGTGTTAAAGTAAATCGCTTGAGCTCAAAATCACAAATGTCATGTACATCCAGGAGCTCGTGCATATTTCGATTCCACATTGCAAATTTGCTTTGCTTGTTATGACACATTGTAAGTTGAAAACAACAAAGAAACCGCAACAGGTCCCCGCATTCCATCACTGAAATCTTGCAATCGTCGCAACGTCTCGCCTCATTACTTTGCATGTGTCTTGAATATGTGTTCAGAAATAATGCCCTTGAATAAATTGGTATTCTGATGATCTGTTTTCTTAAACTCAAACATTATTTCCAGCATGGGACACTCCCGCCACGGTTCTTTGTCCTCCATGTTAGGTCACATGGAAGGGAATTCCGCTTTCGATTGGTTATTTAAAATCTCGTTTGACCTCTCCAAATCTCACGTCAGCCATATTTGGAGACACGTCTGCTTTCGTGTCGATTTCACAGGTAAATTCCAGGTGAGTAGCGCTCTGGGTAATCTTCAATCGTAATAGCAAGAAATAGAATAGCATAAAGATCAAGAACCCTAGGATTTCAAATAAAGTACAAGCTGGTAAGCGGAAGAGTCGAATTACTATTTGACCCGTATACGGGTCCACTGCGCTGCTCTGCGAGTGTCGGTGGCCTTTACCAGAGCATGTACACATTACTTGGTAAATCGCAATGCATACTAGAAAAATATATGACATGTAGAGTCTATGAGTTTTACATCTACCGGTGGAGTGTTTGCCTCCGATGTAGTAGGTCGTTGGTACTTAACTTAAGGGTATCAGGCTCCAAGATAAGTGACCAAGCAATGATACATAGCCGCGTATCATAGCGATTTGTGACCGACAGTAGCTGAACAAATTTACAAAAAATTCTTTGCTTGGCTTAAAATTTACTGATATTCTGCATGGGACTGGGACTAGTGTTAAAACTGCATCTTGGTAGAGTTTTTCACCCTATTAAAAATATCATAGTCCATTTCATAATTATTTTGCTGCAGACTACAGTCGATGCTCTGCTGATTTTACAGAGACGGAACGTGTCAAGGGTATTTTCTGGTATTTTTCAGGATGGTTACTGACATTCAGCTAGCTATCTTTGCCAATATACTTGGTGTCACCCTGTTCCTGTTGGTAGTGCTGTACCATTACATTTCTGTGAACAACCCGAAGAAACATGAATAGAAACCTGGAGAAATTGGAAAGTAAGTTTAGTGCCATTATATTTTAAGTATTTTTTAAGGCAGTTATGTACATTGATGTAAAATTTTGACATTCCAATGTTATTTAGGTATATCATCACAATATGAAAATATAACAAAGTCATATTTTCTGTTTACATATCCTGCAAAACTACTAATCTTTCCCCGTGCAGACCTGAGGTTTAATACAATCATTCAAATGCTGATGACAGTATTTTTTTCTGAAAATTTACAGGAAGACATGCACCCCANGAGTTTTACATCTACCGGTGGAGTGTTCGCCTCCGATGTAGTAGGTCGTTGGTACTTAACTTAAGGGTATCAGGCTCCAAGATAAGTGACCAAGCAATGATACATAGCCGCGTATCATAGCGATTTGTGACCGACAGTACAGTAGCTGAACAAATTTACAAAAAATTCTTTGCTTGGCTTAAAATTTACTGATATTCTGCATGGGACTGGGACTAGTGTTAAAACTGCATCTTGGTAGAGTTTTTCACCCTATTAAAAATATCATAGTCCATTTCATAATTATTTTGCTGCAGACTACAGTCGATGCTCTGCTGATTTTACAGAGACGGAACGTGTCAAGGGTATTTTCAGATATTTTCTGGTATTTTTCAGGATGGTTACTGACATTCAGCTAGCTATCTTTGCCAATATACTTGGTGTCACCCTGTTCCTGTTGGTAGTGCTGTACCATTACATTTCTGTGAACAACCCGAAGAAACATGAATAGAAACCTGGAGAAATTGGAAAGTAAGTTTAGTGCCATTATATTTTAAGTATTTTTTAAGGCAGTAATGTACATTGATGTAAAATTTTGACATTCCAATGTTATTTAGGTATATCATCACAATATGAAAATATAACAAAGTCATATTTTCTGTTTACATATCCTGCAAAACTACTAATCTTTCCCCGTGCAGACCTGAGGTTTAATACAATCATTCAAATGCTGATGACAGTATTTTTTTCTGAAAATTTACAGGAAGACATGGTGGTTTAAGTGACTGCTCAGTCATTGAGAACTAAATTACTTGTCAATTAGAAATGATATAACACATCAAATCCAAATTCAGGTCAAGCAATGATTCACATGTAGGAAAATTTATTGGATGGGAAAAGTCCAGATATACTCCTATATCCCAGTGTTTTGATATAGTGCTAAGACGGTTTCTATCATTTCTATATGTAACTCTGCTATTTGACATTTTATATGTTCTGGAGATAACATCATTTAGGTCCAGAAGAGTCAGAAAATGTGAATATTGGCTCTCACTTTTTGTTTGTACCAATTTATCAACAATTTTGAATATCATTTACTTATTTTCAGGTAATTTATGACCAGAGCGTCATTTGAGTCCTTCCGATTATGGTACAGACTTTCAAGCTAGATTCCAAGTGAAGTGAAATGAAGGTCTATAATCAATTGAACATAAAAGGTCAACCAAAGAAGTGTTTACAAGGACCAAGCATTATGTAGAAGAATGACATTTCAATCATGCCAAGAATTGTGTAAATTGTGAATATTAAAGAAAATGTCATGAAAATAAATGTATATTTGTCCACTAGTCTTGTTTTTCTGTTGTGCACAATATGATGATCTTCTTTTATCCTGGTTAGCAAATGGCTGTCAAAAACCAAAGATCAGTCACGTGTAGAAACAGATCAAATTTATTTCACACCACATCTCTGGGCTCTTTACATTGTAAATATCTTGCAATATATTCACAATATGCAGTGTGCAAATTTGATTACAATATGCATTACATGCAACAAAACTGGAAGAATTTTATTATGGCATATGCTGTAAATGATAAGGTACCAAAAATATACAAGTTTCTGTTAACTTTTTTTCAAAATGCACAGTTGTTGAGTCTGATCACATTCTTCCAATTCTGTGAGCTTACAAGTAGTAACATTTGAACTATCCTTTACATGTTAGGTAAGCCTTTGGCCCAGCCCATCAATAGTGCAATTCTAAGCATTATCTTATTAATCAATTCTTAATGTCTACAAAGTTCCATATTCACCCTTCAGTACAAGTTTTATACATACTTAAGCATTAAACTTAATTTGTTTCATTTCCTATCCCAAAGGAGATGTTCCACTTTACTCCTTGGATAAAATCATTTGTCTTGATAGGATAAAAGAATAATTTCAAGAGCTATGAAGCAGGTAATAATGAACAAGTATAAGTCGCATTTATCAAATAACTTACACAGCTGAGAGACGTGCATTCTTTGACATGACCTGTTCCCTGCCCTCCTAACCACCTACTTCTATGTTGAAGTGAAAATATGTACTTCCATGATTTACAAGCATCACCTACCCACCCCCCTCCCATCCACATTTATTGGCAATTGTACAATATGTTTTGTCTTCATTCTCAACAGTAATCTTCACCCAGCAACAAAGGGAACTGTCACCAAAAATTTACTGTTCTTAAAACAGGAGCACCACACAAAGTCCAGTTTTTCAATATCATGTTCTACAGTGCCATGAGAGTCAAATTTACAGGCCAACGTATCACACATGGAGTGGGATCATTGCAATATGTTTTGCTCTTTGCTGTCTTTTTTCTACTGTCAAGGGTAAGAGATCAGTAATAGTGCTGTCTGATCCAGCCAGTTTACTTCCAGTACTCAGACTAATGTCACTCCAGCAGCTTGCAGGTATTGTTGTAAGAAGGTGGATGCATCTGCTTGAAGGCCTGTGCTGATCATAGGCAATAGCTGAAACAGTAGAGGGCAAGAAAACAAGCTCCATTTTTACAGAACAAAAAAGTCATAAAACAAATAAACAGCAATTTATATGCTAACCTACATGTTTGTTTATGGAATGAATTATTTCGAGCCAACAAATTCAATTCACCTACTACAGTTCATCTTTATCTGCTTTTACCTTTAGCAGATGGCTTCTACAAACTATGTGCAATACCCCCCACATACCCATGCACACACACACTTACCCTTCCCGGGTGTCCTGCCGACAGTTTATATAGACTTTGTGCTAGGTGAATCTTAGCATCAGGTACAGCAGCCACAGGGTCATTCTCCTTCTTGCCAGCAAACATCAGCTGTGAGTATGCAGTCTGATAACCTGGACACAAAAGGACACAAATTATTATTACTCATTGACATTTTAATTAAATTTAATTAAAGGATTTAATTATAACATCTTAGCATATTTTGTACTCTTCAACAATGCTGCTATAAAATACACTGTGTAAGAATTCCCAAAACAAGTTGTAGTTTTTCCATAAGCTCTTTTTTTCCACAAGCCAACTTTATAGATTTCAAATCCGTCCTTTCACTTACCTTTAAGACTGCATCTGAGTCACTCTGAAATCCATGCTTAGTAATATTTACACAAGGACTAGAGTTTACATTTGAACTGAAGTGAATACAGATGAGCTTCCACAACATCATACCTGGTGTTTCCTCTATTTCAATGAAATGTTCATCCTCTGGAATTGTATCATCTTCAGGGAGTTCAAACAATCCTATCAAGGCTTGCAGCAAAGGAGCCCTGAAAAAGAAATGAAGGTCAATGGTATACTACTACTTTCTTTCACCCCAAAACAACATTTAAAATATATCTTGCATATTTCGATTTTTTGTATGTAATCAAATTGCAACATAAAAAATATCAAATCACATTTCCTAAAATCACAGAAACCACCTGTTGTTAATCTCCAAAAAATTAATGACCATGCACAGATTCAATCAGCTCCACTAGTGCAAATTATTCTATAGGGCAAGTTACTCACCAAAACCTTGAATATTCTCCTTCTATCATGGCGGGAGCCTCTGTGAGCATTTTTGTGATCCCCACAGCACAGATCTTTCTCTCAATAGAACCAGACACCTTCTGCACATCCAGGACAAACAGTCGTTCTACTACCATTCCAAACATTCTGAAGAGTAAACACTTATTTTTAGAACAATTACACCAACACTTGCATTGACCAAGTCAAAAACTCAATGGCAGTGCACAAATCACTGCTATCATTCTAAGTGATTCCTGTACTTGAAAGTACGTGTAAGTTCAGTTTCAGTAATGTAATCCAATGCTGTAAATATAATCCCTGTAATATATAACATAAAAAGTGACAAAAATATAGAAACATATAAAACATCAGAGCTTTGCACTACTTTATACCTACTTGGGTTGAATTCCATCCACCATCTCGATCAAAGTGTTAGCAGTGAACTGAATGGCATACAAGCAGAAAAACACCAATAAACCTAAAATACAATGTGTAATATTATATTTTACCAACCAGAAGATGATGCTGATAATACATGAACTGTGTAAAGTCTACTGCCAATGCTTTTAAATGTACTTTCTTTAATGTAAATGAAAGTATAAAATTACGTACAACCCTGACTGGTGCTTAAACCACTTTTGAGAGATATAATATTTTATAATTTTCTCTGGAACTTACTTTTGACATATTTAGTTGTTTTAGAACTTTGTAACCTTTGGAACAATAACACAAAGACCTGTTTCATGTACTGAGATAACACATCACTGAAAATAAAAAGAACAATGTATTTTGCAACACACTAATTATAAAAAGATAAAACCTTTAAACGGGCATACAAAATGGTTTTATTTGGAAATAATACACAAAAACAGCACTTTCACAACATCAAACACTTTAAAAAAAACAAGATCTCCTTCAAATTCAACATCAAACACGTGCCCAGTATGTTGAGCAAAGAACTGAAAATTGCATTTACATCCAGCACTTGAAACATACTGACAAATGTCAGACATTACGCAGAAAAAAGTGCACCAAATAATGTTTTGGCAAATTGTGATGCTAAGTTACAAAATGCTTTAAAACAGCATTCTTACCCTCTTACATTATTTACTACAGGTAAAATGGACATTGAAAAACTAGCAAGTGATTCAGTTGAGTTCCATGGGATATAAAAGCCGCTGAAAATGCTATGTGAAAAAAAAGGGGGAGGGGGGTAATTGCCGTAAATGTAAAACAATCATGCCGATTTTGGAAAGCTATCTGCCTCTTTGCCAAACAAAACCACTAAATTGAAAGTAAAACAAAAATACGGTTTGGCAGTTATGGGTCAAACATCATGTGTCGAACAGTAATTGCAGTAAATGTAAAACAATCATGCCGATTTTCAAAAGCAATCTGCCTCTTTGCCAAACAAAACCACTAAATTGAAAGTAAAACAAAAATATGGTTTGGCAGTTATGGGGCAAACATCATGTGTCGGATAGCAACAGTGACGACATGGACAAACAGACCAGTCAGAATATGTACAGGCACTTGAATATATAAAAAATGATTTTATCATTATTAAAGACAAAACATTGATCAAATAATTTATTATTACATCTTTAATTCCAACAGAAAAAAAAGTTTCTTATACAGTACACAGTCAAGCTTATGATATTAAGTAATTACTGAATTAAGAGTTTATTGCCAAATGACTTACGCTGGTATATGTTGAATAATACTGTTGATCAAATAAAAACCTTCATGGTCATTAGATTTTGAAGCAATCAACTTCTGAAATATGCCCAAGAGGCCGTTCTGAAATAAAGAAAGACCATTTCCACTTTTTTAAACTGCAAACAGTTAACTACTTGGTCTTTAACACATTGTTTTACTAGCAAAGTAAAACTTCAGCTTCATCTGTCTTAACAAAAATTTTGACATCTTTTCTTATTTGATATCAGGGAATTAAAAATCAAAGTTTGTCATCCAATTGCGAAATAATCCTTATTGACTGCTGCTTTGCTACTGAAAAAAAAAAAAAAAAAAAAAAACAGCTACATTTTATCAAGGTCAACAATAGCTATCATTTAACAGCACTCACTACTTTTTCAGCTCCAATAGACCTTGATCCTTTCTCTATATAGGCCTGCAGTAGTCTGACAAGAGGAGGTATGTTGCCTGGTCTCTCCCACAGTACAGGTGTCAGGAGGTGGGGGAACAGGGCCATGTAAGACTCAGGAATACTATCTACGTGCATCTCCAGTAACAGAGATAAAATTTGGAACACATATGGTATGAACTCTAGAACAAACAAATAGAAGACAGTAAGTTTTCAATAATCACTGGTGGGTCACACAACCCCACTGACCTTTTGATCACATATTTGATGATATCTAACTGGTGTTTTTGGTCACACAGTACTGATTTTACATTCAGCTTGAACCTCACTCTGTAGATAGCAGAGATTTTCATGTCAATATGCAAAATTCAAAAAGTTATTTAAAAAATTGCAATTTTGTTTTATAAGTATAATCTACTTATTTAAAAAATTCTGTTGCAGAGAGAGAATAGATTATTTTCTAAATATTTTGACTTAAAACCCATTTTTGAACTGAAAAGAAACAAAAATTTCTCATGTCCATGATCAGGTGAAAAAAAAACTCAGTCTCTAACACAAGGTCCCACCTACCTTGCACATCTTGTTGTAGAATTGCTTGAAAAGGAGGAAACAATCCACTCTCAAAGCTGGTGACAGCCTGGAGGTCTGCTTTACAGGTGGATCTGATGGCTATACAGATACTTTCAAACAGATAGTGGTTGAAGTGCGGTTTACTGGGATTCTGAAAAATATTCATATTCATTCAACTATGAATTCTTTTCAATTATTATGTAAGTGATTAATATTTCAAAATTTCTTTGCCCTTAAAACGTAAAAGGCAAATAGAAACAAAAAAATCCTGAATCCTACTACAAAACTGAAATTCAAAGTTTCATCTTACAGAAATATATAAATATATTTTTTAATGTTTTTTACTCATTTTAATTAACTGCACTGTGCTGGACAGGAAGAACACATTTTTAAAGCTCCTGATATTTTCATTAGACTAACAATTTAAAGAAAGGATTAATACTTATTAAATCAAGAACCAGAAGCTTATTCAAGTAAGGCAAAATAACCATAGGATAAAATAAATAATGAATCGCAGCATTTCAACAATCAATCAGCTATGACAAAGGCATGGGTGTACCCCTCTCTGAAGCCAATTACAGATGGAATATCCAAAATAACAAAAGTGCATCTAACCACAAACTGATGGCAGTGATAAATTTGGCAGAGAACTACACATTTATTCTCAAAATAATAAACAAGACTGGTGTGAACTGACGGCATCACAAGAAAACCAATGATCTTTTAAACCCCCTACACATATGCATTTAAAAAGAACTTTATCAGAGTTGTACATAGGTCAACTTCATATATTTTACTTCCTTGGCCTGAGGTTTGTTTATCATCATGATACCAAAACAGACTTACCTTGCTTACTGCTATCAGTTTTTCTGTCAACTTGCCAATTAATGTTCCAACATATGGCAGAATACCATCTTGTAGCATGGAGAAACTTCTCATGATGGCTTAAATATAATCCAATGTTCAAGATCTTAAATATTTCTTTTATCCCATTTATATTAAAACTTCTAACTATCAAAGACCACCAAATACCAAATACTTGTTAAAACAATAGACAAACAAAAAACATTATACTCACAGGCTAACATGATAGAAACCAAAATATGCTCCGTAAAATGACCTCACCTTTCATCACATACTCATTCTCTGAGGACCCTTCATGTTCCAAAGCCTTAAACAAATTCACCAGTAAAACTTCCACATGGCCTTCCATCTTTGATTTTGTGATTCTGCAAGAAAAAAATTTACAGTGAAACTTTCCGAAACCTAGAGGCTAAGTGAAGTTCATGTAAAGACATTCAACTACGTGATGCCTATTAAAACCTTAACACATTCCTTTCTCTAAATAGATATGTCTATTTCTTTCTTTCTTTATTTATTTATTTATTTGTTTCCTTGCTCAAATTTCTTAATGTCTACCAATCTGTCAAATACAAAAATGATAGATCAAAGCTGGTCGAAGAAAGGCACAGTTATTCGAAGATCCAACTACTAAATGAAATTTGCAATTAATGTTCAAAAATTAAAATAATGAACAATATTGAATGATACCAGTCACTGAAATATTGTTACTTAGAAAACAAATTGTGCACCTTTTTCATTTTGAGGGGTTTCAAGAGTGTGATGAAGCAAAAATGACCAAAAGTATTGTTGTACCAAAAGATGTTCCTTAGGAATGAAACCAGACCATACGATGTGTAAGCCAAACAGATGATTCAAGGAAATTACTTACGCGGCACCTCCCTGTGGATGTCTGACTGTGAAGATCCTCTCCAGGGCCAGTGCAGCATAGGTGTGGCAGACCTGACTGTTATCCAGTAAGTGGTTCACTAGCAGAGGAACACAGGCTATGATGCTGTCTACAGGGAGCTTGGTAAAACAAGGGAATAATTACAGGGACTGCCTACATCATATCCTTTCAAAACTATAGATACTAAAAAAAGGTACAAAAAATATTCAAAATGTTTCTGCTTCGTTGAATTTTTTTTTCCACAAATCAAAATTTTCTTCAAACTCTGAGTTTGTATTTCACACCTACATCTTCTTAACACTCACCTGATTACGGAAAGTCATCACATATTTGATAGCATCAGCTTTCAAAACTGGAAATTCATTCACTAAAACAGAACAGTTTTAAATTAAAGAGCTATGCTTTGTGATTAATAAATATTCAGTGATATGACCGTTAATAAGTATGCCCCCAACCCCCCTCATGATATACAAGAAAAAACAATATTTCAAAAGCCAAGTCCATATTAACTGACATACAACTGATGATAAAACTTACCATTTGGAGACTGGAGGTCCGGTACAACATGGGCATTGAAGAAATCATTGACATTGACTAGTTCACTGGTCTGAGTTATTCCATGCTGGAAGAAACAGTAAAATCACCATGAAATTCCTGAATGAATCTGTAGACCAACATCAATATCTATTTCTCAAAATTATTCATAACAATCTGTATCTCTATAAAGCACAACCAACATCTCTCTCTCTCTCTCTCTCTCTCAGGAAACATAGCTGCACATTTTTAGTTAAAAGGGGAGACTGCCTACAAGTTGAATAGAAAAAAAAGAGGAACAAGCCCCGAAAAGTGTTTGAAAAATGGTAGTGCAATACATACTTTTTGTGTCTGTGCCTTGGCAGCTAGTGAGGTCACTAGGTAAATCGCAACATCTTTATTCTTCCAATTGGTAGCTGGATTTTTAGCATATTCCTGATTACAAAAGAAAATATAGAATTAGGCGGAACTCATTAATATCTATTCAAAAACCGTACTTTGAATTTCATGAAAAAAAAAAATACAGAGCACTTTGTGATTTATTTGCCTACTGCACTGATAACTTGCACGATTATTTCACTTACCAATAACATGGCCTGTACATATTGTGAGAAGTTCTGAATAACTGGGCCTTCAAAATTTTTACTCAAAGCCTTAACGAGGTCACATGCAGCTCTTCTCCTTGTATCAATATCTGAAAGACGTTTTTTAAAAATATTTTGCATACCAAGGCTGACAGTAATTTTATGCATGCATGTTTTCTCATATTTCACACTGTCATTTCGCTGTCTGAACAAAATCTTTAATCACACCACAAGGCAATTGTTAAAACTGCATCTGGTATCAAAGTGCCAAATTTAAGTACTGCAACAGCTTTGCCAACCTTTTTACACTATCATGTTACCAACAAACACAGCCACCCTTAAGATGTCACAGTGCTGAAAACTCGGCTCACACTCACTTACAAAACTGCTATGGTATCCCCCCCCCACACACACACACACACACCTGAACCCTCTATGTCTCTCCTTATGTATTCTTCAGGATTGTCCTCAAAGGTCTCTTCATCAGCCGCTGCAAGGAAGACATGTCATTCTTATATGTTAAGTAAAAATCCAATAACTATACAGCTTCTTAAGACCTGAACCACAATTCAGCACTCAGGCATTGCCAGAAAACAATTCCAATTAAAGACACATATCTATGATACTATTCATTTATATTCTTGATTCCACACACTTTCTCCTTATTTTCTAAACTGCAAATAAATGAAAACACAATGTATTTGTAAACACCTTACCTCTAAACTGCATGTTTGGCACAATCACCTTTTCACAGATGCTATGGAGAGTCTCGGTGGCTTGAAATAAACTTTTGTAGCCTGGTCGCTCAGCCACAGATGCCAAAAACTGGATAGCATTACTGACCAGCTAAAGAGTAATTGATGAAATTCTTGATGAAATTCTTGAAAATAAGACAGGTATCTATGCATTCATATTGGACAAAGAAATTAAGTTTATCAAACAGCAAATTGATAAATAAGAAATTAACCATGTTTAAATGCACCATAATGATATTAAGGTACACAACCAGTTGCATGATTGAAAATTTCACGTATGAATTGAACTTAAATTTTTCTATACAGAAAATAATCTGACAGTTAAGACATGTTATGTGAAATAAAGAAAAACAATTTCTTTCTTTAATCATTTTTTGGCTTGTCTTACCAAATCGTATTTAACCTCTTGTCCAGTGGTTACCAGCAAATGCCATATGGTGTCCACAAACTTAGGTAAGTGGTTACAGAATTCTTCATCATACTTCTGAGCATACAGTGCCACATTATCACAGATCTGGGATTTGACATGTTCCAGCAAGCCAGCTTCTTCTTCATCCTTAGCAAATAATTGTCTTTCTTGATTAAGTATTTCTCTAATGATGTGATCTTACTGAATTAGAATCTTTCAAGTAGTTTCCAAATCCCATTTCTAACACAGAACTGATCTCAATTCTTATTTGTTTCAACTGTTCTATCTCAATAATACAAAATATCAAATACAGTGAATTAAGCAACGCAACTACATGTAACACCATGGTATTTCTTACCTAAGTGATTTTAGATCAAGAAAAGTTATACCTGAGTTTGTAGTAACTTGTTATCTACTTGTAGGAGAGTCAGAAAGTTGTTCATCCAGATTTCCATGTTGTCCTCAAAATACTCCGGCAAGTCCTGCAAAATAATATTTTCAATAATGGATGAAAATGTTTTAAATTTTATTTTCTGTTTTTATTTAACATATTTAGGCTGTCCAAAATGCTTTCAATCAGAATGCAGATAAAGCACTAGCCAAGTAGCATATGTACATTTCTATCCTGACAAGTTCTTTGACTGACCCTTGCAGCCAAGTGTAGCCTACAGTTTTTAAAAAGATTTTATGATTTATGTGTCCAACACAAATATGGGTAAAAAAAATAATGCCCACACGTGCCATTAATATCCCTGAATCTCATGTAAAAAGTCATATACTGCATGACTACGGTCCATTTTCAATTACAGCACAGAAAAAAGCATACTTGACAAATGTATGCATCCTATGATAAATAAGGTAAAAACAACATTGCTATCCATCTCACCTGAAAATTTAAGCTGTAGAAAATCTTGCAGATGAGAACCAGAGAGCTGAAGATCACCTTCAGGGCCTTGGGGTCGCTAGCGTGCTTGGTGGCCAGCTCCATGGTAGCCTGGAAAGATACATTGTAATTCAAAAAAGGGAGATGACGATGAAATGAACTATAATTGATTTCCAATTTTATAACGTGAGAAAGATCCACTCATTTAACGAAATGTGAAGTTCAACCAAGGCTTTCTATGAAACTTCATATTATATTCCACTTTAGAGTATCATTAAAAACACTTCTGCCTCCATGCACAAATCCTCCATGTATAAAGTTTTAAAATTTTGCCACCGTGAAATTGAACTCTATGAAAATATCAAGTATGTTTTACTATATGATGCTGCTGGTTGGCTGGTGTTACTTCTAGGTAGTTCAAACAACTGCCATGAACTAAATTTCTGACACTTATCAAAAATGTATTTTATCAAAATTTACCTTGAAAAGTTCTGTGAAAGGTGCAGCAAAGTTGTCCAATACAAATTTTATTTCTGTCCAAAGCTCCTGCGACTTGAATTCATGACGATATCTATGCAGTACAATAAACAATGTTTTTACAAAAATCTTTTAGATTTGAATCCAATCCTTTTTAAACTGTATGCTACAAGCTTAAGGCATTATCATTATCAGGCTAAGAAACAAACCCCATTAACATTTACAAAATTCAGAACAATGTCACTTTTAAAATAAGTGAAAAATACACCACATGAATATGTACTTTGGCAAATGTTTGAATTTCATAACAATCACCTTTTAAAAATTGAATGGGCTGTTCTCAAAACTCCATTAATAATGTGAAAATCTCCACTCTGAAATTTCCCCACCATCTCCACCAGCAAATCTGGCCACTTGTCAGGAAAGTCCTCTCTTCCTATGATACTTATAGCATCACTTAGCTGCAATAACAACAGAGTGACATATAACCACCTGTCCATTGCGACCAGTTTAGTGCTCTACTAACCAAGAAAGTAAAATCCATATATATATATATTAATGGTCTAAAAGCCTAGTAATATCTTATCCAAGTGCAAAATACTCTGAACTTGTTATTCATTTATTACATGTAACTCACTTGATTTTGTATTTGTTCTGGACTGTTCAACATCACTCCCACTATAAGCCGTTTGATAGTGGCTCTGTCATCAGGGTGGATTTTGTCATGAGCCTCATCCAGCTGTTGCAGCAGAAAAAAAACAGAAATGTATGTAGAGTCGACCAATACTTTTCACTCCTAACAGAGTTTTGACATCATTATAACACACATTTACACATTCCAGAACTTAAGAACACTAACTCACCACTCTCCAGTTTCTTTTGATATAATTTTTAAAGGTGATAGCTGCACTGACTCTGATGTTGGCTTCTACCCCTGGCTTATCCAGTAAGTTCAACAGTAATAGTGGGTAATTCTGATTCCCCTCAACAGACTCCAGAAACTTTTCAGCTAAAAAATAGGTAAAAACATAACTTGGGTCATAAATGACATGAATTTAACTTGGCATTAAATACAAATTTAATGCATCATGCAAGATTTTTTGCTATTTTTATAACTAACTGAGACAGATAAACATGTTTTAGACATAACGTGACAAAATCACACAAGAAAAGTTAGTACAAAAATAGTTCTCATTCTTTGATCATGTTAAATGAGTTTTTATTTTAAATCTATACATCTGACTGCATTCAGTGCGAGTACCAATGGAGTGATCTACCTAGTGTGATACTTTCATTGTGAACCTAGCCTTAGGGTTCATTCCAATTGGAACTATCTGTCTACCTCCATAGATAGATCCAACTCCATGGGACTCTCACTGAATGCAATCAGTTTAAGAGATTAACACACCTCCTGGCGCCGAGTAGAATACAGAAAAGCAGGTGAAATCTTATAAGAAGACACTGGAAACAAGAGGGTGTGTTAATCTGATTGCATTCGGCGAGTCTCCACGGAGTTGGGTTGATCTATGGAAATCATAAGTTTCTATGGGAATGAGCCCTTACTAACAGCCAATGTAAGAGAGTTTGTTGCCGTGAAAAAAATATAAGCATGATGTGATATACTGGATACATTTATATACAATATTCATACCAGGTCTCCTAACAGCAGGATCTGGGGACAAAGTCTGAAGCAGGTAGTTGCCCAGGGTCTGCAAGTTAGCATCTGTGATTTCCATGATGAATCTGTAAATGATTACAATTTGGTGCTCATAAAAACATATACATTTTAAAGACATATTTTTCAAAGTATGTTGAAGGGAGAACTGGATCCTTTCAAATAAAAAAAAATTGAACAATACAGCCTTCTACCACCCATTAACTGTATGCATTAAATGTATGTTACTTTTTCAAAACAAGAAAAATCTATAATTGTCTGACTCTCTCACACAGTTTCTGTATTTACTGAATGTGCTAGAGTCAGAACACAAACCATTTACATGTAAGGTGAAATCTATTTGTGCTTGAAAATAGGTTAGTGGTGAATTTGGAATTAATGGGTGTCTGGATTTCCAAGTGCCACTAACCAGGTGTTATCCTGAAAATGAGTGAACAGACCCAGATTTTCTCTAACCTTACTCCAGAAATCGGTGGCATTAGACACACCCAGGAAAGAAAGTATTATAAAATGTCCTAAAATGACTCCAGTAAGTTAAACAGATGACACTTAGAATAAACTACCATAATACCACGATATCAATAGGTATTAACGACAGTCATCGAGCCATATATCACAGCATGTTCATCTTAACTTTATCTGGGTGTCACTGTCAACCGGCGACAGACTGATACAAAAACTGTTATTTTGACAGTCAGTGCTCAGTAGCACCAGCTGTTACTGATCACTGCATAGTTTAAATAAAGAAATAGATATTTTAGTTTTGGGCTAAACATTCCAGAGATATGCAAAATAAAACTTTAAATCATAAACTTCCGCCAAAACACATTCATAAAATTCTAAATACAGTTTACTCACATGTTCAAGGTTTCAAAATGGCGCTTCGATTTTCACGAGAATTCTCGCACTAACACTGTACAATCGGCAATCCTCGGCTGATTCCGCAAGCTCCATACTTGTTGTCGAGTGCGGAGATATCCGAATAGTTCCGAGTGGTGAATTGAATGAAAGATGGCGGCGCCCTGTGCGTCTTGGCGACGGCATTGATTTTGCCCAAGAACGTCGCAAAGGTATGGTTTTTAGGATATGTGTTCCCTGAAAAATCCTGTGCAATAGCAGCGACACCATATTTATACATTATAATCAGTTTAAGTACATGACCTTGAAGTTTAAATGCAGAAATGCCATCAGCTAGCGGAACCAATACCTGGCAAGACTACGTGGAAATCACAGTTCAGACTGGTCATGTTGGAAAATTTGCCGTTCATGGATTGCTAGGCGACAGGTGGGCATCAAGTTTGGGATTCCAAGTAACAAAAGCAGAAATTGCGTCCCTTGTTAGAGCATATATAGACCCTAGTCAACTTCATAAATATGGAATAAAATTGAATGGAGTTACATACGTAACGTTAAAAGTGGACAAAGACTTGATTCTCGGGAAGAAGGGAAGCACTGGTTGTGCAATAAGTAAATGCAAGCAGTGTGTTGCTATAGGTGTATATGATGAGGGAATGCACCCAGGTGGATGTACAAGTATCATTATGAAACTAGGGGACTATCTTAGAGAGGCAGGGATATAATATTATATAATGGACCTCCCCGGCAGCAGTCAGTTTAAGTGCCTATTTTTGAACAAAATTCAGATACCAATTCCACAGCCATGTAAAACCTTGGGATTAGTCTTATCACCAAAGACAGTAAGGTGGTAGATAACACATCCACCTTAATGCACTTGCTCTATGAGCAAATTTTTCGGTGAGAGGATTTAAAGAAAAAATTAACAGTAGAATATACATAATTACAAACTCTCCTACCAGGACATGTGAGCCATGACAGTATACAGTGACATTATATATTTAAAATACAATAATGAGTGCTAAAAATATATATTTGTATTTTTATTTTTTGTCGCCAAAGAAAAATTTTGTAGATTTAATATTTTATTTTCATACATACTGACAATATTTCTTATTGCTCAAATCTGAAAAAGAATAATGTGAGTGCTTTTGTGTTACTAAAATTACAAAACAATTTTACTTGTGAAATCAATTTTTTGTGCTGGATGCCATTTGTTTTACCTCATTGGCTATATCAGCAAAATTCTATACTGTCAAATATTGAAATTAAAGTGAGCTGTAATCAAAAGGAGTTTATAAGCATTGTTTAACTAATTGTTACATATTATATGACAGTTTGCACAAAAACCTATCATGTCCCGCAACACGAGTTGCCGCTTACTGTTATCAGGGTCATTAGAAAGTTAAGGCAGTGGCAACAAAAATCATTTTACCATGGATTTTTACACTGTGACTGCTCATGAACCTTTTCAGACAATGTATTGGTGTATTCATTGTTTATCAGTGCCATTTCTGTATGTTTGAAAAGGTGTAATGTTTGTAATTAGAAACTGTTATTTTTGCTCTTTATATTGAAATTTTATCTTTTTAAAATGTGCCATACAGATTAACTTCCAATCAAGGTATTGTTTGTCTTCTAGTTAAAATATGTTATTTTCGTTCTACATATATATTATATATTTTAACACTTGAAATTAGAATGTGCTATTTGTCTATTTGTAGAACAATACAGAGACTTCATGTGCATCTTTACATTTATGTCTATTCCATACTTTTTATAGGAATAGAATATTATGTAGTAAAAGGATTTAGTGCTTATTAATGTGTGATCATTCACAATTATGAATCCATATTTTGTGATTATCATTTAAATAATAAAAATCCTTTGTTAAGTGTAAGCCCAGTTTAACATTTATGTAATGATCTTGAAAATTGGCCAGTCTTTGATTGTAGATATTTTCTGGCAGGTCCAAGAAATGTCAATGAAATTTGACAGTTTGAACGCATGTAATAAATTTAAATAGCCATATATACGCTACAGAAGATAATATATTGTTTTTTTAGTCTTCTGTGACGTATATATGGTGTCGTTTTCTATTCTAACGATAATTTCATTTAACCCGACTTAATATTTCAATAGTTTATCTTCTACTTCTTGTAAAGGAAGCATTTTTATTCGATATGTTAACGCCAATTCTTGGCCTTTCAACTTCCTTTTGCAAATATCAACTTTTTTTGTCCAGCTATATACCATTGTTAAAAATAACCATTATTTCTGCGACAACTTTGCTATTGTATATGCATGATGTTCGAACCTGAATAACGCTGTTATATTCATTGTTAGCGATAGGCAAGTGATTTACTGTGTAGTGAAATAGCATGGCCCTAAATGTCACCTTTTAGTTGTCTACGGGTAGGACTGAAGAAATTCAATACTGCCATCCCTCGACGGCTTTTCATTAATTACTGTTCACCTGACCGAACTTTATCGAAACATGGCGCAATATTTATAAAGTGTTTCATTGTGCTTAATTGTTTCTTACAATCCTTTATTTAACATCATTACGTGACGTGTTTAGGGTCAAACCCATGACTTACAGAACAGTTTAATCAGGGTCAATACACCTCTTTTATATGGTAAACAGCCGATAACAAACGCTTACAAAATCGATGTTTTCTTAGCGACAATCTACACCGCATACATTATATTTACACAACGCCCGATTCTTCCTGAGTTTGTCAACCGATTTACGGGCGTGTGTATCTAATCTAGGGTTTATGCTAATATAGACACTGTTGTCACGGTTGCGCATCACGTACTGTAATGATCTGCGTCGCGCAGGCGTTCGGTCTAAGGAAGACGGGAGGGTACAAAGAGAGAACCATAAAAGAGCAACATCAACGTGTTATGGATTACATGAAAGACTGGAAATCTTACATTTCGGACATTTTAGAAGGATCAGGATATGTCTCAAAAGCGGGAATATATGATCTGAACGGATTTGAGTTGGCGCGAAGCGAAGGGCTTTTTGTTAGCAAAGACGAATTGAGAACTTTGAAGGAATGCATTCGTTACCCAGATATTGCTTATAGGGACGGAATTAAAGTTAGCGGTCGACACTATGAAGTCATGGTAGCGGACGGACAACAGGGGCTCTTAGCAAAGACTGGGTTGCATGGAGTAACGGTGTGCCAAACTAGAACAATGATTATTGTAGGAATTCATAAGGAATATGTACCGACAGCCAAGTGCAATCAGGTCGTTATGGAACTGGGGGACTTCTTCGTTTATAGGTCTTTATGACAACTTCAAAAAACCTTCACTGCAGATTTTCAAAATGCCAAAGTTTAGAAACATATATATTTATTGGGCTATAAGCGACTGAGAGCATTCTGCTTTCTTTTCAACAAACACAAGTACGCATTCAATTGTATGTTACTGATGTGGAAGAAAAATCATTAGATCGCATCAAATTCTTACCGGCGTTTTTGCGAGACGACAGATTTGCAAGTGGATTTCTAAAGCACGGAGACACCAGTTTAACAAACCCCCATGTTGACAGAAGATCGATCGGATTATGTCTGAATACCAGGACGTGACATGTATACGAACCAACTTTTCAACCTTTTATTTCGGTTGTTCATGTATATGGTGACTCATGGCAAATATTTTGTCCACAAAAAAAGAAAATATTACGTGTACGTCTACCCAGACAAGTAATTTACTCAAGTCATAATGATGCCGCGCCGTATAAAACGGTGCCAGAGCACGGTGCCAAATTTTAAGGTTAAAAACGCGCTATGCAACTGCTTAGCTTTTACCTATTCAGTGAGATATAGTGACGTTGTAGCACAAGGAGAGAGAAAACGCTTCACCGTGAGTGATCCACACACCTCTTCCTGCTCATAGGCCTATATGGTTCTTTGCATCCACAGATACCAAGTCTTGCGACCGAAGAGGTTACATTCAGCAATTAATTGTAAAAGACTACTGACTGATACTTTTAAATATATTTATGGACGTATCAAGGCGCACATTTATGTCAATGCCGAATTAGTAGCTTTATCAACACCGTGGACATTTTAGAACAGGAGGATGCTATTTACACGTCCAAAAGAGTTGTTGTATGATACTTTTTAAAAGTTAATGAAAATTACTGTTATTTTTCTAACCTGCGATTATGTAAATAGATAAGTTTGAAATTTTAATAATAGGTATAGTCTGGAAACTGATATTGGACTTTACCGAGGCACGAACCAAAACTGTAAACGACAACTTTAATTATTTATCGCTCCAACTAATCAAAGTAGATCTGAAGAGATATTTAATCATTTCTAGCATTGTTATCTTGCGTAATTAACTACTGCTTGCAATTTCCTGCGCAAGTGGAAAACCCCACAAAGCAATAATTAGAAATTATTATATTTTGGTGATATATGCCTTTCTTCTTATTATTTTATTATTTTTTTGCTATCTGTGGTGTCGAAAAATTGTCCCCTTTCGTCCTTCTACATGTATAAAACTGTCACAAAATGAAAAAAAAACAGTTGTTATGAGTTTGGGTACAGAACAAATACCCATCGACCATGTTTTTTATCAGTACGTGCACAGTTTATATTTAAGAAAGAGGAGGATGGGAACACAAATTCCCTTAAGGAAATCCTGTTACCCTGTGCTGAATCTTCCGTAATTTCAATCCTGGTTCCGCCACTGTCAATTGGTTATCAGGGGAATTCATCTGGTATTGTAAACTAGTGACATTGCAATTTTAGATGAATCAAACTGTATGTCATACGGTCTTTTTAGTGATGTACAACCACGTTCACAAGGTCTTCTTTTTCGATCTTTTATGGAGATTAAACTTTCTCCGTACGGGAATTACCCGCTTAAATTAATTTCTCCTACTCAGTGTCATTGCTCAACCTGTCCCTGCACTTGGGTTCAACGTTTTATTCTATTTTGAATTTGATGATTAAGTCAGAACGCCGTGTCTTCCTGTACATTTCAGAAGAAACTATCCACGCCAGGTACTTTTATTTGACGGGTTTTACAGTTTTTATGGTCTAAATTGGGAAAGATTAGTAGCTTGCAGGGTATGTAATATAGAAAACATCACTTTGTGGATTTACAAGCGCACACAATGTACCTTTATTCGTTATAATGACGCAATGGTTGGTCAGGAGCCATACTAAATTATGTTACACGGGTAAAGGCGAAAATCCTTACATTTACGAAAGTCAGTGTGACGTTTCCCGCGTTTGAGCGGAGTCAGATTAATAACTGGATTTAATTACTCTTAAATAAGAAAGATATTACAAATGTGTTAAAAACTCTTATAGGTATACAGGTTCTTTTTATCGAGATTTATTAGTGTCATTAGACAAACAAAATGGAAAGTACGCTTAAAAAAGTGAGCCCGAGGTTCATTTGTAATGTGCTGAATAATTGGTTGCGGCAAACTGGCGAGATGCTGGAACACGCCTCGTCACCTAAAAAGATATAATTATATATTCAGTGAAAATGAGCAAGGCAATAAAGTTGGTCATTTAGCCTGGAACTCATTAAATATGAAAAATCAAGCAGAATGGCATATGAAGTTAGACTGGTGATGTGTGTCAAACTCAGAAAAATGCACTTGAGTGAAAATCCATTAATCTAATACCAAGCTCGTTATGCGAATGATAACATGCATAAATGAGTTTATTTCATCCCAATTCAGAGGTTATCAACTCATTAACTCCGCGTGGGATGATTTGAATTATCCCTCTAATTTAGTGAAAAAGAGCACAGTTTTAATTTTTCAATAGATTAAACATTACTGAAAGAATAGGTGTACTTCTGGTAAACAGTGTTACCCAAAGAACTAAAGGGGAAAAAACCAACCATTTTTTTTCACATCATGCTCGTTGATAGCAAGCAAAATATGGACCCTATCGCCGACCAGGTGAAATCTGTGCATGTTGTTTTAAACCTCTGCAGATAATCACTTGCATCAGGAATTTTATATATATTCATATAAATTAGTGACTACAAAGGTAATATATTAAAAGGAGTGTGAGAAAACGTTATCTGGCTTGAAATAGTCCACGAAACGGATTTTAGTCGCACTAAACATGTTAATTGTCAGCTTAGTCTTATCCATCCATTAAAAACACTACACAAGCACATTTTCTTACATGTATTACAGCGTACTGGTATATTTCTCCTTGCATGTTTTCAGATTCAATTTTTGTCCATAACTTCTAAAGTTTTAATGTTTAAAACGTGATATAATAATTATCAATTACAAAAGTCGCTCTATTTTCAACTAAAAAATGGATTACATTGAAAGGGAATAAACATAAAAGTTCCCCGTGTTTCTCTAGCGTGCTTTGGTGAATGCAGGAAAAAAGCATTGAGGAAAACGGACCGAAAACAACCAAAATACATTCAGTATGTTAATAATATCCTTGGAAACGGGGCCTTTCTACTGATAAAGAGTTTTAGTCTGGAATGGTGTTGTCATGCAGAGATGGGTACCAGAGAGCACATAAACAAAAAGCGTTTTCTTGACACTTATGATGTCTACGTACACGTCTTTGATAAAACGGTAAATGATCACAGGGCAAGGAGCTACATTTTTCGCATCTTTGAAAGTTCATTTCTCGCCTCCCCCCCTCTCTCTCTCTCGTGTTCGTTACCTTATTTTTTCCACCTTGCAACACACCGGCAGCTTGAGCTGAGGAACCCTGATTTGCAGTACCCCTCCGTATAGCCTCTCTTTCGGCATAGTCTGTTACAGCTAAATTTCCAGCAAGCGTCCGCTACATCGCCTAAAGAAAAAACAAAGCGACTTTTCTTAAAATAGTAACTTTAAAAACGTAGAGTGTACTGGAGAAAAAGAAAATAAAAATAACAATAAAAAGAAATAAAATGACTTCCCTTCTACTCTACTGCATTGTATAGGTCCATGAAAAAAATACAGAAAAAAACGATATATTTTATAGAGCATTTTAATTACTGAGTATTGAGTAGTCTGTAAACCATCAACTGCGCTTACCTAAAAGGGCGAAGAGAACGAGAAACAGTATCAAGAAGGTGACCTTGGAGGACTGCATTTCAGTGGGGTCCCTGTGTGTAAAGAAACATAGGCCAAATATTAAAACAAAACTTACGATTAAAAAAAAAAGAAAAACGGAATAAATTTAGCACCAAGGTATAATTGTAAAATGTCTACTCATAAGCCCACTTTTATACCCTAAATGTTCACACACACACACACACACACACACACACACACGCAATGCCATTCACTAGATTACCTGCAATTTTCCAGTTTCAAAAATCAGCGCTCGTTTAGAATAGTGATTGAAACAGTTTGAAGTACAGGCTGTTTTTTTCATCCACCACTAACACTGTTGGTTTACAGTTATGCTCGAACAACGTGCTTTTATCTACCTATCAATGGGAGTAAATCATTGCGCTGGAATGAAAGGACAATTTTCAAACATATTAAGAGTAATAAATTAGACTGACTTAATTTCCTTATTTTTGTTACTTACGCCACTCTAGTCACGTTCGTTAAATTATTATAAGAGCAGGACAAAACCAGGTTAGAGAGTGCGTGAGGGGTGGGGTGATGATGTATTTTTGCACACTGTGCATTCACCTGCGATCGATAGGCGAGGGAGCTATCATTAAGATATAGAAACACAGTAGACATTAAAAGAAGCAGTGCCATTCAATAGGCCTACCACAGTACTGAACCCCACGACCCCCAGTAGTTTTAAGAATTAATCTGAACGATCTTGACGCAACTTCAAGCGAAGAATGGGGCAGCGTTATGAGGTGTTGCATGTATCACTATCAAATATATCGATCCTCAAAGGAAACGGTGTTAAAATTAGTTATAAAACGGGGAAGGGGGTAAAATTTACGGATAAACGTGTACAGCATTTTCCTGTTGAGTGTTTTCAGAGGTGGTATTTCACCTTCTCTCGATGTAACTCTTAGCCAATCTACAGGTAGGTCAATCATTGATAACCAATCCTGCAAGTAGACGTGAAATGGTGTCCAGGATCAGAAGTAAAAAAGGCGTCATGGGGTCTAAATTTAAGACTTACTATATTTGAGGTGTATTTCTCAAGACTCTGTCGTGGTTTCCAAAGTGACGCGCGGTAACATATTTTGCATTCTTAATGGCAAAATGAAGGAAAACATGCATGTAGGGGTATAACAGACTACGCTGAATTTTTCTTTTTTAGAATAGGCTCATAATAATAATAATAATAACATTATTATTATTATTATTATCATTATTATTATTCTTATTATTTGTGCTTGGGATATGCTACCATAAATTAATAGGAGTGGGAGTAGTAGCCTACTGTAGAACTGTCAACCACGTTCAAACAGCATTTCCTCAAAATGTGAACATTCTGTTCAGTCTGGTTGAAAATTTCATTTGTTCCATATTAAACACTACCGGTATAGTGACGTTGCAAATCATTGTGTTGCTGCGATATCTCCGAATGCTGTAAACTAACAATGAATTTGGCTTGTCTTGAAATATAGACTTCACGTGACTACTTCTCTTAAAGCTTCCGCCGAGATCCATTTGTGGTTTTGTTGGAAATAGAAAACCAATTTACCATCATTTACGTGACTCGATTTCAGGACCCAGTAAAATATACAGTAGGTAAGGTCGATGCGAGGACCATGTTGTCCTGTTAAGTTGACTTTTAGGGTTATTACTTTCTGTTAATTGGCCAAATAAATATCGCCGGTGACACAGTTATTTCAGCACCATTTCAGTGACAGTGCCACTGTACACATTACATTGAACTTGAAGATGATAATCAAAATTTAAGTAATTTGTAGACCTCATGATGTGGCTTGTGTAAAGTGTAAGGACATGCAAAGTTGTTGTGCGATATGTCTGGTTTCTCTCTCAGACTCTCGATCACATGCTGCACATGCACACTCGCGCGCACACATCCCACATGCGGTGATATGCAGTGTACCGGTGTCACGTGAAGAAACCGTCGTCGTGAATAAACCGTTCTGACGGATTATTCACGCGGGGGTAGCAGTCTGTTGACTTACAGTACGTAGCTGCACATGCATTTCCAACATTTCCCCGTAGAGAAAGTTATCAAACACACAGTTATCAAACACACAATTTCTTTTTAATGAAAATGACTGAACTCTGAATTGAAAGAACATTGTAGAGTGAAAATATTTATACTGCGAGTCTTAGATCTGCCACGTTTTTCACCCAGAGCAAAACAGTTCAGTCACGATCAAAAGCTCACTTCCAACATTCCCCGTATACTGTAGTAATAAGATTATCAAATACATACGCTCTCATGACGAAAACCACTGAATTATGAATTGGAAAATCATAGTTCAGTGCAAACATAGCGCCTACTTAGGACGACATCATCATACCGGAAGTTACTTCTTTCAATCTACCCTCAATGCGCATGTGCAGAACGGTTTCGTCACGGCATGGGTCTATCACGCCACACCGGAACTGGAGTGTAAGTGTTGACACATACACACACGCACACACACACTGCCAGCCTTATTCACAATACAATGGATGACATATTTCAGTGATAAGTACAGCTGTAGATCTACCAGAAATGGCCAACAGACGCTCACAAAGACATATTAATTTAGCACAAAAATTCATGCGTTAGCACTCCTATTGTCGATTCTGGTATGAACTGTCTGTGTTAGCACACAGTACATATCAGAATCGTCAATAGGAGTGCTAACGCATGAGTTTTCGTGCTAATATTTATTTTGCAAGTAAGGCTAAATTGCTTTAGAACTCTTTTCAGTTGCAGTACACTATTTTATTGATTCTGATTTCAGAATATCTTTTCATTGTTAGGAAAACAGTGTGCAATGACTGCTTGCAATTTAGACAGTATATATGTACAGTGTATGTTTAGAACCCTTAGACCTGGGTCTCTTTTGGTTAAGATTTGCCAGACACAGTAGCAGCTAGACATTGATACCAGTATGTCCAATTCATACACTGTATCTAAATACTGTATACATAAATGTATGATTTGTTCAGCTGTTAGTAACAAATTTATATTTATTAACCTACCATGTTAAGTTGCTGCTCTATTTGTATACTAGTATGTAACTTGCCAGGACCTTACTAGTAAACAAATTGTTTATATGTTAGACCTTCCATATTTAAAAGAAAATTCAGAACTTGAGATATTATACAATGAATGTTTTTTTTTATTCTAGGAGAAAAAAATCATAGCCATCATCTATAATTTTTAAAGTCATGGCCGATGACGAAGATGTAATGTTTGACAGGGCATCTCTATTGACTAACAAAGTTAAAACTTGGGAGAAAGGTGAAGGCAGATATTTCAAGACTGTCAGCCTTTGTATAGCCTTCATGGGACTTGTAAGTAGACCACTCTCAAGACAAATTTACAGTCAAGCTGGGTCTACCTTTGGTCTGGTCTCTAGCTTTGTCTCTACAGTATATAAGGTCCACCAAGGTTGGCTGGAAATGCACCTTGTAATAGTCACATACTTATTTTACATGCTTGTGCTGCTTGTGTGCAGCCCAGTCTGGTTTTTACATGAATGTTGGAAGAAACAAGTTGCCTGTATCTTTTGCATGTTGTTTTGTCCATTTGGTTATTTAGCCATTTTAAAATCAATAAGCAGTACTCACAGAAATATTGTAGTTTCTTTGGTCTGTTGAAAATATAAAATGCATCCTATATTACAGGGAGCATGTATAGCCTTGCCAGGGCCAACACTCATAGACTTGAGAGAACAGGTTCAAACCACTGTCCAATATATAAGCTACATCTTCAGTGGCAGGTCAGCTGGCTATCTTGGTGGGTCAATCTTAGGTGGAATAGTGTTTGATCACATGAATCACCACCTGTTTCTAAGTGCCATCATGTTGCTGACTGCTGTTGCTACTTTCCTGTTACCTTTTGTGAAGAAGCTCTGGTTGTTGGCATTTGCCATGGCTGCTCAAGGTATAGCTATGGGATGCTTGGACACAGGTAATTTGATAATATTTACAAATAAGGGTATCATGTCACTGCATAGTATTCTTACCTAATTTTTCAAAGCCATCGTATTTTAAGATGATCTACTAAAATAAGGTAGATGAAGAAAAATTTAAATAATTTTTTGCCAAATTTTAATTGGTTTTTAAGCTATAAGGGGAATAATTTATTTGGATGAACCATAAAAACTTTCCCCATCATCTCAAGTCTTTTGGATCTTTTTTTCTTTTGAACAAATTATTAAGAAATTTTTGTTTTTTGAAATTTGTCAGTTTTCAGTTTTCAAGAAATTACTGAAACCTTGCATAGTCAAGACCTTATATTGTAGTTTTATTCTAAGGTATTTTGTTCACTCACAATGTAGTATCTGTGAAAATGGTCTCTTGGCAGTGTGTCTGTTGTCTGTCTGTGACAGCAGGACTACTCAAGAAATACAAAATTGTTTTTCATTTCCCTACAGTACTGACAGTGTTCTCTAAGAAGTTTTAATGCATGATAGTTCTAATTTCCTTATTGTTCTGCATGGTTAAATATATATATATATATATATATATATATATATATATATATATATATATGAAATACAAAGTAAGTTAAACATAAATGTATCATATCTTAATGTTTTATTTCAGGTGGAAATGCACTTTGTCTCAGTATATGGGGAAAGCACAGTGGTCCTTATATGCAGGCCATGCATTTTGCATTTGGAATTGGTGCGTTTTTAGCACCTCTTGTAGCAGAGCCATTATTATCACATCCACCCAACAACATAAGTGTTTTAAACAATCTGTCAGAGAGAGAAATATATTCAGATGTCTCTCAAAGAGTGAAGAGGAATGCAATAAGTAATGAAACAACTCCTACAGTCTCAACTGTTAAACTGACTACACTATTTTCCTCCCCTGCAACTGACCATCATAAAAAACCAAAAAAAACAGAAAGTGAAAATCAATCACCAAATGCTGCTGATGCCACTAATGTTAAAATTGAGTTACAAAAGGCCAGAGATCCAAAGAAAATATCTGTTTGGTCAGATCCATACACTACCACCAATGCTTCTTTCTTATCCACATCATCTACAACACCAAGTAAACCTCTCAGTTCTGAAACGAAATTAACAACAAACAGGCTCCCCACAACCACTCCCACCCCTGCAACCATTTTTTCCACTTTAACCAATACAACCCCTCACACTCCCCCTACGACCATCTCTGCCACCTTGACTATCCCTACTACTACTACTACTACTACTACTACTAGTACTACTACTACTACTTCTCCCCGTCCTCCTACTACTACTACACCAACTGCCACTACAACTACAACTACTACTACTCCCCCCACCACCCTTTCCCCCGCTAACACTAAAGTTGCGACCATACCCACACCATCCCAAAAACAGCTGCCCAACACTGTGTTCCCCTCTGACCCTGTAGTCCCAAGAGGAGAGGATAAAGACAACAGTTCTAATATAACAGTAACACCACCTGCATCTGATGACATTTCTGATGTTACTAAGAAACCCAACAGTTCAGTAATAGGAGGCAGGATACAAGAGTTGTTGGAGACCATAAAGAGTGCTTCTAAAATGCAGTATGCTTACATTGGACTAGGCATTTTCTTGCTGCTGTGTTCTGCACTGTTCCTGGTAACATGCTGTAGTGAATACAGAAACCCACCTAGGGTTCAAAATGAAGAGATTGAAATATCTGACACACGCAAGGACCCATGGTGCTTCAAACTTCAGCTTCTGTTTCTGCTTTTCCTATTCTATGCTTTGTATGTGGGTTTAGAGATCTCATTTGGAGGATTGGTCACCACTTTTGCTTATGAAGACCTACACTGGGACAAGCCGCGTGCTGTTCAGCTGGTGACCGTGTTCTATGGTGCCCTCTCAGCTGCTAGGGGTCTGTCCATCTGTATCTCCAAGTTTATGACGCCATCCCTGATGTTGGTGTTAGACTTAGGTCTATCTGCATTTTCTGTAACTATAATGATGTTTTTTGCTGAAAAGTATGAGATTGTGATGTGGTTGAGTACAGCATCATATGGTATGGGTTTAGCATCCATATTTCCAGCTGGAATATCCTGGGCAGAGAACTACATTCACTTATCTGGGAAAGCAACGTCTGTATTTGTAGTAGGAGCTGCACTGGGAGAATTATTTTTTCCTCCCCTCTTGGGGTATTTTATCAAAGGGAACTCCATGTACTTTGTGTATATCACGTGTGGAGCCAACATATTGACTTGTGTGGTCTTTGTGATTATGTACAGATTGGCCTCTAGCAGAGGAGAGAGATATTTGAAGTTGCCGCAGAGACTTGAGTTTGACAATGATGCAGATGACACAATGGAGATGGAACACTTCGATAGCAAACCAACACATCCCTTATTACCTTCCTCCCCGGGCCATAGTCAAGCAAAGAAGAAAGTGACATTTGACATTAAAAAACTCAAAAATGGGGGAAAACAAGATTGATTATGACCTTGATAGAAATTGGGGTAACTAAACTCAATACCCCAAAAGGATTTTGGAGAATATTTTAGGGCCTTTTGTTACATCTGGGCAATATTATATGTTTGGGATGGTAGTTGTTAAGGGTGCTTTCTCTTTTTCCAGTTTTCTCTGTGTTGTATCTCTTGCTACTGTAATGCAATTATAAAAATGTTATGTCATCTGACACATTAAAAATGTAAGTGGAAATATTGTTCTTTTGTTGGAAATGTATGGGCACTGTGAACCATATTTATTCAAGAAGGTATTGAGGGAATATCTTGAGCAATGGTGTAAAATATTATTTTGAGAGTTCAGGTTCTAATAACGTAAATACTCTTCTATGTTCATCATTGTTGCCCCCGATAAACAGATTTTATGTTATTTGCTTTCACTGCATGCACAAATCTATTTTTTAATCAAATTGCTTTAAAGCAAACTACTACACAATTATGCAAATATAACAAGATAGAGTCTACATGAAGTCTATTGGAAGAAAATAACTTATTTTTTACATTTTATGGTTGTTAAGTTGGGTATGAGCCTTTTGTTTAAGTTATACAACTTGCCTTTTATAAGTGAAATTCACTGTTTAAGTTGTTTAATTGTTGCATAATAAATGTGGTATTAAAGTACATAGGAAACTTGCCATCATGAATGCAAAAATATTACTTAATAGTATGTTGGAAAATAACAGTATATATACTGTGCCACTATAACAAATAAAAATTAATATGTATGAGTGTTTTTTATTTGTGTGTAATTTAAGAGGGAATTGTTTTTGCAAAAATGTTAATAATGTTTGCAAGAAGTATATAATGGCTCTTAAGGTGAAGTAGGGGCATATTAAGCATCTATTGTTAGCAAACACCTTTTATGGTAGAGAAATCCAGTAAGTTCCACCATTTGAAAAGGAAAAATGCAGCTTGAAATGAATGGGCAGCACATATGTAGCTAATATTTATTTTGTTTGTTGTTTAATTAAAATGAAATAAAAAGAAGTAGCAGAATAAGTTTGTTTTATTCCACGTTAAAATGACAGCGTCATGCACTAAAATATAAGGAATCACCATTAAAACATTGTACAGTTGAAACCTGTTTATTTCACCACGGTGGTATAAAATATCAGTGGTGTCATGCCAATACAAGCAAACCAAGGAGTAAGAGTGATTTTTGTGTAATGCAATACAATGGAACGAATTTCTCATAGAACCTAATAGATTGTTAGCATCTGATATGCCTGCTTGCGCTAGGCCCTTTAAATATCCCAAAGTTAGCATAAGAACATGATGCCATTCTTTAATATGTAAAGTAAATTTACCTTTTTATTTTTGAGTTGCATTATCTAATTTGATGAAATTTGATGGAAAGTGAACTAATAGGGGAAGGAGTATTTTGAAAAGTGCAAAAACCATTTACCAGGCACGTTTTATTGAAAAAGAAGTATGCATACCATTCTAGTGAGACTCCCCAGGGGGATGGATCGATCTAAAAATCTGTGGGAATGCAGTCTTATATTCACAATCTTACTGCAACCTTGGGTTTGACCTTTTTTCCTTACGATTTTGTTTATCAATAAGATGTGAATGAAGTTTCATTTACCGTGATTTGGCAATTGATAATTTTCTTTCCCGTGAAGTGCGATTCCTACCCTCCTCACCTCAATAGGACCCTCAAATAGATATTTCTGAAACAGAGCGACAGAAAGGAAGAGTCGTATCGATAATTTTTTCACTAAAAGAGAGTTACAGTGAGACGACTCCCATCGCGCTTCATTTAGGACGAAAAAGGTAAATAACACGAAACTGCTGGATTAGGTTCGGCAAAACATTTCCAAAAATATTGGAAGGAAAATCCGTGTTTTTTGTTTTTTCGTTTGCAGCAAATTCCAAGAAAAGTAAGAGTTGTTTTCTGCTTACCAGTTCCCCTTTGGAAGTTATCCAGGCACAAAACTATATCCCGAAGCTACGTGTACATCTGCACTCTGCCTAGCATACAAAAAATTATTCGAAGCAAGGAGTTATAACTCCTTGTTCGAAGTCAGCCTACACTGTAGGTGTTTTTTAAAGGGGGATAAGACAACAGAGACATTAATTTCTGCTGGCTAACTTTTTTTATCGCTTGAAAACATCGTTACTGTAAAGGTGAATGTTCCTTTACGTTGAGTAAATTTTAATTGCGTCAGATTTAAATTTGCTAACTTTCTCTTTCCTTTCGCTGTGGTTGCTTTTTATCTAACTTAATACATGCCTAGGCTCCTTGTTGTTCCAAGCCTTGAGAATTCTCCCAGGCGGATGGGCCCGACTCTCTAATGTCCTTGGCTTGAAGGCGCAGCGTCTTAGAAACAATACAGAAAAACATCCTGGTTTGACCTATAAAATGTCAACGCTAAGCCACATCTTCAGAACTAACTACAAGCCTTTTATTTGTGTGAGAAGACGTTTTATACAGCTTTGCCTGCATCAGCCGAGAAATCCCACAAAGTAATTGCCATATTGCTATTCTTTTCACTCAAATTGCGAGATATTGCCGCCAAGTAACAACGTAAACATCTTATTGCTTTTAAACGATTGGCTCTTTATACTTGTAATTTACAGGAACCTTCATGGAGACCAAAGTTTTCACTCTCTTTGCGTTCCTGGTTGCAATGACAACTGTGTGCAGCGCCGCATCCTTAGGTAAGTAGGAATATAATAATGCGGTAGTACATGTATATAATAACATAGAATTATGAGAGAACTGTTTCGAATGGACGAGGTCTGTAAAGGTCATCCCAGCAAACAGCAAATATTTTAACAAGTTAAAGCCAAAAAATCATGTTTAAAACATTTATGTTGAGCTTGGACCTAAATAGAGAAGGCCTTCTCTATTTAGGTCCAAGATTGTACCTACCGCTTGGTTAAGGTGTTTTTAAAGACTTTTGACCTTATTTATCTATCTGTTTTAATTAGCCGATGATTTTGATCGTCAAAAGCGCAGTGTATGGGATGTTGGCGGGAGTTACACCTGTAACCCTGATCCTAATTGCGCAGGCAGCGGTTTCACCGGAACAATTACGATCAATTACCAAAATTGCCGCTGCAGAGGAACACAGCTGTGTTGCGTGCAGATTACAGGGAGAGGAACATATGGACGACCGCCCACTCCCCCTCCACGTAGCTTTGGTGGGTTTGGCAGTAGAAATCGTGGTGGTTTCGGTACACGTGGTGGATTCGGCGGTGGATGGCGTGGTTAAATGACGTGAAGACACAACTAGCATGTGTTAGGACACTGATTAATTGGATTTAATAGTCAAAATGGTGCGATGGACGTATAACTAAACTCTTTTCTTGTTGCTGTTTTTGTGCTCTTATGAAGTATAAAATCATTCCGATGTGCATGAACGTCGCAAACCTGCTAGATACTGTTTTTTCAAGAAAATAAATCTGTTTCGAAAAATCTGTCTATTGCCTTTTTAAAAATTATTTTAAATAACGTCTTTGTTTTTAATACAAAGCCTCTGAACTTGAGCTTTTCCCAACGAACAAAAATAAAATGATAAAATAAATTTAAAAAAAACGCAAGAAAAATTAGAGATGAAAGGTGTCATCCATCAAAATGGCAGGAAAATGGGTGGGAAATAAGCAAGGGCTCAAACTCAACAAATTTTGTATTAAACGGAGTACATATCGAACCTTTCTAGACATGCCTGATTATAAAATATATAATTTTCTGAAATTTATCTTTATTTCCATGGCAACCGTTGCTAAATTCCAATAGCGATCAATACTATTTTTTATTCTTCAACCTTAAGGCTTCATAATCACTGCCCAGTCTACTTTTCGATGAAAATGATGCTAAAAATACGCCATCATTAAAAACAAAAATAATGGTTTCTAATGCATCTGGTGCTATGGAAACTGTCATTATGATGTCTGTTTCTATGGTAACAGTTTGAGTAATTTTTAACATATTCTCATGAGTTTTAAACTGAATATGAAGTGGGAGACACTCTTGGTACTCAATATATGAATTTAAGCAGAATAGTAAACAAATACAACGCCACTGTTGCTATAGCAAACAAAATTACAATGGCAAATTGCATATACGATTTTAAGGTTTAACTAGTAGGCCTATAAAATGCCAGCATGCACAATGAAAATAAGTTATATCGGATTTTGGGAAGTTACCATTTTGCCAAAAAATTTAAATTGATATTGGACACCATAGGAGCTAGGTAATACAAAACTAATGGGTTTTTTTTTTTGGAGAGACTGCCATTAGATAATGGCAGTTCAGGAATTAATTTTAATTTTTCTAAGTTTTTTTTTTAGCTCAGATAAGAGGCTGTCAGAACGTCATCTCTGTCTTAGCATTTGTCACTGATTAGTGCCTACCTCGGTGTAATAGGTGAATATGTGTGATTATATGTGGAATTTCATGTCAGATGGACATATAGACGTCTAAAAATTGTCACAATATTTTAAAAAAGATACAACTTTGCACAGCAGTCGTGGATCAGTACGGTTCAGTTGTCAGTTGCGAACTACTTCCTGGTTTTCACAAGGTCCTTCAAAGACTCTAAAACATCGTTATAATTGCAGCACATACCATAAAACACCCAAAAATACTTAGATATGGGCATAACAGATTGCATACATGCAAAAATTCCACATGACAACGATTAATAGCCTACCGGGAATTCTTTTCCCTTGACGCTCTTAATTTGTTGCGACGGTGGTCGATGCTGCATATATTTCAAAACAAATTGTCTGCAAATTAAGCACGATTTTTCATCCTTAAAATCCGTGAAACGTTTTCATATCATGCTCCAATTATTTCTACAAGAATTCTCTGTCCCAAATGCATAAAGACAAATTGTTATCTTACCGTGTTGTTATAAAAACTGCTTTTTTCTCCGAGTTCACGTCTTTACTCCCGTTCACCTCCAGCTAAAAATGACCACATAGCTTCGTGATATAAAATGTGAATAAAAAATGACTATGGTTAGTTATGGTTTGTCAAGAATTGTGAAAAGAATTAAAGAAACCGTACTGCTGAGAGCCAAGGCGTGTCGACATGAGTGGTAAGATTTAATGTGAACACATGCATGTACATGGCTACACACATAATGTATTTAATAATCACTTTATATATATATATATATATATATATATATATATATATATATATATATATATATATAGGCCTATATATATATATAGGCCTATATATATATATAGGCCCTATATATATATATCATTATTTTTTTAAAAACCAAGCTATGCAGATGGAAGTTTTGTGTAAGAAACAAACAAATAACAACCCACATAATCTACGTTAACTGAAAAGGTTAGTGTCAAGTTATCTCTGAAGCTCAGGGTGCCTATAGGCCTACCAGCCAACAATGCGGTTAATGTGCATTCCTATTATTATTATCATTATTAGGCCTACTGTACTTTTTTTTTGTTGAAGTAAAAACTTTATACAGTGGGGTGATATGTATATAGGCCTATACAGGGGCGGATTCAGGATTATTTGAAGGGTGCGAAGTCGACCCTTCTCCACCCCTCCCCCCCCCTCCCCCCAATTGGCGTGGGGTTTGGGGTTTGCTGAAAGGGGGTCCGCGAAAATTTTTGGTATTTTAGAGGTCAAACGGTGCCATTTGGTACGGTTTAGAATTCAGCTAGTCAAAATTCTAATTTGAAAAGGGAACCTTTGGTATGTTATTTTTTCAGAAATTGAAGGGGAGTCAAGATCGACCCCCTCTAAATCCGCCACTCCTAGGCCTGTCGGCTAACCAAGGATTTTTTTTAAAACTCTAGCAGACGATGTGAATATTTTCAAAAACCAAAAATTTATTAGTAGGGCCTACTAATTGGGGGGGGGGGGAGTTACTTTGTGTGCAAAATAACATATCATTCAGCGCAAGCACTATCATAAAACGTCTAACCTCATTTTGCAAATTCTGTAACCCGCATGCGCACAAGTAATAGAATGATTTCATGAAAAAAACTGGCTGCGCGACGTGCCCTAGATATAATATCCTGTTCCAGTTTTACACTTACACAAGATGGCGGCTGTTGCACCAGTTACGGCCATTTCCTGGTCAGAATTCATCGTTGACCCACCTCTCATGTACGGACTATTTGCCCCAACCCCTGGCAGGCTGACATACGACCCAAACCGAGTAAAATTTCTTCAAAACACATCTTCAAATGGAGGACAGAGTAATGCAGAGGCAAGGTATGTACAAGAGCCCCGGTAGCTTGCCACAGACACACTTTGCTGTCACACTGATCTGTTTTAAATGGCTCTAGAGACAACCTAAAAAGACCTTTAAATGCCATTCTACAAATCAATGAATGAGATAAATAAGTGAATCGATGAAAAGTAATAAATAAATAAACAAATCCATTCAATTGAATAGATATAAGTTAATTGCTTTAAAAATTGATATAAAGAATAAAAGACTAATGCCTTGTACTGGTATTTTTAATTTAAATATATATATATATATATATATATATATATATATATATATATATATATATATATATATATATATATATATATTATAAACACTTAACTGATTTTGATCTTTTAGTTTGACATCTAAGTAATATTTGCCAAAATATGACATATCTTCATGTATAGTATTTCTTTTACGTTAAAAAAGAGTTGAATATGAAACAGACAGATATACTGGTACTGGAGTTGGGTCTTAATTGCGCAATACAGCGCAATGCACTAAAAATGATTTTGCTATCAATTCATACAAGATTTCATAAAATTGGTTGTTCCAAACTTCTTTAAAATACATAGCTTCTTAATTGTTGTTTCTTAAATGGATCTACAGGCATCCAAATCAGTTATGATGGATAATCTAGGAATATATNTCAAATGGAGGACAGAGTAATGCAGAGGCAAGGTATGTACAAGAGCCCCGGTAGCTTGCCACAGACACACTTTGCTGTCACACTGATATATATATATATTATAAACACTTAACTGATTTTGATCTTTTAGTTTGACATCTAAGTAATATTTGCCAAAATATGACATATCTTCATGTATAGTATTTCTTTTACGTTAAAAAAGAGTTGAATATGAAACAGACAGATATACTGGTACTGGAGTTGGGTCTTAATTGTGCAATACAGCGCAATGCACTAAAAATGATTTTGCTATCAATTCATACAAGATTTCATAAAATTGGTTGTTCCAAACTTCTTTAAAATACATAGCTTCTTAATTGTTGTTTCTTAAATGGATCTACAGGCATCCAAATCAGTTATGATGGATAATCTGGGAATATATATATATATATATATATAAAAGAGAGAGAGAGAGAGAGCTACCATGCTACTAGACAAAACTGTTCAAGGCATCTTTTAGTGATGACAGATTGTTTATTGACAATGTATTAAGGCAAAACAAAACTTTATTCTTACTCTGTTGGATCATTAATAGCCAGTGCTATATCTGTGAATAGTTAATGAACAAAATTCTCCCTGGTAAGGGAAAAATGTCACCCAGGTTTCCATCACCCCCTTTTCTGTGTAAGTATGTGGAACAAAATAGAAATATGACTGAACTAATGAATATCTCAAATCTTGATGAATTTGTTCCAGCCTGTGGTAATTTGTGTCATATTTTATTACTTTTTGAGTGGTTTGAATGTTGGATTCTAGTGTCAGCAAAGGGCTACTTGTTGCGTCACTTTGCCTAAACTTCAAAAAGCTGAACTGGCCAAATAGAATAATTCTAGGTAACACTGCTTGGTAAAAGATTAGTATTCAAATCATTGTTTTTTCATTCCAGACTTCTTCATGTTGAAACAATTGATGACCTTGTTCAGGTTCGTGAAGAGTTGTTCAGCAAGCCTTTGTTCATGCGTGTTTATACTGAACATGTGAAGGTGGAAGATTATGGTCTGGTCAGAGTAAGGACACGTTGGAGAGGTAAAAAATATCATGGAATTGTTACATTTGATTATACTTCTTATAATGATAGGTGTGTGTATATGGGTAAGTAAGAGTAATTGTATAAACTAATCTGGGCAAAAGCATGGCAGCAGACACGAGAAAAACTGGACATGAACGAAAATACGTTTTCCTTTTTGTGAACACAGTGCACTTTGCAATTTATATAATTTCACATTGTCAATTTTTTTACACAAATGGACCCTCTTATCAATTTTGTTTTTTACATATACATAAATACTGTTTTTCAAAATCGACTGCACTAAGTTAGGCTAGAGGGGAAAGTCACTTATTTTACCTCATTTTTGTCAGACATTCTAGGACACTACAGCTTTTAGTTCTTAAATCTATAGGAAAAGTAAGTCTAGAACAACAACATTTGTTGTTTCTATTTCAGGTGATTTTGCAGTTCTTATCAACACCCTTCACCCACAGATTAGACATCAAATGGAACCAAAGTTTGAAGAAGCCATGAACGAACTCAGCCAGGGTAAAAAGTTTTGTCTTGAGGTAGGATTTGTGTGTAATTATTTGTGAAGGATAGAATTGGAATCTGTTTTCGCAAATAAAAAAATGAAAATACATATGACTTTCAATATCTGTCCATAAGGAAAACAACAGCACTAATATCAGGCCTACATCAAACGCATTGTTTAGCACCTCTAACATTGTCAGCAGCATTATGAAACAAGTGACTCAGTGCCATACCACACACCAAACAGTCTCAAATTGTCATTGTCTTACCACATTCTTTATTCAGATCTGACAACTGGCTGTTTTAAAAACTAATTAACTCATACTTAAAGGTACAGTCTTGTTTGTTCTTTCACAGTTTGACCTCGGCCCAACCCTAGAGCGTTGGTATGCTGAGATTCTTGATGTGGACAGTGGATGTTCACGTTCCAATACAAAGAGCAAATATACCCGCCTGTACATCACCAACCACACAAAGTACCAACACTGCTTTGATTGCAATGTTATCTGGGCAGTACTCTGTAATGTGTGCTGGCTGATGTCTGCTCCCTGTTATATGGTAAGGAAGGCTGCCACCTTTTTTCTTGAACAATGTCTTTAATTGTTGGTTAGCAGAATTATTTTAGGGCTGAAATGCATCACGAAATGACCACTTTAATAGAAATTAACACTATAAAACTTCTATACCCCCATTATAGTGTTGAAAAAGTGTTTTTGAAATATTAACATTTTTGACAGAACACTTGGTTACAAGGTATCTCGTGGCTTTGCGCTAGTGAGGGTAAAAGCAAAGTTTTGGAAGTACAAAAACAAGCACTAAAATCAGATTAACATATTTTTGTAATTATTACATTTTACTTCTTGCAGACAAAAATATTATATATGTTTTGTGTTCTTTATGATGAATTTGAGTTAATATTTTCATTAACTTAAAAAATAATCCAAATTTTAAAATCAGGTTGTTCAAAAATTGGCATTGATACATGTAGTGGACAAAATTTAAAAAAGATATTGCCTCTGGTGCATGCAAGTTTTGATGCATAGATTTACAATTCTTTAATTGATCATTACATGGATTATATTAAGCTTAAGAATTTGAAACTTGTGAGTGAGAGGTAATATAAAGTAGTATTGAATGAAATTTAATTGATCCCTCACAAGGATATATGAGTTATTAAAGTCAAGGGTACAGGACTTTTTTATCCATCCATTTTATACATCTGTACTTCTAAAGCATTACTACCTCTGCCAAGAAAGTTATGTTTTAATTTTGTTGGTTTGCTAGTTAACAGCCCCAAACTTTTTATTGTATTTTTGTAATTTTTTTTCAGATTCACAGGGCATCCACAGTTACTGACATCATGCATGACATTGCATCCCCCATAGTTATGAGGACACCTTTATCAAGGGGACGGGTGGTGGATATTGCACCCCGTAAGAATGTTTTTTCTTCCCTCAACAATTTAGATAATTATATATAATCTAACATTTTGTCCCTGTGAAAATAGATTGGACACAGAAAGTTGCACCCTCTACCCTATATATATAAACAAACAGGCCCGTAGCCAGGGGGGGGGGGGGGGGGGGCGAAAAAACCCCCCCTTTTGCTGGGGAAAAGGGCCACTCTGGGTAAAATTTGATCTAGGTACATGAAGTTTTTAAGGAAAAAGGTCCACTTTTTCAGAAAAAGAACCCCCCTTTTGAAATTGCTGGCTACGGGCCTGAACAAAGAAGCTGTTCATGCTCAGCAAAAAAGTAAAAAATTTGTAATTATTGTTGCAAATTTTTGTGTGGCTAACCTTTTTATTTTTATTTTTTCTCACTAATCAACCTTTGATCCCCTATCCTCACACTCTGTTACGGTGTTGGAACATAAAAAAGTTATTAACAATTATTTGGCGGTTTAAGCATGGGATTTTCAAATTCCACCATCACTTCGATCACCCAATTTCAGTGTGTTAAGATGGATGACAGGTGGCAAGGTTTGTCAGGAGGGGATGAATTAAAATATTTTTAGTGACATTAATAATTATCCATCAAAAAAATTATCAACTATTGCTTGTCCACAGATAAATTAAACAAGAAGTTGCTTGTGTACTTTTAAGGAAGTGTGTTAAAGGGATAATAACACTTCGTAAAAGATCTATATTTCACAATAAAAACATTGTGAATAACTCTTAGAAATATAATATATTCTGTTTTACCACAAAAACGGCAGTTATAGCTATTATTCTGATATGTGAGCTTGTCTTTAGACCACGTGACCTCCACTGATGGCTATACTCTGTTAAAATCTCTTAAGAGATTTTAACAAAAAACCAAACTTTTTAGAAAAAAACCAGGGACTAACTTTGAATGTGAAAATGGATTCATTAACCATTGGTAAGTATGGGAAAATTGTTGTTTACTCCAGGAAAATTCATTTTTTTGCCGAAACGAAGAGTTATTATCCCTTTAAGGATGGATTTTGGTAAAATTTCAGGATAATTCAGAAATTTGTCTACTTAGACACTTTGTCCCTTTTACCAGAAAAGGTATCTTCATCAGTTTTTCCAGTGCAACTTTCAAGCATTTTGTGAACAGTTTCTGTATATCTTGAAATCATAAAAAGATTGATATACATACTAAATTGTTCTGTAGAAACTGACAGCCAAGCACTGCAGCAAGCCCAACAGGCCCTTAGACAGCATGCAGAACAAGTTAGACTGCAGCAGGAGGCAGAGGCACAACACAGAGCACAACAGATGGAACCGACTCAGCCACCTACCTATTCAGAAGCAGTTGGTGAGATTTAGTATATATTTTGATGTCTTTCATTTAACTGGGAATATGATAAAATTTTAAGAAAAGCAAGTACTGACTTGCATTGGGTTTCATAGGGTTACAGACAACCCATTTCCTATTTTCAGTTTCTTGTTTAAATTACATTTTTATTTGGTTTTACTAAAATGGCTTTCGACACTTGACTGCAGTTGCCTTATTACAGTAGGTTTGCAAGGGGTGTTTGTTATCAAATCTGCTTCCTTGAGGTTATGGTTGAAACCAATTTCACAAAGTTTTTGGGGGGGGGGGAGGAATGTTGGGTTTTGAATGTCAGTTCTCAGGTGATAAATGTTCCATTTTAGACAGAAGCAACTGATAATTGCTTTTCAGTCAATGTTATTTATATTTCCTGTTACTTCTGAAGTACCCTCTACCAGGGTGACTGATAGATTTTTGCAGATATTCACAGGGAGAGAACTGTGACATTAGTACGTGTACAGTGCACCCGTAGGTTAAAGCAACGTGATTCAGGTAAAATCTAATCTTCTGAAATAAATATATCTTTGATTTAGACTCAAGAGTTCAATTGTAGTGGGACCAAAGAGTGGGCCGTACACAAGTTCTTTGAAAGTGGTCACGTTAGAGGGGACATTTGGCATGGACTCTTCTAGAAATGGAAGCAGCTGGATAGGCTTTTCCCCACCTCCTGTAGGAATGCCAACATGCACATCCTTCCCACTGAGTGCAGCACTCACTGCTACAAATTGATGTTCTGTCACCCCTACAAAAGCCCAAAATTTTCTTAGTATCTGATCTGCTTCTTCTCGTTCAATACTAATGCTCTCAGGCTGCTACTGCACCAGTATTTATATACCTCTACAACTACTTCAGGGGATTCCTCAGTTAGCCTCACTCTGAAGTAACAAGCTATTCATAGGGGGCTATTTTTATCTGTCTCAGAAGAGCAAGTGATTAAGGTCAGAGCAATTAACTGTCTTGATTGCTGTCAGGCAGACTTAGACTGGATCTGCTAAGTGGCAGTGCCTGAGCAGTTATGTAAACAATTACCAGCCATGTAATCAGCCTTGAGATTCCTCAACAGGGTGACTTCAGCCCAAAATGACCATCTATCTAGCTAGAGACATATCTGTGAATATCTGTAAAAATCTATCAGTCGCCCTGGTAGAGGGTACTTGAACTTCTGAAGCATTATTTGGTGAACATTGTCTGTCACTTTTTAAAATAATAAACAGTGAATCATTTACCATATTTTTTTATATACCAGCCACTAGTCAGCAAGGCCAGCAGTACCAGCCACAGCAGTTTGGAGCACCACAAACCGCACAGCCTGTTCCTCTATTACCACCTCCTCCTCCATCAGGAAAGCTGGCCTAGTGTATGTGTACCCGCAGCCTCAGCCTCAGACATGGACTGTCTTGTTAACTAGCACCACCTGCTCTACTTCAAATCTGGGTTCTGAGCTTCACTAGACTGAATTGGTATCTGTCTGTCAGCCATTGGGCTTCCAAAGGAACAATACGCTTTTGGTTTCAGAAGAAGATGGCAAGAGCGGGATCTAACAGGTTCCTCAAGGTTATATGAAAAGTGTTTTGTATATTCAGTTGGAGTACTACATTATCTACTTAGAAATATGCTTGAATTTTTTGACAGTTGTTGGATGAAATGATTTAACTGTAGTCTACCTAATTGGAAACTAAAAAATTAACCCAAGAGCAAACCAAATTAATATCAGATGGCAACTGATTTGTTTAAATTATTTAATTATATTTTAATGTATTCCATACAGATATGGTTATCTGAATGTGACCAAATCTTATTCACAGATATTTGATATTTTTGCTAGTGTGTTGTATTTTCAGTACATTGACTGCAGCTCTATTTAAATGTGGCTATTGTGATAGGCCTGATAACAGTTTAAAAATATACTGTACATTTTTGAAAATGCCTCAGTGTAATATTTTTAAGTCTAGATATCCTGTAAATTTCCCCCAATTTAAACCTTAATTTAATAAAGTGATAAATACCTTCAATTAAAAATGCCTGATGTCAGTGTTTTCTTCTGATATGTTAGGAAAACAGTCTAAATCGATTGTGAAGTGTTCAGGGCTTATTAATTATATTGAAAATGGGAGAAAAACATTGAATCCAAGTGTAAGGATAGGGTAAAGCTATGATTTATGAAAAGGAAAAAAATGGTGAGGTAAATTAGATTTGGTGCAAAAATCAAGTATTAGATACCTTTAAGTATGGTGAAGGTCAGATGTTGGAAGCAGACAGTTGTCACTGATAAAGAGAAGGTTGGGGTAAATTGAGGTGATTCTAGGAAAACATAACACCATTGCTTAACCCAGATGCCCAGCTCATAATATGTAAATAAAGAAGTATAAAATATGTGAAATATGCTAATATGTGCAATAAGTTGTTTCAACATGGCTACAGCAGTTGAAATTTGCCCTTCCAATAGTTCAATTCATACATGTAACTGTTAACACTTGTCTATCTTGGCTCTTGTGTGTGATATTTGCATTTATACATGTCAAATGAATTGCCTGTCTGCAATTTTATTTGCTTGATCATGACCTTGAAACTAGGTAGATTGTTGACAGTTGATAACCCTAAATTTTGGAAGCATTTAACCTACCATCATGCCTGTAGTATGGAATCAACAGATATATTTAGTGAGTTGGGTGTAATAATCTGACTGCAAGTTTGATTTATTCTAGATTAAGATGTATTGATATCCAAGTATCCACACGAGAATGTAATTCATTTTAATGAATGTTTACTATGAAATTGTATATATAGTTGATTAAAATGTAATGGTACAGGTAGGGTAGACATATACATTTTCTTCAATTACAGTTGGTTGTATAATCAATGAAACACTTCAAAAGATATTTTTTCAGAAGTAATATTCTTGTATTTGACTGTAATAATTGGATGGTTTACTGCCCGAATATGATGCTTTTCAGTGTTATCCAAGAAATATTATATAAACTTATAATGATAACAACAGAATTTAATTAGATGTGTTAAATTATATTCAAGAATCATATTATTAAAGAACTTTTTAGATTGTGTACTGTGACCATAACAGGCCCATAGCCAGTTTTTTTTTTTTTTTTTTAATTACTGGCTATGGGCCTGCATAAGTACATCATCATGCTGGAATAACCTGCTTATTCACCTGATCTTGCTTCTTGTGACTTTTTCTTTTCCCTATGCGCAAAGGGGTTATCAAGGGGACCTGTTTTGAAGGCCCAGAGGCCATCAAGAGTGCCATAATGAAGGGGCAGATTGACAACCCAGAATTTTTCCAGCAGTACTTAAAAAGATAGCCAGAGAAGGTTGGAAAGTGCATAAGACTGGAAGTCTATAAGTTTAGAGGGGAAGACATGTAGTATGTTGTTTGAAATTCAGATAAATTGTTACTACACCAATCCTGATATTTATCAACCTCTTCTCAAGTGAGTTGTTAGGGATTATCTCAGTTTTTTGCATTTAAGAGTATATATAGGTTAGGTTTCCATACATATGTTACACAAACAATCTGATCTACTTGACATTCTGTATATTATCTGATGCAAGTCTATAAACATATCAGATTTGTGATTTTTTCCAGAAATTGTAAGTTAAGTTACATCAAAGTTATTATTTTGCATTCCTTGCCAAATATGATGATTGATAATTCACTGTATAACAGCAAATGTTTGTATCCAATTTAAAGGAAACATTATTTATCTTAAGAATGTGTTAAGAATACTAAAAAAATCATATGACTGTAAAATTGTCAAATTAAAAATGGTATTACAAATAACACATTTTTCTTATATTTGCGTTAAAAATATTAAATATTGTTGAAATCCTGATTACTAGAATGTTTGTATCCATTCCTATAGAATTAAAACTGTTGTTTTATATCTGTTTCAGATTAGTTATTGCTTTTTTTTTCTTTGCTGCAGTTCTTAATTTGGATAAAACCATTTTCTTCCCATGAGTAAAGTTGGTTTTTAGGGTTAAGTAGAAATTTTGGCATAATCCTATTATTACCTCTGCCAAGGAGGATATGCTTTTTACCTTTGTTCAAAAATTATCCCAAGGTTGATAATTATATCTGCAAGCAGTCTCCCGTTTAATAAGGATTCTCATGTTATTATATAAATTTTGGACAGTTCTTTTTAACTGTCAGTAGATCAAGAAAACTTGAACCTAGATTACATTTGAAATGCGATGGCCGTACGGTATACTGCCCGTACGGTATACTTCCCGTGATACCCTTTCGCACGGCGTCAGAGCGGAGTTTGACGGTGGCCGTGCGAAGTCGCACGGAATCGTACGTATTTAAGGCCATTTAATGTAGACATACTCGACGTAGCCTTACGATTTCAAAAAAAAAAAAAAAAATTGTTCTGACAATTTCATCGCACGGCGCCCGTGAAAATGTAATCAACGCTTTAGGACTTTATGTACCATAGTTATATATCCATGGGCACAATTGTCCACTTTATCCTGATCACTAAGGCATGTTTTGTAGTGGCTTATCCCTTGGGCATATGATGTTGACTTATTTTTCAGTATTTTATTGGCTTTGTATTTACACAAAAGTCTGGAACTGGAAACTGGACTGTCAGGGGTTCAGAGTTTGGATATTGAAGTAATATTTTGCCAGTCTTCATATTTAAACTTATTTACATGTAGGTCTGCTTATAAATTGTTTCAGATGCAATCACTGTGGTAGTTTCAATTGCCTAAGTTACATTTGACACATTTTGTGAAGAAAAAGTGAGATAAAAAGGTCCCGCACATTTCTCTTTTTTTTTAAGAAAAAACTCATAGAGTAGGTCTCGCTGTTTATTGCTCATTAGGGTAACATTAAAAATGAAGATCAGAGCCAGGAATTTTCAAGAATTTTAGAAAGTAATATCATTTATAATTCAACTAAAGTATACAAATACAGAAGTGAAAAATCAAAAATCTTTTTTTATCATTATAAAAATTTGCGTCTATATTTAGAGCCACTTAAACCCAACAGCGCACAGACCCGTGCCTTTTCGGTAAGCTCCGTGGACAACTCGGTTCATCCCCATGAAGATATCGTAGTTAGGACCCGGATTTCTAGGTCCTTTATCTGCTTGGCCGTTTAAAGCAAAAAGTCCTGTAGAGTTGAGAGATCGAATGACTTTGTAGTTATCCCAACCCACGTAGTTGTCTCCGATCTCCACACTGAACGAACTGTACGGCTGGATAGTGTCAGGAGCGTCTACTAGAGTTCTGTCAGAGCCATAGTCGTCGTGACTGAAGGCAAGGAACTTTGTTCCGTCATTTTGGATTTCGGCATCATTTCGCTGGTGATTGCTGTCTCCGGCTGATGAAGAATGAAATATCAATATAGTAAAAAGTAAAGTAGATAAAAATGCTCTCATAATTGATCGACAATATGTAACTTATTTCAATTATTCGTAATGCATTATTCTGCACAAATGGGGGAAATACCAGATGTATTAATATCAAAGTATGCACACATACATTTCTTATCTTGGAACTGAATGTTATAGTCCCAGTGAAATTTGAAATGAATTAAATAAACGTGCATACTGTATAAACAGTACTTCCAAAATATGGGGACAAAATGTGAATGTTAACTGAACGGTCGTACTTATTGAACCAACAATCATGATACGCTTTTCTCTGATATAATATAATCACTTACCATAGCCATTGTTACTGATGGAGTCTCCGATGTTAAAGTTCTTGCCGGAGGGGGTCTTAAAACACATATCAATACGTAGTTTCTTTCCGGCACCGGCGTTAAAATCAATCTTCGCCAAAGCCTGTCGGGCACAGGCACCAGTGCTTCTAGACCCGCCTGTGAAGCTAGCAGATATTGCCCATGACGGGTTTAATCCACTGATAGAGCCATAACCGTCCGTGCGGGTCACTAGATCATAGTAACTGTCTGGAATAGATGTTGCGCCCACTATAAAATTAAGGTTTTTGATTTGATTTAGTTTACCTTAGTGACTAGGCATTAGTCCTATTTCTCTCAAATCTTTTAGAATTACATATAGAATTACTAAGATAATGAGACAATTTCATCTTATACTGTATCTTACTTGAAACGGAAATACCGGTGATACCGGTAACAACTCAGTTTCAGTTCACCCGTCGATGCCCTTGTGACAGGGTCGAACCATCGTGACCTCCGTTTCAAGTAAGATTCAGTATGAGATTCAATTTTTTTTATTATCTTTGTATAATAGAACTGGATAAATAATAATGTTCACTTTAAAATATAGAATATAGACTTCAGATTATCAGAGTTATCTATAGCAAGATATTCCTTGGCTTTAAAAATCACGTGTCGATTTCTTTGTCAACAATTTACAATGAACAGGTGTTATCGAGTCTTACCCCCTTGGAAGTCCACAATACACTTGTAGGTATACCTTACTGTAACAAAAGCAACATAAAAATTACGATTATTATCATTTTGATTATTTTCTCGTAACCAGTACAGTATAAAATTTATAAAATTGTGGAAATAAAAGCAATATAAAAATAATGTTTATGATCATTTTGATGACTTTTTCATAATTAGTGCTGTTTTATTAAAATTTAAATTGTGAAACGGCTTGTAGTAATTAACATACTAATTAAAAGTTTTCCTTCGTATTTGCAGGAACTCTCTCTCTCTCTCTCTCTTTCTCTCTCTCTCTTGAAAATACCCACCTATGGGCTTGGAGAGGTCTAACCTGGCCGACTCAGCCTTACAACTGCCGAAGAGCATAACTAGCAGGCATAGGCCAGACAATTGTCGATCCATTGTTCTTGATAAAGTTGGCAATTTCAAATTAGTTTTACTATCGTTTTATTGTTTTTTTTTCTAAAAAAAATGAAAAAAGATAAACTAGAGCATAGCCGCACTTGTAGTGCGCAGTTTTTCACAATTATTTTTACGCCTGCACTGTTTTCAATTGTGTTTATTCCTTTAAAGATATTTTTAAAACCTCAAATCTTAATAAGTCAAAGAATTATTTAATCTGTCGATACCTTGGGTAACCCTTTGAAAAACAAAGAAAGTACATTTGCAAACTGTGTCTAAAATTTAAGTAATAGTTACAGCTGACGTAAGTTTTTCTCTTACCTGTGTGCTCTCTAAAAAGCGCTGTGTACACTCTTTTGTCTTTGAATGAAAGTGTTCTGAAATCACCTCTACTTAAATAATAAATTTATAAGGAAATAAGGAGTGGGATAGGTTTGTCATCTTTTACGAGAATGTTAATGATTTCTTTTTCTCAAACGAGCCTAATGTTTAATTAATGGCACTGTTGATTTGAAGAAAATCATAAATAATGCAATACGTGGTGAATCATAAATAATTTCAAAAACTTCACAAAAAAAAAAAAAAAAAACGTGATCATGTAATTTGTATATTGTAGCAAAGGACACGAGTTTACAGAATGATATATTCGTCTATTATTACTGCCACATGAAATGGTTTTCAATTATGAGCCATATGTCTAATATCGGCTGGCTGTTTTCCTAGAACATTTCTTGTGCTAGTCAAAATGCCATGTGCTGAATTTTTGTAACACTAAAACTTGTAATTTATTTATTATTTATAGACAGCCTGTTGTCACTGTCTTAACACGACATTTTTGCAGAATTGAAATTACATTTGCTCTAATAAGCATTTTACAAAAAAATTAAAATGCAAGAAAAGGATAACACCGCTTATTTGGCTTATGAAAACAAATGTTATTTGCAGTTAAAATTTGAAAGGACGATGAATGGTAAGAGCTAGAAAATGGTTGATGACTTTAAAAATAATTTTTTTTCTTTCACAAACGGTCCCTTTTAGTTCGCATTTGCTAATTATGTGATTGTCAATCAATGTCTACCACCTGGAATGGGTATTTGTTTATCATCTCTAGAATCTGCCAAAGTCATTTTACAGACTTGACATTTAATATGGAATATTTTTTTCCAATTCATTTTTCATCAGTTTTTTTCCTTTTTTGCTGACTGATAAATGAAAATAAGGATTAAAATCGTGTTTTAATAACTTTTAATTATCTCTTTGATGTCATTGTGGCATCAGTTCATTAATGGAATTCGCCAGAGAAGCAAACAAAAACACATTGCCTATTCTATGGCATACGACAACCATTAAAAGGGATATTTTGGACGACCTCCATATTTTCCAAGTTATTGTCTGTAAAAGAGTTAAACGCTCCACAAAGGACCCGCATGTCAATGTCCAGTCACAGTAACGGTCGCTGTTACGCCTGACCTCTTCTGGCTGCTACCAGCGCTCTCAAGTGGCAAGGCATTCCTTGGGATAGTTCAATCTGGAATAACATTCCAGCCATCGGTCAAAATCTGCCCAATTTGGTCCAGTTTTGTTGTAGGACATGTAGGCCATTGATTCGGAGAGTAGTGGGCTACCCACATATTGTCTATGTGGTTCAAATATGGCGATTTTGTTGATCAAGGTAGCTGCTCATTCCCTTGGTTCTGTAAGTAATCTGCTATTAAAAGTGCTCTGTGTGAACCGTGCAACCTAAAATTGTTCTTAAGTTGCCCCCTATCAAATGATAGCCAAGTGGTTCCCAGATTATTTCTTTGATCTGGCTCAGGTTTTCGTCGATGACTACCATTGGTGTTTTGGCACCAATGTGGTATCCACTTCAAATAATGACGCTGTTAATGACCTTAGTCACTTTAGACGCGATACACGCTTCGTCGTTGGCCTCTTCTGGATGTCTGTAAACTCTGTTTTGACTGTTGAGCGGTACAGGTGAAATCTGACCTCAAAAAGCCACGAGATTTCAGTGTTCAACTCAGAAACAGTCAAGGACCCCAATTCAATAGAGAAACATACAACGATGTTTTGCTGTGTACAGTGGGTTCCTCGGAGGTCGTCTGGTATTTTAACCAGCTAAAACCAGTTTGGTGTTCACTAAGGGCCTTGAAAAATGCGTTTTGGTGGCAATTTACCCCTCATTCTGAACGGACTGGGTGGATTTTGTTTAGTTGCAACAGCATATTCCGAAAGACAGTGGGTCCTGTACCCTGGTGGTAAGATTTCAATACATTTGTTGTGGCCTCTGTGTAGGTACATCAGTCTGGGCATTACTCTATAAAACTGTGCGGACCGTTTCGTTTGGCGCAATTACCTGTCTAGCAATGCCTGTCTTTTTCGCGCCATTCTGCCACAGATTAACAAATTTGTAAAGCACTACATAGCTCATTTTACGACTTCTTGCATGCAAAATGTCAAATTCTTCTATGCAGTAGTTGCAGACATATAGATACTTTTTTGACAGAACCATGCTTTGCCAAAGCCCAGCTTTGACCTGCCCAAAGGAGCACTACCCAATTAAATCACTGCATATTACATAAAGCAGCAGCGCAACAAACCTAATAATCATTAATTGGTAGCGACACACCTGACTACACACTTCTCCATTCACATATCTTATATGAGATCGGAGTTTGTGAAAAAAGAACGCATTTTCACCTAGGCATACATTCGAAACTGGAAGATTCCATATTAAATGTCAAGTCTGTATTCGCAAACACTAGGAGCACCTGTACTATTACAAAACTCGTGTTTATTTTTGACGATTGTAGTTTCCTTGGTTTATTACTTATCTTTCACGAACGACCATGTTTTATTGCCATCAGTGCTGAATTTATTGCAAGGTGGTGACATGTCACTTTAAAATGTAAATCCTAAATCATTCCAAGAAAACAAGACACCTAAAATACATTAATGTGAGTTGTTTAAACTGAAATGTTTCATTAGCAATGGGTTAGCCATAAAGTGTGGTTGTTACGTACACCAAGGTGTCACATCTGCCCACCTGTAAATGTTACCTGACCTTGGACGAGCCAGTATATAACGTGGATGTTCACGCATCATCTTGCGCACGTGGCTAATCCCACGATATTAAGTATTGGGATGGGGGGCTTAATTTGGGCCCAAGGCCAAGGGCAACAAGTAAAATATATTTAGAATATGCATGAACAAAGTTACTGTTCTTTTTTTAACAGAATTGGTATCAAATTGCAAAGACCTGTAGTGATATAATACATTTCCATAAAATTAAAACTACTTAAGACTGGGTTCCCATATATCTATTGCACTAGCAAGATCGATCTAACTCCGAGGGAATTCCTCGCTAAATTGCATTCAGTTTAAGCGGTCACGCACACTGAAGCTGCTAGTGGGGTAATTAACTTTCATGTACGCTAAAACTGAATGCAATTTAGCGAGAATCCCCGCGGAGACAGATAGATCCTGCTAGTACGACATGATTATGGGAATGGTCCCTAAGACAGAAGGTTGTCAAGATGAACGAGGATATTGATAGTTAAAGTAGGTAAATAGAAGAATGAAAGGTGGGAATGTGAGAGATGATAAGTAACTTCTACCAGAGTCACATATTGATTTCCACTAGATATTCACAGATATGTCTCTGGCTATTCTAAGACACAATGTTGTACTGTCTCAGAAAAGTTCATGTAATTAGATAGAGACATACCGGGTATCTTTGAAATCTGTGGCCCTGGTAAAAAAAAAAAAAAAAAAAAACGAGAAGAGCTAATGGGGACCAACCTAAATAGACCAACAGACTAGCAAACGGTCGAGAATCTACGTGATATGGAGTTATCTTTACAGCGAAAAGGATGAAATTATATGCGCCAGGAATGTCTTGCATTGTAAAGTGCATAATGCATTGCAGCGGAGTGACTTCTCACGTTCTGTTTTCGTAATCTAGCGGGTATTACAGGATATTTAAGCATAGCTTTTCCGGGCATATATCTTGTAATTTAGGCATGATTATGACAACGGTAATGGCTCCAAATAACAATAATTGCTGATTAATAGCTTTGTTGTTTTCCTTTCGACAGCGTTTGAGGGAAACCTAAATGATACAATAAAAATTATTGCGTGCAGCACAGGATAGTTTAAACAGTCTTTTAACCTAAGCCTCTTCTTGCCTCTACGCCTCGGACTATCCTTACCTTGAAGCGCAAGGCAACCGGTTGGTGAACAAAACTATGTATAAAATAAATACATGTCATGCATATGTTAAGCTGTAGAAATTGCAGTATCTGACATGTTCTTGTCCATAAAATCAGTTATTCATTAAAAAGACAACATTCCGTATTTTTGCAGAAATTTGGTTAAAAACATTTTGGATCAAAAACATTTTCTGCTTTCCGCCAAACATGTTCCCTCCCATACTTGAACTCATTTTTACTCCACAAGAAAACGATATTCTAGGAAAAACGATATTCAAATTGAAAAGGCTATTGAGCGAAACTTTCTCGGCACTCTGCCGTATATATATATATGCATTAACAAACAATTTTTCATGGTGTTCTGACCCACCTGTTTTTCTCGATGACTAGATTGTGGGCAGATAATCTCATTTTCGTTGCCACGATTCTGTCCTCCTCCTTTACTGACATATTGTACCTAGGATATATGCTTATAGGCTAATATAAAAAAAGCAAACTTTTGCTACCTAGAGAATTCTCATTAGATGTCTGTCTTTATATGTTATTAATTAAGTTTTCAAGCAGTTGAAAAATCCTTTAAAATGTTTTGAAATGATATAAGAGAAACCAAAACTACATGTATAAAATTATCCAAAGATGGAACTTCTGTTTTCAGATAAAATCTTGAATACTGTACTTTTCAACAAATATTATGTTCGAAAAATCAGACTCAATAAAAGCTATCTCTGCCTTGCACTTGCCCATTAGTTTCTCAACCTTGCAGCACACCACAAACCCATATAATACACTTCCGAAATCGTCTGCAAGACTGATAACAATTGGTAGATTTGAATATTGTTAATTTTAAATATCTGTAGAGTACATTACAATTTAAATGCAAAGACATAGAATATGATGCATTTGCAAAATAACAAATTGAACTTACAAATCCTTCTCTTTTACTCTTTGATACGTGTTTGCGTCTGGTGTAGCGTGATCAATATCATGTAAAAGTGCCGTTGTGGTGGCATGTCATAAACAGGTAGGCCTAAATTGTGCAAAATGAGAGTCGTTTCTTTATTTGATATGTGTGTGTGTGTTTAATGCAACCCAGGACTCTAAGTTTGATGGCCCCAAGGTGCGACAGTTGATGTCATTTCTATGTTAAATGAAAACTAGATTATTGCCATGCTATGTATCTTCTGTTTTTTTTTAAGTTCAACAACAAGCAAATAAAACTACAGCATCAACTGTAAATGAGCTGCCAGTTATCAATTTAAAAGTTTTAACCATTCGTTATTATGTCCAAGTTTAACTTAAAAGGTTTTGTTGTTGAACTAATGGTGCACCCTGAATTGCATGCGTGGCCTGGAATCTCATTTTTGAACCTATTTGAACCTATTATAGTGCGAAATAAACAAACACTAAAATTCTTCCAGCATACTATAGGCCCTTCCTCTCTTTTGTCCTATTTTGACAGAAGTATAGTAACACGCTAAGAAAACAATAAAATTGCTTGCAGAACTGGTGAATTATATAATAATATAAAAGATTTATGAAATATTAAATTAACCATCAAAAGTTGTACTAATAATCACAATACGTTGTAAAAAAATTAAAACAATCAAATCTTGCCACAAAAATGTATTCTCCTTGATATAATCACTGCTGAGTGTAGCAACATTTTAAGTTCCAGTGGTACTATGATTTAGGTGTTACACGTAGCTCAAATGTAAAAAAAATAAATAAAGCGATAGCATATAAAATATAGTGGTCTTTTATTTTCCAAAGTCCACCTAGCGGCAGCCTGGTTACAGATTATCACCCGCTGTAAGCTCTTTCCTGTAAGCGCGAAGGGAGTTAACATCGAACCCCCTCCCCCCATAATCTGCAACTCCTTCCAGTGCACGTTCTTGGAATGACCCCCGCTAAAACTTGCTGCACCTTAACTCCTTCTACCCTCTGATGTCGGGGCCCCACTAAAACACAAAAAAAAAACCACACTGTCGCCTCCCTCCCCCCACTGTAAAATAAATATAACAAAGCAACGGGGTGAGCTTATAATAACTACAGACCCCTTTTGTAATTTAAGACACCGAATGAATGCTAACATATATTCTTCACAGTACTTTGAGTGCTTTCATTTTTGACCGCTCTCAATGATTGCTTATTGTTCCTATCAATCCGTATTAATGCGAAATAACTACAGTATCCTCATTTTCCTATGTGCATCGATTTATCATGCGACATTTCGCTCACGAGACCAGTTGAATGGCGGCCTTAACACCAAACCTGTAAAAAAAACTCCTAAATAACCACGTGACCGTTGTATTGTTGATTCTCTTTTGTGTTCGATATCGTTTCATTCTTTCACGTCCTTGCCTTGACGCAGGACGCCATAATGCGTCGTACATGTAACTTTGACTATCATGTTAATGGGATGAATTTCCCTCCTCTGATTTAAGGGACGCTTAGGGATACCTGTCGGTCATCAGAAATCAACCTGACACCACCAATCGGTATTAGCAGTATTAGAGGACTGACCTCATTATATTGATAAGGATTTGGAGCTTTGCATAGGCCTATGTAAAAGACTGCAAACACTGTGTCGAACTTAAAGTTGGCGTGTTGCTGAGTATAGGAGCAGTTAATTCCACTGAAGTTTAATTTGTGTTTCGATAACTGAATTTACGATCAAGTCAGGAAAGAGAGGATAGCGACATCAGGTAGGCCTACATGTATAAGTCACACTGATAATATAGGTTTTGTTTCATGTTAACACTCTGATACCCAGGCGGCATTCTTGCTGTTTGTGATAGCTTGCGACCTACATAATGACTTTACGAAACAAGGTGTATGGAGAACGTTTTATTCAGAGCAGCAACAGAATTATGAACACAAAATATTAATTATGCGAGTTAATAAAATGATTTATATTAATAAACCATATAACAAGTATGTCATTCTTTTTATTTTCAGATAAAATGTTGGAAAACGTTCGACGCAATCATTTCCTTGTCCTATTTATTGTAATGGTATGTTTGCTGGTACCTATGTTGTACCTGTCAAACGTGTGTGGTATAAATTCATCTGTAAAATGTTGGCTGATCAATGATGCACCAAAACCCAGACCCAAGTTTATGGTCAACAATATTAAAAAGATGCCGGAGTATATTCCAACCAAGCTTAGTGACTTCAAGCTGGCATCGCAATTGGAGGTTTTGAAACAATGGGAGGATGACTATTTCTCAAAGGTTCTCAAATATCCCCAAATAACTGTTTTAGTTCTAAAGGCTAATCCAAATGACCCAATATCAAATACGCCAATCGATAAAGCGTTTAATTGGACAGGATCAAAACTTATGTGTAAGAATTTACAAGACCCACCAAAGAAAAATTTTCTTCATCTGTACAACAAGTCTTGCACTACAGACTTGTCAGCTGCATTCAAGCCAATCAAATTAGAAGAGTTTTATTTTAAAAACCCGGAAAGATTAGACTCAAATCGTAGACCTCGTGTGGCAACATTCTTGACTAAAGTGTCAAGAGGCCTGATAACAGCTAATCATGGGCATGTAATTAGTGCTAACTTTAAAATTGTTGCTACACAGTGCAATTATCCAGACTTGGGGAAACACCCCCCTGCTAACCTTAAACCTCCAACTAATGTGGAAGACACTGTGTTTGTATTGTCCCAGTATTGGGGTACTAACATCTTCCACTCGATGATGGAGGAGTTTACACGAGCAAGTTTCTATATCAACTTCCTTAGAAGACACAAGGACATCAAAATACACATTTATAATGTTGGGATAGTTAAAAATATTTTGAAACACCTTGGAATTGACCCCTCCAGAATAGTCTCAGGGCACGTGTGGGCCAAGACGATATATCTCCCAGAAGGTACAACATGTGGAAGAGCCAGACCTATACATGCTCAATTCCTCTCCAAACACCTCAGACAACAAATTGATGAAAAGTTTCATCAGAATGAAAGAAACAGTGTGGTTTTAATCAAAAGAAACCCTGGGGCTTTAAGACACTATTCCCACCACACAGAGTTACAGAATTTCATGGAGAAATTTGTCCCAGCTCTAGGTTTCAGATTTGAATTGTTTACTGATTCACCATTACCTTCTTTCAATGACATAGCTGCCATGTTTAATCGTGCAGTAATGGTGGTTGCCCCACACGGGGCAGGTCTGTCCAACATGCTGTTCTCAAAACCTGGAACATTTATTGTGGAATTGGTTTGTAATTGGATTCATATAAATTTCTGCTATCAAAATTCTGCCCATATCCTTGGACATCGGTGGCATGGAATCTCTGGTGTATCTGGCTGTGAAGGTGTCATCGACCTACCAACAGATGAAATAGAGAAATCAATCAAATTCTATCTTACATGGATTAAAGAACATAGAAAAGAATGGGAAAAAAGTGTTGCTCCTCCAAACAAAAATTATTACCTTACCTGGAAAATTGAACATGTTGGCAATCTTACTTTTACAGATTTTATTGAAAACACAGATGACTGGTTGAAAATGCTGCAACCATAACAACGGTCAATTAATTATGGGCATCATGATAATCTGTGCTTAGTTTCTCTAGTATATAAGGAGTAGATATAAGTTCTTTAATGTGATATTACAGCATATACATGTTAACTATACAGTATTACTATTTAATACTACATGTATACTATTTGCAGAGCTGCAATGCTCAGTTATCTTTTTTTAAAGTTTCAGTTTACCCTATTTTTTCTGGGATTTATAACTATATTGTTTGGTAAATTATATTAGAATTTTTACTAATGTAAAATGAATTGTATAATAACCCAGAGGAGAAATTACGTTGTTTCAATGTTAAAGCAATGTTCAAGGTAAGCAATATTGAGATGTTGTCATTAGTTTGCCAGGCTTATAGGTAACAAAGTTTGATCAATATCAAATATGTAACAGTTTGTTTTCAGTTTTAAGAAGTCAGCAACTTGTTTTCAGTCTTAAGAAATCAGAATGATATGGATTTAAAAAAAAATTCTAACAGGATTTTTATTCCTGTTGTAAAATTCTCAACCTCGAATTGGTCACTTATGCTTCCCCTTAGCAAATTGGATACATCAACTCAATTACAGTCATGTCAGAATTTCTGATAAATTGAGATTCCTTCTTGAAGTTATGATGGCAAACTAATTGTTTAATGTTTGTTTCTGGGGTGTTTCTGGAGACTGTGTGGTGAAAGCAATTGCTCATGGCAGCAGATCAGCCCATTTGCCATTCACTGTGGTGTCAAAACCACCCAGTGGTTCTGAAGGAAAATATGAGGATACAGATGATTGCTTGCTACAGCCTATATACTGATAATGACCATTATATTATACGGCAGTGCCCAACTTAATTGTTCCAGGCCAAGACAACCATTTCTTTTTTTTTTTTTTGAGAAGTTGAGCAAATGGACTGCAGGGCCTGTTTAATTTCTTGATTTGTATCCTATAGGGCAGTGTTTGGATACTCAATACTGGGCTGTATAAAAAAAGGGAACATTCCCAGACCCTATTGTACTGTACTAACTGTGGATCCCTCTTTTCTCGCTTAATTTCATTCAACTTAAGCAGCTTAGATGTCTGTCACGCCTACTGAAGCTGCTAGGGCATGATCATCTGTAAATGTCGGGTTGTAAAATTTGAGAGAAATGACATTTCAGGTATTTTTATTTGATTGATTTAATTACATTCATGTCCATTTGACCTTAGCTATCATTTTTTTTTTGTTGTTCAATTAATTTCACTTTACAATTGAATACCTTTTGACCAAATTACTTGGAACGGAATTTTATTTCTGTGAGAATTATAGTTGGACATATTTTACACCATTCTGGTCCCATTTCAAGACTGACCTTGTAACACGTACATGACTTTGACCTCTGATGACCAAAAAACTATTATCCTTTAATTTCATGACTTTAATCTGGCACTTTAAAGAGAGGCTTTATAACTTTATAACTTTTATCATATAGTATGCATAATGGAAGTTACATTGGCACTTTTTGAAATTTTTCATGAGAAAAAAAAAGAAAAAAAAAAAAAAAAAAGAAGAAAATGTGTATTTTTCCACTCAATGACTCCTATGAAAAGGCTATGGGAGTACAAGTCCTGCAAGTAGTAAGGTGAATGCTAGTTTCAAAAATTATCAATTTTCACCACAATTTTCACCACATAACTTTCAAGTTATGTTTCCACATAACTGTCAAGTTCGAAAATCAGCATGATCGGGCCATTTTTGGGGAAGTTATGCTGTTTTTTCACTTTTTTCAGCATTTATGTAGCACCGATAACACGATAAGTGGAAAACCGTGTTACCTTTTGGCTTGAAACTTACAGAACTGATGAATATTCATAATATGCAGGTCAAGTTCGAAAATCAGCCTGATCGGGCCATTTTTGGGGAAGTTATGCTGTTTTTTCACTTTTTTCAGCATTTATGTATCACCGATAACACAATATTTGAAAAACCGTTTTACCTTATGGCTTGAAACTTACAAAACTGATAAATATTCTTAATACGCAGGTCAAGTTCGAAAATCAGCATGATAGGGCCATTTATATTGAAGTTATGTAGTTTTTTCCCTTTTTTCAGCATTTATGCAACACCGATAACACAATATTTGAAAAAACATTTTACCTTTTGGCTTAAGCATATCTTTCAAGTTTGCATCATTTTGTAACATTTCTGTGTAGTGTTCATAATGCTTTAATATTCTGAGAGTACAAATAAAGACATGCTGTTTGATTGATATTTGTTTTATTGATTGTTATACTAACAAAATGCATGAAATAACCCTAAATAGATTGGGTAATATGCAGCATGTCTATCAGGCCCGTGGCCAGCAATTTCAAAAGGGGGGGGGGATCTTTTTTTTNACATTTCTGTGTAGTGTTCATAATGCTTTAATATTCTGAGAGTACAAATAAAGACATGCTGTTTGATTGATATTTGTTTTATTGATTGTTATACCAACAAAATGCATGAAATAACCCTAAATAGATTGGGTAATATGCAGCATGTCTATCAGGCCCGTAGCCAGCAATTTCAAAAGGGGGGGATCTTTTTTTGAAAAAGTGGGCCATTTTCCATAAAAACTTAATGTATCTAGATATAATTTTACCTAGAGTGGACCTTTTCCCAGCAAAAGGGGTGGTTCTTTCAAACCCCCTGGCTACGGGCCCGTCTATTCATGACTTTTTTACCTTTCTACGAAGTATTCACAATGCTTTAATATTTAGAGAGCATGGATAAAGACATATTGTTAGTTTGATATGTGTTTCTGTGGTAAATTTGTGTTTCCAGCTGTGTACTGACGGCATTCCTTCACTTAAGCAGCATTTTTTTTTTTTTTTTTTTTTTGGACTGTTTTTTTTTTTTTTCGCCCTCTCGCACCGATTTTGGGGTCCCCAGAGGATGTCATCCATAAAAATAAAAAAGTGTGGCCTAAGTGCAGATAGTCAAGATCACCTCTAATGCAATCTATATTTGCATAAGTGAACAGTTAGTTGTTTGTAGGGTCAGAGGTCCAGCTAGATGAGATGACAGGTACCTGGACTTCATGTTGTCTACCTGACACTGTGTGAACAGTTAGTTGTTTGGAGGGTCAGAGGTCCAGCTAGATGAGATGACAGGTATCTGGACTTCATGCTGTCTACCGGACACTGTGTGAACAGTTAGTTGTTGGAAGGTCAGAGGTCCAGCTAGATAAGATGACAGGTACCTGGACTTCATGCTGTCTACCTGACACTGTGTGAACAGTTAGTTGTTGTAGGGTCAGAGGTCCAGCTAGATGAGATGACAGGTACCTGGACTTCATGTTGTCTACCTGACACTGTGTGAACAGTTAGTTGTTGGAGGGTCAGAGGTCCAGCTAGATGAGATGACAGGTACCTGGACTTCATGCTGTCTACCTGACACTGTGTGTAATGGGAAAATTCTGATGCCACATAATAGGTAACCTAGGTTATATTGTAATGTATCATTATCTTAGGCTATGTAAGAAACAGATATATTGCTGATCCTTGATAGGACACAGATAGAAATTCTTTTGTTTATCTATGTTGAGCTATTCTTTGCCACGCCTTACCAGGTACATCTCTGAGGATGGCCACATTACTCAACAGACACTTTCATAGACTCGCCTTTCAAGAAATCGACGCCTTCAAGAAAAATCGACGCAAACTGGAAGTATGTGTTTTTTTGCACTGTTTTTCCTGTCATGCCCATTGTAAACAGTGTTGTCAAGTAAAAAGAAGCGTCTGATACAAAGTATCAAACGCCTCATTCACATGCTTGCTTGCGATGCGTCCAGTACACTTTGTTTACATTAACTAGTCGAGGTCAGAAATGTACAGTGTTTTTCTGTCTAAATATGCAGTTTTTAATTTTGATAAGTGAATTTTGATTCTTTTATCTACATGTTCATTTTCTGAACATTTATATAAACTACGAAATATTTCCCATCGGAAAATCACCCAGCAGCTTTCCAAGTACAAGTGAGTGTTGTAATGATGCACTTCCGATTTTCGTAGAGATCTTGAAGGGATTAGCATCATGGTTTGCTGCATGCACATTTAAAGCATTCCATTTCAAAATATACGCAACTGCTGGGATCGAAATTTACAACACTTATTTTTCAGATGATATTACACCTATGTGCATACAGTGTAATTTGTGAAATCGTTGAGACAGTGGAGAATATATATATAACTCGTGCTTTATTTCAACGTTCAGTTCAGTTAACAATTGACCATTCATATCTCTCATGTCGGTACAGCAAATTAGCAAGGTACATAATCTAGGAAAGAAAACAATAAATAAATAAAATAAATAAATAAATAAAGGAAACTATATAAATATACATGTGCATCTGAACATTTAAATTACTTTCATCAAATACATAGCTGTATTATACTAGATATATTGAACATTACATTAAGTTGGCTGTATATAGCGAGACTTGAATCTGTTATATATATTCAATGAGCACAAATAATATGAAATTTAATTTATAGTGCAATTACAGTTTTTATAGTATAAAAATGTGTGGACCACTGTGGTAAGTTAAAACAGATAAGATCAGATAAATATAATGGTCCTTGTGAATGGATTGCCTTAAAAATAATACAAAGTACTTTAAAATCAATCCTCTGCTTCACAGGCAGCCAGTGTAATTCTTTCAGAATGGGAGTGATATGGTGTGTACTATTACTGTCAGGCGTCACATTGCCAGGTGTCATCCTGTCAGCTGTCTCACAGTCTTGTATAAAATGTCTGTTCCTTCAAAAATTGTTTCTCTTTCCAGGTTCCCTCTGTGTATGACATGATGACATGGTGGCTTCTAGATGAACAGAATCCAACTGCATGGCTTTAAAGTGAACAGGAACAGACACCAGCAGGAGCATTCCTTTGTCTCACCCTCCTGTACAAAAGGATAAAGTTTTAGGATAAATGGAGTTTGAAGAGTCAGAAACAGAAAACAATGGTAACAGGTAATTGCATGAACTTCTTCAAGTTTCTCCCTGAATAAAAACTCCAGTATTACTTTTTGTGTTTTTTGGGGTTTAATTAATTTTGTTTTATCAGTAACTGTTATTTCCAGCTTCCCTCACTTTATTTATCACAAAAATGAACTTCAACCTAAGTTACAGTCAACTGATGTGCTAATCTCTGATTTTACTGCTGTAAGGCTTTATTTTTGCAAATTTCACGAATATTGAAGCAGATTAGGCATTGTTCACATTGTTATAATTTTTTTCAGTATGGAAATAGTGCCATTCTCTGAAGTCTAAGCTGTCACCAGTACTAGTATCCTCCACAAAGTAAGTACGTTTTAAATCTGTTACAGTCCAGTCACCAAATTAGGTGTCTCATTTGCCAGCTAGTACACCATGATTTGGAATTTTGTTTACAACTGGTTTCTTCAGTTATAAAGGGATAACAACTGTTAGTTTTGGTCAAAAATGGAAATTTCCTGGAGTAAACTGCAACTTTCCATACTTACCAATGGTTAATGAATCCATTTCTTCATTCAAAGTTAGTCCATGTTTCTTTTTCTTAATATTTTATGTATTACGGCGGTATAGCCATCTATGAAGGACCAAGTGGTCTGATGGAAAGCAAAAATTCCAGAATAATTGCAATAGCCGCTGTTTTAAAATGCAATTTTAAATTATATTTCTATCAGTGAATTTATTGTAAAATATTAACTTACAAGGACAGTTGTTATCCCTTTAAGATAACGTGTCCCATCACAAACCCACTGTTCCAGTCAGCCACTTGTGGTCATGAAGATGTCTGGAGATGTCACCAGAAGACTCCCAGCATGGCTTTAACTCCATAGAAACTTCCCTGGACCCAATTGATATGGGGTTCACTGTAGTTGATGTATTCAAGACATTTGTTTGCAATATTACCTATATGCATATTCATATTCCTGTTAGCTATAACATTAGCAGCTACTTTATAATCAACATTTGTAAGTGATAGAGGATGGCAGTTTTTTAAACACATTTCTAGGTAAATCCGTTTTTGGTATCAATACAGTCAGCCCTTTGCTTTGTGATTAGATCAAGAAAGTTGGCCTTTAAGTCAACCCTCAAGATTTGCAGATCTAAATACAATCTTTTTAGAATATAGCTCACTATAATACTGATTTATCACCTGTTGAATTTTTGTTTGTTCTGTTATAACTCTGTTTTCTGATGATTTGAGGGCAATTATACACTTGTTTTTTGCTCTTGCATTCTCAAGTNTGGCCTTATCATGCGACATTTCGCTCACGAGACCAGTTGAACGGCGGCCTTAACCTGTAAAAAAACTCCTAAATAACCACGTGACCGTTGTATTGTTGATTCTCTTTTGTGTTCGATATCGTTTCATTCTTTCACGTCCTTGCCTTGACGCAGGACGCCATAATGCGTCGTACATGTAACTTTGACTATCATGTTAATAGGATGGATTTCCCTCCTCTGATTTAAGGGACGCTTAGGGATACCTGTCGGTCATCAGAAATCAACCTGACACCACCAATCGGTATTAGCAGTATTAGAGGACTGACCTCATTATATTGATAAGGATTTAAAGCTTTGCATAGGCCTATGTAAAAGACTGCAAACACTGTGTCGAACTTAAAGTTGGCGTGTGGCTGAGTATAGGAGCAGCTAAGTCCACTGAAGTTTAATTTGTGTCTCGATAACTGAATTTACGATCAAGTTAGGAAAGAGAGGATAGCGACATCAGGTAGGCCTACATGTATAAGGCACACTGATAATAGGTTTTGCTTCATGTCAACACTCTGTTACCAAGGCGGCATTCTTGCTGTTTGTGATAGCTTGCGACCTACATACACACTTGGCGAAACAAGGTGTATGGAGAACGTTTTATTAAGAGCAGCAACAGAATTATGAACACAAAATATTAATTATGCGAGTTAATAAAGTAATTTATATTAATAAACCATATAACAAGTATGTCATTCTTTTTATTTTCAGACAAAATGTTGGAAAACGTTCGACGCAATTATTTCCTTGTCCTATTTATTGTAATGGTATGTTTGCTGGTGCTTATGTTGTACCTGTCAAACGTGTGTGGTATAAATTCATCTGTAAAATGTTGGCTGATCAATGATGCACCAAAACCCAGACCCAAGTTTATGGTCAACAATATTAAAAAGATGCCGGAGTATATTCCAACCAAGCTTAGTGACTTCAAGCTGGCATCGCAATTGGAGGTTTTGAAACAATGGGAGGATGACTATTTCTCAAAGGTTCTCAAATATCCCCAAGTAACTGTTTTAGTTCTAAAGGCTAATCCAAATGACCCAATATCAAATACGCCAATCGATAAAGCATTTAATTGGACAGGATCAAAACTTATGTGTAAGAATTTACAAGACCCACCAAAGAAAAATTTTCTTCATCTGTACAACAAGTCTTGCACTACAGACTTGTCAGCTGCATTCAAGCCAATCAAATTAGAAGAGTTTTATTTTAAAAACCCGGAGAGGTTAGACTCAAATCGTAGACCTGGTGTGGCAACATTCTTGACTAAGGTGTCAAGGGGCCTGATAACAGCTGAATTCGGGCATGTAATTAGTGCTAACGTTAAAATTGTTGCTACACAGTGCAATTATCCAGACTTGGGGGAACACCCCCCTGCTAACCTTAAACCTCCAACTAATGTGGAAGACACTGTGTTTGTATTATCCCAGTTTTGGGGTAATAACATCTTCCACTCGATGATGGAGGAGTTCACACGAGCAAGTTTCTATATCAACTTCCTTAAAAAACATAAGGACGTCAAAATACACATTTATAATGTTGGGATAGTTAAAAATATTTTGAAACACCTTGGAATTGATCCCTCCAGAATAGTGACTGGACATGTGTGGGCCAAGACGATATATCTCCCAGAAGGTACAACATGTGGAAGAGCCAGACCTATACATGCTCAGTTCCTCTCCAAGCACCTTAGACAACAAATTGATGAAAAGTTTCGTCAGAATGAAAGAAACAGTGTAGTTTTAATCAAAAGAAATCCTGGAGCTTTAAGACACTATTCCCACCACACAGAGTTACAGAATTTCATGGAGAAATTTGTCCCAGCTCTAGGTTTCAGATTTGAATTGTTTACTGATTCACCATTACCTTCATTCAATGACATAGCTGCCATGTTTAATCGTGCAGTAATGGTGGTTGCCCCACACGGGGCAGGTCTGTCCAACATGCTGTTCTCAAAACCTGGAACATTTATTGTGGAATTGGTTTGTAATTGGATTCATATAAATTTCTGCTATCAAAATGCTGCCCATATCCTTGGACATCGGTGGCATGGAATCTCTGGTGTATCTGGCTGTGAAGGTGTCATCGACCTACCAACAGATGAAATAGAGAAATCGATCAAATTCTATCTCACATGGATTAAAGAACATAGAAAAGAATGGGAAAAAAGTGTTGCTCCTCCAAACAAAAAGTATCACCTTACCTGGAAAATTGAGCATATTGGCAATCTTACTTTTACAGATTTTATTGAGAACACAGATGACTGGTTGAAAACACTGCAGCCATAACTACGTTCCATTGTAGCTGACGCAAGGAAAATTCTAGAAATACATCTGATGACAAGATGAAACGATGTATATTGTAATTGCAGACAATTAGAGAAACGTAGCTATTACTTTATATGCTTATAGTTAAAGGATTCTCTTACTGAGGGGTTTCAATCCTCGTAAAGACATTTGTCCTGTCTATTCAATTCTTCAACAAGCTTTAAATTACGACTGTCCCTTATATAATGAAAATAATAATAACAATTTTATTAAAAGATATATCAACCAAAAGGTTGAAGTACATGTACTGGTTTAGAATGAAATTTACAAATGTACAAATTAAAATGTTTACATAAAATAAAGGATACACAATAAGACCAAAATGAGTTGGAAAATAAATAAAGCACAGGCCTCTAAAATTTTGCTAAAACAAAAGGGAATATTATAAAGGACATAGGGGAGACCGGGGCTAGTTGGACCCCGGGGTAAGTTGGCCCCCCATCAATTTATGAAAAAGTAACTACGAGGTAAAAAAAAATAGGCCACATACTCTTGTAAAGTGACCGTAGCCTACAATGCTAAGGAAGTGTCGGACGTTAAAAAGTTTTACTTAAGCGGTGAGTGGAAATAAACGATTTTTGTACCTAAAAGTAATTTTATTTAAGAGATTTAAAAAATTTATTTTCATAGGCTTTTGATCGAATATAATATATGTATAGGGCTGCACGATTTTATTTATGAAGGTTTTGGGGTCAAAACCTTAGAAGGTCGGGAATGATGTTTTAACGATTTTATTTATGCAGTTTACTTCTGAATGTTCTGTAGTATTTTTACCTTTAATGCTATGGTTTAGAGCTAGCATGTACACCTCAGGTAACATGTATAGTACACCTGAAGCCAGACCGCACCATCTTCAAGCATCCCGAAGATAAACGTTATGTAATAAAGTAAATATAAGGCAAACCTTCACTCTCACTTGATACACTGCAGTAACAAGTATCAATTAAATTATATGATATATTCTGTATATGTTTCTATGAAAGCTGAATCTATAAGTAAATATTAGTGGTAGTTTCTCGTAAGTGACTTTTAAGGAAATCTATCTTAACAGCACGTGGCTTGTAGGTATATAAAGTCCACACCCGCCAATTAATGTTAATTAGCACTCAAAAATCAGACTCTCAAAAATCCCGGCAAGTTGGGCCCCCCCTAACGTTAACTGCGTTTTTTTTTTTTTGTCAAATTGTCAGCCATCTGGCATTATATTTGAATATTAATGACGCTGCATACGTAGCTTAGTTCTACACTCTACCAGGGCAACTGATAGATTGGCTTCAGCCAAAAATGACCATCTATCTAGCTAGAGACATATGTGTGAATATCTGTAAAAGTCTATCAGTCGCCCTGGTAGAGGGTAGCTTAGTTCTTGGGGCTTACTTTGAAACCGGTTTTGCTACTCTTAACTCATATAGTTGGCTCTAAAAGGCCAAAAGTGTCTAACTAGGCCAACTAGCCCCGGTCTCCCCTACAATAACGGTGAGCTCCAAACTAAAACACAGACATCTAAAAGTTTGACAAGGAAAATGTGATAAAGGTGTTAATTTTGGTACACTCAGTTTTTACTGGCTATGTCTTAGTTTCTGTGTGGTTTACAGGTTAATAGGTAATAATAATAATAATAATAATAATAATAATAATATATTTATTTCAAGTCTAAAATCCATAAAATGTTCAATAGACTGTACAACATAAAATACAAAGAAGTTTATAGATAAAAATGGTTAAGATATATTTTATATACTCAGTAAATAAGAGCTAAACTAACTTAATTGTAATAAACAGTAATTTAAAGTAAAAAATCCAAGGTTTCTTTAAAATTGTAAAATTTAAGATTCATGAATAAAATGTCTTAAAAATATGAGTTTTTAATTTCTTTTTAAAAGATTCTTGTGATTCTATTTGTCTAATAAAAATTGGCAACTTATTCCACTCTACTGGTGCAGCTACACAAAATGATATGTCACCATATAATTTAACCTTGATTTTGGAACTTTCAGTAAAAGTTTGTCACCAGACCTCAGGGATCTTTGAGGGCTATAATGTTTGACTAGATCAGTTATATATGGTGGAGCTAGAGTAATCCACCTTATCTCTGTCGTTTGTTTTGGAAATTTTATTATTTGAAGAGTTCTGTGCGTCGCCCTTTTAAAGCAGCTATCTTTGGTTTAACTAGATCATAGATTGCATGAACCGGATCATAGATTGCATTATCTTTTACAACCAAAACAAAATGTCAAATATTCATTAAGGGAACAGGAGACATCCAAAAGACCTAAAATCAAAAACCAACCGATCAATGAGTGACTTTTTAATAAGTGCGATATACAAGTTTCAAAATTAACTGATAGACTTTTATTTCTTTTTTTACCTTGCATTTTAGTTATTTTGTTTTAAATTTGTTTACGTATGTCTTTTGAAATTCCTTTATTCTTACTCACTAGTGGTTTTATTCAACTTTGATGCAATGATTGTAATTATTCAACTCTCGAGTTGTAAGTTTGGTATTAATAATAACAATAATAATAATAATAATAATAATATATATATATATATATATATATATATATATATATATAGTGCATTGGTCGGAAGGTTCTACAGTGAACATTCGGACCAATGAACCTTCGGACTATTGCTACGGCCCCTATACGATGTAAACAATGCCGTGATGAGGTCTTACAGTGAGAGGAAGCCGTAGTACCGCTGAAATACCACCGGAGTACCTGGTGATAATGTATAAATCAGAAAATGCCAAGAAAAAGCTTGAAAAGTGCACCCCTACCCCACCCCCATTGTCAAGTTGTAAACATTGATCAGTCAAGCTTCGCCAGCATTAGCCAATGAAAACGCAGCAATTTTTTAACTGCAGTGTCACAATTTCTACGTTTGGTGAGAAAAGACTCAGTGGAAAAGACTGAACACTGGAACATTAATTTCGCGCCGACATGTCGTTCTGTAACAGTATGTTACATGGTCTTTACTTCATGTCATGACAAATTTTTAATTAAAGTCAAGGAGGTGTTTAGGGCAAGTTGCTGTTATTTACTTTGCGAGATTCCTTTTGATAGTCAGTGTTCACGCCGAGCATGTAAGTGTTGTAAGATTTGATCACCACTGTATGTACTAGCATTGCCCTGAGCTTGGGTGAGGCCTGATATAATATACTCTCTATACTCAGTACTCTCTATCCAGTTTGTTCAAGCAAAAGCAGAATTCTTTGCTTCTTACTTTCACTGTCAATGCCATAGCTGTAAGGACATACCTACTGAGTACATGTATCAAATTTAAGTAATCTACTTTTTTGTGCAACTATACATTTATACTATTACTGGTACATGTATCTTTACCAGTTACGCTTGCTAGAGGGTCTCATCCTTCGAGGATGTCATAATCCAACGTGTGCTGCTCCTCCTTTTTTGATTTAATATGGTATACTCCGTGTCACGAAACTGAGGGTCTGTGTGACAGAAAGTCCGCCCTTCATATAGTTATAATGGTTAGGGTTAGTCTGACTTTAGTGGGTCAAAATCAAAGGCGAGGCTCTCCTGTACATGGTAATAGGAAGCGGACTCTCTGTCACAGGGGACTTTTATACATACATCAAACTGATCAATGTGAAGTGAAGAAAAAATAAGCCATTCAATTATAGAGTGTCACTTTTCACATGAAAAAAATTCATATACCCACTGTAGCTTGCTGTAGAATCACATAAGTTAAATTCATACTAGTAATATAGATCAGAACACATTTTTACATACTGTGTGTAACAGTGTTTTTTCTTTTTCAGTGTAAGTATGTTAGAACGTCCTCGACATTTCCTGTACCTGCTTATTGCTGGAATAACTTCACTGGTGCTTTTGATGCATCTGTCAAGCTCTTGTGGTATAAACTGTTGGTTGAGACAGTTTGCACCTGGACCTAAACTAGAGTTTACTACTTTAAACTTCAGTGGGGTTATTCCAACCAAGCTTATTCAATTTAAGGTTGCCCCACGGCTGGACGTTTTGAGACAATGGGAGGATGATTATTTTACTAGAGTGCTTCAGTTCCCCCAGGTATCAGTTTTGGTTCTTAAGGCTAATCCAAAGGACCCTTTATCAAATACACCACTTGATAAAGCATTTGATTGGACAGGATCAGAACTTATGTGCAAGAACATTCAAAATCCACCAAAGAAAAATTATCTCCAATTTTATAACAAGTCTTGCAATACAGATATGTCAGCAGCATTCAAACCAGTCAAATTAGAAGAGTTTTATTTTGAAAACCCTGAGAGGTTAGACTCTAATCGTAGACCTAATGTAGTCACATTCTTGACTAAAGTGTCAAGAGGCCTGATAACAGCTGATCACGGATATGTAATTAGTGACAATGTTAAAATTGTTACTGAACAGTGTATTTTTCCAGACTTAGGGGAACACCCTCCTGCTAACCTTAAACCTCCAACAAATGTGGAAGACACTGTGTTTGTATTATCCCAGTTTTGGGGTAATAACATCTTCCACTCAATGATGGAGGAGTTCACACGAGCAAGTTTTTATATCAACTTCCTTAGAAGACGCAAGGACATCAAAATACACATTTATAATGTAGGGATAGTTAAAAATATTTTGAAACACCTTGGAATTGACCCCTCCAGAATAGTGACTGGACATGTGTGGGCCAAGACGATATATCTCCCAGAAGGTACAACATGTGGAAGAGCCAGACCTATACATGCTCAGTTCCTCTCCAAGCACCTTAGACAACAAATTGATGAAAAGTTTCGTCAGAATGAAAGAAACAGTGTAGTTTTAATCAAAAGAAACCCTGGAACTTTAAGACACTATTCCCATCACACAGAGTTACAGAATTTCATGGAGAAAATTGTCCCAGCTCTAGGTTTCAGATTTGAATTGTTTACTGATTCACCATTACCTTCTTTCAATGACATAGCTGCCATGTTTAATCGTGCAGTAATGGTGGTTGCCCCACACGGGGCAGGTCTGTCCAACATACTGTTCTCAAAACCTGGAACATTTATTGTGGAATTGGTTTGTAATTGGATTCATATAAATTTCTGCTATCAAAATGCTGCCCATGTTCTTGGCCATCGATGGCATGGGATTTCTGGTGTCTCTGGCTGTGAAGGTGTCATTGACTTACCAACAGATGAAATAGAGAACACCATCAAATTCTATCTCACATGGATTAAAGAACATAGAAAAGAATGGGAAAAAAGTGTTGCTCCTCCAAACAAAAATTATTACCTTACCTGGAAAATTGAACATGTTGGCAATCTTACTTTTACAGATTTTATTGAAAACACTGATGACTGGTTGAAAATGCTGCAACCATAACAACGGTGAATTAATTATGGGCATCATGATAATCTGTGCTTAGTTTCTCTAGTATATAAGGAGTAGATATAAGTTCTTTAATGTGATATTACAGCATATACATGTTAACTATACAGTATTACTATTTAATACTACATGTATACTATTTGCAGAGCTGCAGTGCTCAGTTATCTTTTTTTAAAGTTTCAGTTTACCCTATTTTTTTCTGGGATTTATAACTATATTGTTTGGTAAATTATATTAGAATTTTTACTAATGTAAAATGAATTGTATAATAACCCAGAGGAGAAATTACGTTGTTTCAATGTTAAAGCAATGTTCAAGGTAAGCAATATTGAGATGTTGTCATTAGTTTGCCAGGCTTAGGTAACAAAGTTTGATCAATATCAAATATGTAACAGTTTGTTTTCAGTTTTAAGAAGTCAGCAACTTGTTTTCAGTCTTAAGAAATCAGAATGATAAAGATTTTAAAATAAATTCTAACAGGATTTTTATTCCTGTTGTAAAATTCTCAACCTCGAATTGGTCACTTACGCTTCCCCTTAGCAAATTGGATACATCAACTCAATTACAGTCATGTCAGAATTTCTGATAAATTGAGATTCCTTCTTGAAGTTTTGATGGCAAACTACTTGTTTAATGTTTGTTTCTGGAGACTGGTGAAAGCAATTGCTCATGGCAGCAGATCAGCCCATTTGCCATTCACTGTGGTGTCAAAACCACCCAGTGGTTCTGAAGGAAAATATGAGGATACAGATGATTGCTTGCTACAGCCTATATACTGATAATGACCATTATATTATACGGCAATACCCAACTTAATTGTTCCTGGCCAAGACAACCATTTTTTTTTTGAGAAGTTGAGCAAATGGACTGCAGGGCCTGTTTAATTTCTTGATTTGTATCCTATAGGGCAGTGTTTGGATACTCAATACTGGGCTGTATAAAAAAAGGGAACATTCCCAGACCCTATTGTACTGTACTAACTGTGGATCCCTCTTTTCTTGCTTAATTGCATTCAACTTAAGCAGCTTAGATGTCTGTCACGCCTATTGAAGCTGCTAGGGCATGATCATCTGTAAATGTCGGGTTATAAAATTTGAGAGAAATGACATTTCAGGTATTTTTATTTGATTGATTTAATTACATTCATGTCCATTTGACCTTAGCTATTATTATTATTATTTTTTTGTTCAATTAATTTCACTTTATAAATGAATACCTTTTGACCAAATTACTTGGAACGGAATTTTATTTCTGTGAGAATTATAGTTGGACATATTTTACACCATTCTGGTCCCATTTTAAGACTGACCTTGTAACACATACATGACCTTGACCTCTGATGACCAAAAAACTATTATCCTTTAATTTCATGACTTTAATCTGGCACGTTAAAGAGAGGCTTGACCTCAATGAATTTATCTAGTTCAACTGAATTGTTTTTGGATCAGAAATGTCATTTTTGTATGTGTTTGGATGCAAATTTGACCTTGACATACAGTATTTTACCTGTTAAATACAATATTCAGAAAGGTGACCTCTTGTATGCAGTTCTCAATAGGTGCTAGAAAAATCATATAAAGTTCATTCGTGAAAGAATAAAGAAACAAAACATACATTTTTCACACTAAACACACATTACAACACATATGCAACAGAGACAATCTAGCATACAGTAGTCTCATTGGACATTAACAGCACTTAAAANGCATAACTACTAAAATAGTGGCCCGATCATGCCGATTTTCGAACTTGACCTGCGTTTTAGTAAGATTGATTACTCCTGTGAGTTTCATGACAACAGGCCTATCGGTTTTCCTTAAAATGTGTTAACAGGGTTGCATATATGCTGAAAAGTGAAAAAACAGCATAACTTCTACAATAATGGCCCGATCATGCTGATTTTCGAACTTGACCTGTGTTTTATGAATATTCATCAGCTCTGTAAATATAAAGCCAAAAAGTAAAACTGCCCTCCACTTATCGTGTTAACAAGGAAAGTGCACGGCGCCGGCATCGGCGACGCCATCGGCATCGGCGACGACGGCGACGACAGACGCAGGTGATGGCAATATGTACAGACACATCTGTGTCTGTACATAAAAAGGGGAGTGACAGAATACGTTGCACAAAATATCAGTAGTATATAATACACATAACACAAACTGATTAACATATATCGTCGCATATAAACAAACAAACCAGCTTATAATCATATATGAGTCACACCGGTGTAACATGAAAATCTGACTCCCCCCTCACAAAACTTCATAAATCTTATTTTATTTGAGTATATAACTTTTATCATTTAGTATGCATAATGGAAGTTACATTGGCACTTTTTGAAAATTTTCATGAGAAAAAAAAAGAAAAAAAAAAGAAAATGTATTTTTCCACTCAATGACTCCTATGAAAAGGCTATGGGAGTCCAAGTCCTGCAAGTAGTAAGATGAATGCTAGTTTCAAAAATTATCAATTTTCACCACAATTTTCACCACATAACTTTCAAATACTAACAAAATATATGTCACAATGCAAACCTTGTAGAAAACAATGGTTTGTTGACTAGATATAAAATAGGGCCTTTTGTTCATGAGAGTCCGAATCCCATGGGTATGAATATGAAGATTTTATATGATTTTTTTTTCATTTTTTGCACCCAATATTTTACCACCAAACTTTCAAATATTTCCAATATATATTCTTCATAAAGCAAACTTAAAGAAAAATGTTGAAATGATCACCAAATATCAAATAAATAGCTTTTTTATAGGGGAGTCATTGGGTGGTAAAATACACTTTTTTAAATTTCCTTATTTTCTCATTAAAATTTTCATCTGCAAACTAACAAAAAGTGCCAATGTAGCCTCCATTATGTATACTACAGTATAAAAGTTATATTCTCAAATAAAATAAAATTTCATAGGGGGAGTCACATTTTCATAATGAAAATTTGACTGGGGAGTCACATTTTCATAATGAAAATCTGACTGGGGAGTCACATTTTTGGGGAGTCACATTTTCATGGTATTTCATAATACCACAGTCACAATATACATTATTATGCCGATTGTCGGGACTAACAGAAAGCATCAATTACATTGTCATACAGAACAAATAAACGTACAATAACCTCCATAAACAAGCTGGTACAACAGGCAAGACTGACAATTGGGACTATCAAGATATATCTCGGATTCTTATATAAAGGCTTAGCTGTGAACTTAGGTACACAAAGATGTTAGACATACACTAATTGGCTATGACTCCAAGGCCTAAGGGATTGTCACACATTTACACTCGACACTTATTATATCGTTCTTTGTGATGTCAAAAAAAGAAAAGAATAAAGAAAGCTGACATTGTACTTTATGATATTTTAGTCCTTTTTTGAGATTGATCTTGATATTTAGGCATGACCTTGACCCCAGATGACTTCCAAACTTTTTTCAAATGAAGGGCCATGCGTTTGAACATTAGAAATGATACCTCTAACAAGTTTCTAGGTTACCGTTTCCATGATATGCCCACTTAAATACCCTCTGGGGGCCATTTTGGATTATGGCACTTTGCCATGGGTGGATTCCAGTGGGAAATTATCTGGGTTATATTAGCCCATAACTGGGCCATATTCAGAAACCTTTGCAAAATTTTTTTATCAACTTCAGTGGAAAAATTTGGTTCATTTACTGGACTATTACTTGAGATTTAAATAAACATGTCATAATTTCCATATATGTATTTCCCACAACTATGATCATTGTCATGACATGCTTCACTATACATTGCCAGTACGCAGGCGACAAGGGACTCTTTTTTTTTTTTCCTGGAACAGTTGTAAACAGTGCCTATACTTATACTTGAAACCGGTAGCCTGAGTGGACTCAAACCAGTTATATGATCATGTGATTAAGCCGAGTGATTAAAATACAGGTCGAGTTTGAAAAAATCCCGTTGATTGGACCATTTTTCCAAAAGTTAGGCTGTTTCTTTTAATCAACATTATTTTGAAATTTTAAAAATGCTAAATATCTCCCTAAGGAATTATGGGAAAAGTTACTTTTAAAGTTTGACCACAAGTCATATGTGGAGACTTTGAAGATGACCTTAGATGAGGCCTTTAACCTAAATCTTCAAATGGGCCAAATTTTGAAAAAAAAAAAATTCTGTGGAAAAATGTTTGTACCACTTTGCTTAAATATAATGATGAGAAGTTACACTTGGGGTCTTCTTTTTTCATCCCTGGTTCAGGGTCAATCATTGCATCTTCACTGGAGACGCAGCCATAAAATGCCATTCCTGAAAACTCTGTAATTTTGGAACCATAAAAGCTAGAGAGCTCATTTTTAGCAGTTTGTCAATTGCAACACTGTTTGTTTGTTTTTCATGTAGTTTATTTCAAAAAGGAATGCTCACTGATGAATTTTTTCAAAATATGAAATTTTCCTAAACTAGCAGTGATACACCCATAGTTACAATTGAAAGTCATTTTTTGGTGATCTTTATCACCCCATTTCCATAGATGTGGGGAGTCTCACTAGATAACTGTCAGCTTGGCTGGCTTAAGCGTCTGTATTGCCTACTAAAAGCTGTAAGGGGGTAATTAACTATGGTGTCCGCTCGGCTGACTGCAATTTAGCCTGAACCCCCAGGGAGTTAGGTCGATCTAAAACTTAATCTTTAGATCAATCTAAATCACTGGGAAAGCACCCTATGTGACCTTGAATTTGACTTACTTTCCCCCTACGAACTGTACTTTCGAGCCTTTATATCTCCAAAAGTGAGAAAATCACCCATGGTAACATTGCTATTGAACTTGAAAAGCAAATCATATTGGGAATCTTTTAATGTAACATTGAATTTGACCCACTTTTCCACATAAAATGCACTTTGCATATCAATTAGACCTTAGTACTTGTATCTGTACAGGAAAACAGATACATTCATATCTACCATTAAATTTGATTTATCTTGTTAAAATTTGGTGTTGATTTTGGTGTAAAGCATCAATCAAAATTGCATCAAAATTGACAAAATAACATATTTTGTGTATCATTCTTTGCTTTTATATCTGTACACTTTTTAGCTTTGCTGCTTGTAGAGTAACTGGTTTGTTGCACACTTAATTTTCTTGCACTTTCTTTTGACATATTAATGTGCCTCGACTTTCATGAAGAATGCATATTCCCATTCTTCTCAAATTTAAGTTTTTATTCACCTTTAATAAGTTTTCCATGTAATAAAATACAATGAAGTAAATAAAAAAGGGTAAAAATATACAATGAATGCACTGATGACAGGTACTTCAGTCTACTTTTAGTTAATTTCAACTGTCAGTTCTGTAAAGTATCAAATATACCCTCCAATGGCTCCTGGTCCCAGGGACCCATGATGTATTTTTCATTTTAAAATCAAAATGTTTATCATAATCAAATTTGAAGTTGATTTGTAATTCCTCTGCTTTTCATATATTGAATTTTGTCAATTATAACAGGGGTTATACGTAACCCAATGAGCTGAGGGTTGCTTCTTAGCTGCCTCACTGGATGTAAAAAGGGATTTAAACACTTTGCTTGTAGTTGGGTCTGACTGGATACTCTTAGATTTAACCTCTTTCTCACCCAACTTCCCATTGGATGTCTTTTTAAGTTCCTTGCCTGCTTTGTCATCCAGTCTGCCATTGGTCAACTTGCTAGATGACATAAATGTATCTGAAGTAGATACTACGCCAGGTTTACTTGTGCTGGGCAAATCCAATTTACTTCTTTTGTTATCTACAACCAAATCTGTAAAGCAAATAAGCATTCAAGTTTACAACTCCTCATATCTCTCCAATAACTAAATGCATTGATATCAAGCAAATACCAGTTTTAAGTAATCAGTGCTAATATGTAAACTGTATTTGTATCTGATCACACGTTTTCAATAACTTTCTTTTTCTGCATTTTTCTTGTTTTTGTTAAAACTGTTACATACCTTCACTGCTCCCAACTGCTGCAGATGCCTTATGTTTTCCTGATTTTTTGGCTTTCTGTTCATAGAAAGAATTTGAAAAAAAAATTTAATTAAAACATTTTATATGTCACCATTCTCTACCACTCTTCCTGGAACAAAATGCATTAATATGAACTGTCCAATAATATAATGAAAATTAATTATGCTTTTAAGAAAGTAACAACGTCTTAACAGTGCTTCACCCTCCACCTTCAATGTAAGTAATCAAAACTAATTCAATGACCTTTGTTTTTGATTGGAAAAGTAACCATTTCAATTCACTCACTTTCTCCAGCTTTGCTTGAAGTCTTCTGTGTTCCATATTCTTCTTCATTTGTTCAACTTCTTCCTCATTTCCATTCAATACCACAACATCATCACTTTTAAAAGGTTTCCCACACTGAAACCCGAAGAAGGTACATTATTTGACAAACCAATATATACTGAACAACCATGATCAGGTATTTGCATTAGACAATTACATAGCCAAAATTTTATTCCTGGAAACTTTAACAATTTTCTCTTATTCCTAAGATACAGCCTATTTAAAAACCATAAAGAGTGAGAGTGAGTTGTGTCAGTCATGCAGAGCACTTACTTTGTGGCAATTTTCTGACTTTACTTCCTTCATGGCTCTCTCAGAAACCACACAGCCACAGCTCCAGGGAAAGCAAAAACTGAAAAAGGCCAACCACTGAAGTAAACATGTCTTACAACTACAACGTTTATAACACAAAACTATTTCACAAATATATTTTACCAAAAAATTAAAGAAGGCTTAATGTTTTTTTTGTCCAACCCCTTAATACCTTGCTCATAACCTTAAGTCCTGAAGTTTTATAACAAATTTTCTCACAATAACATTTTGTATGTGCAAGCATAACTATTCATGCATGTTTGGCTCTGAAAATATGTGATAATGCACTCTGATAGTTTCACTATAGTTCATTAATATACAATTTGAGACAAAGAATGTCACAAATGTGTGCAAAGCATTCAAACAAGATAAAACCAAGGATGCTTGAGCCAGGACATTTTTGCATTCAAGACAAACCAAAGTAAAAACTAACTTGTATCTTCCATTCATTTCCAACCCCACCACTGGGCAAATGTATTTAGACAGTTGCATGTCTATGTACGCATTCCCCTTCTCAGCCACTTCCTTGGTGAAGGCAGGGTTCTCTGTCAATTTCAACTCTCTGACATCCTGGTATATTAATGGGTGGGACTTTATGTAAGCTCATACATACACCAAGTTTTGATTGTTAAACATCAAGATATATTTTCATTCAAGAGGTGTCATAAACAAATATCAAAATAAGTGAATTAATGCAAAATTGATACATCATACACCAGTTTTAGTCTGTTCATTCAAGGCTTGTCATAAAAAACAATTAAAGTAAATGAACTATTTTAAAATTGATACCAACTAGCCTGTTAAATACTGTTTAACTTTAAATTTTATAAACAGCTGATGGTTTTCCACTTTACAAAATACATATTCAACATATACAACTATAGGATGTGTGGTCTTCTTTTCTTCCAGTTGTTAATACCTTTAATCCTTTAATATGTTGGGAACTACTTGCTCCCTCAAATTTACTTTTGTCCAACAAAAATTCAATCACAGCTTCCTTGTTATATAGCCTGAAATGTACATAAACATTTTGATCAAATACAATCTTGCATTTGTCAACTACCAGACTCGGCACCGAGTGATCCTGAATTCACCAGTAGATTGGACCACACTACCTATTTTCAAGGTGTGTGACAGTACGCGCTTCGAAGTATCAGACTCTAAATTGTGCAAAAATGAGAGTCGTTTCTTAATTTGTTATGTGTGTGTGTGTGTGTGTGTTTAATGCAACCCAGGACTCATGAAACTGAGTTTGATGGCCCCTAGGTGCGACAGTTGATAATTCTATGTAAAACAAAAACTAGATTATTGCCGTCAGTATGCTCTTCGAAGTATCAGACGCGACACCACTCTTGCCTAGTACACGATGTGATTTAGCGATGATTCTGAGCGGGGTTGGAAAGTAGTGCATCTCATCTCAAAATTTGTTCCGGGACATGATACTGTGAAATGCATACTGACAAACACCTTGAAAATGGGTAGTGTGATCTGATCTACCGGTGAATTTGGGATCATTCGGTGCCGAGTCTGGTAGTGGAGTAGGCCTGATAGAAAGAAAGCAGAAAATATATGTTTAAATATCATTCTTGGGAAGTCTGAGGTAATATCCTTTGGTATTTCTTTTAAGTTACATGTATAAAACTAAATGGTGGTATTTGGTCGGGTTAAGTTGCAAAGAAGCATTTATAACTTTAAAGTAAGCCCATTGATATTTACTATTATCACAGATGTAACCTGAAACCTCAATATACCTGGACTTAATCACTTGTGCAATCTGCTCAAAGACATATGTAACTAACCTTCCAAGTTCACATGCCACAATTGGAGCTCGTAGTTTTTCTTGAGTAAGTGCACAATGTTGCCATTTTGCAGCAGTTGCCATGTCTTTATCTTTCTACAATGGAAATGTGGATTTCAAAAAAGGTTGTTCATATTGGGTGATAATTACATTGTATTTAAGTCCTACAAAGAAGATAAGTAATAAGACCAATTATCAAGATACACATAAGTCAGTGTATGAGTATGATCCAGTCATACTAAAATGTGCAATACAGCACAACACATAAGAAATTAATCTGGTCACGTGTAAACAGAAAAAGGTCATTCACAAGTAAATCAGGTAATAAAAAAGCTAAACATATCACAAGGTAATTAATATTGCTGATCCAGTTTAACAAATCGGTGCCATTTGTATATGTCAGGGTGTCTGTTATATAGCCAAGAAGAGCTGCTTGTGTAGAGTGGACAATATGGCTGACGATAAATAAATCATAAAGATTTGGTAAGTTGGATCAACTATAGTAATATATTTCACTTTCATATCACTACTTTTTTTGCAAATAACCAATTTCTGTGTTATCTTGTTACTGGACTCATTTGTTATTCACGGCTATATGAAAAGACAGTGAGATTATAGACAGTTAAGATAATTTTGTAATTGAATAAACCACTGCTGTGGTGTTAAAAAACTATCTTACAGAAAAAGACATGCAACAGATGAGAAATGATGATTTCCTTTAAAAGCACAACACACCCCAATACAGCACACTACACTGAAAAAAATGAGTCAAGTGGATGTGTTGCCTATTCTGGCGCCATATTGCGCATTTTAGGGAGTCCCGATAAATGATACATGGGTATAAATTAATTTGCTCTTTAATACACGCAGGTTAACAGCAAGAAAATTGGGGCCATAGCAATAGTCTGGAGGTTCAATAGTCCCAAGGTTCATTGGTCCGAATGTTCACTATAAAACCTTTGGACTATTGAACCCTTGATTAAAAAACCGATGAAAATATTACCATTTTTAGGACTTATGAACTTTCAGACCAATAAACCTTCAGACTATCGAGATGCCCCCTGAAAATTCATACGTTAGCACTCCTATTGACAGTGTGGCGTGTATCACTCGGAGCGAGAACAATCCATTCTGCTCATGCACACAAAGCGCAGGCAAATATGGGAGACTTCCGGTGTTTACAGTCCATCTCCATAGAGTCATCAATACATTCTTAGCCTATAATAAACCTGCGCTGTTGAGAACATACTGCAAATTCAAACATAATCTCTAGACGTTTTCATATCTTATAGATGTTCACCTCTACTGCGATTTCCCTCAGGTGGCCATATCAACACACTAGCCTAGTAAAATCAATACTAAAATAGTAGCCAGCAGCTGAATAACGATGGCCCGTCCACGGTAGGTTCATCCATGCATCGAACTGTATTTTGACACTGATTCTCTATCAAAATTATCAATTAACACATGAATTTTATCCCCATCATAGTAAATATATAATAAGGTAGGAAATGAACTAGCCGAATATAACAGTACAGGTGAATAACAACGGATCATTCACAGAACGGCTCATACACGCGTCTGCTGCGTGTACAGTCGGTCAGAACGGATGGTTCACGCAGAATGGACCGTACACGTAAGCACAGCCAGTACATATCAGAACCTTCAGTAGGAGTGCTAATGCATGAATATTCGTGCTAGGAGTTAGGTATATCACAATCCGCTAAGGGCGCTACAGTAGTAACTATCCAGGGGCAGTGAAGTATAAAACTGATATCGGCCTGCTGACAGCTCACCTACGGCACCCCTTTTTTATATCTCTCTTTTAGCGCCGCGTAAAAAAACTAATACAAGCCATTAACTAAATAAGCTGTAAATCAAAGAGAAAAATCCGGTCACATGATTTTCCCGTGTTGCAGTCTTTGAGAAGTTTCAGTTCAGGGCGTTTGAAGTTTTGCCTCGACAAAATGCTCAAAAATGTCAGGTAAATACTGGTTGGAATTTTTTGAAATTTATAATAAATAAAGTTTACGAAATTTGCAATATTATGTAGAAAAATCAGGAAAATTAAAATATGCGAAGTATAGTTTATTTGATGCGCAATATTTATAATACATGATCTGCACGGAAGCCATCCCAGCCATGTGCTTGTGCGGTCACCAATTTGGGTTTGTTTCCGGGACATTAGATTAACATAGAGCCCTAATTGGTCACAAGGAATTTGAGCTGCAGCTACAGCTGAGTGATCACCGCTGGTCAGTATTCACAGGTTTTTAGATGAAGAGTGTGGACACTTTTGGTGAATTTTTGCAGTTAAAAAACTTCAATATCTTTGTTGCTTGTAGGAATATTTAAAAAATTCCAAATGATTTCATCCGGTTTTTGCATTACCTTTCAGATGATATAAGTATTATAATTTTCTGATCAGTTTGAAAAATTTTCTGATATACCTATGATATACCTATAGGAGTTAATAATGGAAACATTTTTCTTCATAATGGCGCAGTTCAGCAATGAATTTCTCATTATCACTTACAAGCAAAATTGGGAATACTTTATTTTGCACTTTTCATAATTTCAACTTAAATAATAAGCTACTTTTGTAATTTAGTGATATTCACCTGCTCTGGTTTCTTTTTCATCCTAACCAATTCATCCCGTCGTGGAATCGTACCCCCATCACAACCCATGGTTGGTTAATGTAAATTTTACAGTCTGAAAATGTATTTTCAACCACAGAGACCTCGAAACGACGAATAATAACCGTGCAACTTGCTCACTGGTAATCGTCGCAAAATTTTGTACAATGAGCCGTTTTATATGTGGATTTTAGTTATCGTATAATTCTTATCTCTCCAGTCAAATTTTAAGTCATTTAAACTAATTTTTAAAAAATTGTAATTTTAATGTATTTTGAAAAATAAACAGTTTTTAATTATTTATCATAATTTTGCCGTTTTCCTTCGGAAATATACATTCGAAACCATATTTTAAATGTGCAAGAAAATCCGTTGCTGTCAGTGTGTGCGTAGCAGCAGACGGACACAGATTGAGGAGAGACTATCCTTATTGAACATCAGTCCAAAGTTGTAAGTAATTAGCCTGTAGTTTTCGCTTTCAGCCGACATTTATATTCTTTTAATTATCCATGCATAATTACGTAGTCACAATTTAGTAAGGATTGTATGGTAATAATCTTGACGAGGTTAGGTGGTGTTGTCTGTACAGAAAAGCGCTGACATGGGCAGTGTGTTGTAAAGACTAAGGGGATGAACATGCATGGTTTTATAAAGTTTTATACTGTAATTTATTACATGTCTACTTCCTAAACGGTTTCGTGAAGATAAAAAAGTAATCTAGGATTGATTTTCACACTAAAATGGCAAAAGGATATTTTTTAGCATCATCTGTAAACATTTTTTTTTTTTTGCAAATTCCTGCCTTGTCTGTAACAGAAAAATTCTCAGAATACGAGGTGTTTTCAATCAGAGTTGTTTATATACTATCCTATTGTAGATTATGACAGACAGTGAGAAGCAGTGTGTGTTGGTGACAGGAGGAGCTGGATACATTGGCAGTCATACTGTGATAGAGCTTATCCAGGCAGGATATCCAGTAGTGGTCCTGGATAACCTGGTTAACTCGTACAAAGGTACTACACAGCCAAGTATGTACTTTTGGCAAATGGGAAAGTGTGAAACTAGGCTCATACACTACCTTGATAAATTTCACTTCTGGCCAAAAAAGATTTAATTTGAAATAAGGGATATTCTAACTTTAACTTGTGCCATTTATTATGTATTAGTGATTTTGTTATTAATTTTGGGAAAACTTTTTTTTTTTTTTTTTTTTTTTTTTTGGGGGGGGGGGGAGGTTTGATATGTTTCCCTTTTTTGTGCTCTTAAGATATAGTTCATATATGCTTTGCTCCATGCATGAAACCCTGCATTCTATCAATATTACTTAGAAAGTGGACTGTTTTTATTTTTAACTTATATTCTACCTTCCATCTGTATATTAATTCATCATATAGCTTAAGGCAGAAATGGAATGGATAATGTGGACTCTTACATGATGTATTTATGGTTGGCATTGTTTGCTGTAAATAGTAATAAGCTGTTTCAGACAGTTTAGGTAGTTTGGTTATGACAACAGGGTTTGTAAAGTTTTTGAAATTTGTTTCCTTTATACCTCGCCCCATTCCTACTATAGAGCATTATCTTAAGATATAAAAAAGATTTTGACTGAAGATGATTCAGTGATGGCACGGCAGGCCTATGTGGTAAATTGAATCTACTTTAACTTTTGAAATGATTATGAAAATATAAATGAACAAAGAGTAACTTATTCTGTTGAAAATTGTATATATATCTATAAATTGTTATATGAATAGCTTGGCAACACCTGCCTGCTTAAAAATAACAACATAAAACTTAGACTTTCTTTTTATATGCTTCTGCTAATTTGACTCTCAGGCAAAAATAACTTATTATTAGTTGCAGTGGGGAGACAGCTATCAATTTTTATCCTAGATCCTTATCCTTTGGTCCATATCCATCTTAATCATATTTCCTATTTTGTTGCCCAACCTTATCTCCTAATCCATGTTGTGTTTGAGTAAGTGAATTGAGATTTCAGTTTGCTCAGCTTGAAATGTAGATGTCCACATTAACAAGCAATTTGTCTGCCATGCATGGGTTGCCATAGTTCATGATGTAAAGTTTTACACCTGATAGCAAGACTAATATAGATAGCTTATCAGAGATTTCTTGTAAAGTGTTTGTATGTGGGTTAGGGATCTTATCTTGAGCAGTTTTTGTCAAATAAAATTTCTACTAAGAGTGATTGGTTCCTGGATATGTTATATATTCTTCAAGGTTATATTTGTACATTTTATAACAATCTTAAATAGAACCATAATGGAAAATGTTGTAATAAGAAACCCTTTCAAAATATTTTGATTTATACTTGGTTTTTCATAATGTTTTACACAATACTTCCAATAATTTTAGTTGTTCATTATGTTTTACACAATACACAAAATAATTTTGAATCACTGTATTATAATCCAATAATTTTTTTACAATCATTTTTTCTAACCCAGTTGTATTGGACTAGTTAAAGGGGAACATGTTGTTTTGTGTGGTCAAGTGGGAAGCACTCTGTATTTTCATATCAAGATAGGCACAGTACAGAGTGCTGTTAAGCCTGATGCACATTTGCAATTGACCTGATTAGTGTAACTCCACTTTGCAGCAGGGCCTCACTAAAATTACTTTAATGTAAACCTAGTAGCCCTTTTCCAATTAATGAAATGAAGAGGTAAAAGGCAAAGACATCATTTTCCATTTTTTCCACTTAATATTCAAAATGTGTACAGCTTTGAAAGTGATATTACTAGACTATTGTTACAAGTCCCAGATTTCAGGATTCTGTGGGTGACACAGTTTTAATGATAGGGGTGGAAGTAAGGGCACTTTTTGAGGGGTACCTTTAATAAGGTAAAAAAAGATAAATCTTTGTGACTGTATTTGTCCTGAAGAAAAGTATGAGGTGTAAAATGACTTTGTTATTTATTCACCTGCCTAAGAATGTTGACACTGATTTTACCTCAGAAAACAAATTGAATGTCAGTTGAGCCAGTATGGATCAGTATGTAGCCAATTTTTAGAGTTTTCTGTTTGTAACATGGATTTTGATGAGAAACATGATGGAACAATGTTTGGCTGCTAAAAAAAGTCACAATTAAATGTTGTGTTTTGTTTATATTAAATTTGTTAGGCATTATATGGTGTTAAGATAGTTTAGTCTTGCCCTTGATGATTCCACATGACTGTAGAAAAAATGTTTCATACGTACAAGTTTCTCAAATATTGTACCTATTTCTACAGGTGTATAACCATAAAACATACTGTTATAGGCAGGTTTTATACCCATCATGGTATAAATTATCCTCTCATATCATCAGTAGTAGTGAAATAAGTGTGGTTATAAATAGTGTGTGAAATAAAAGATGAAAAGATATATCAGATCTTTACTCTCTGACAACGGGGCCCACTATAGCTAGTCTGGATCACACTCAGTGGGATTTCACATAATCAACAGGAATGCATTCTTTTCCAGACATACCCTTTGTATTTGGTGCTAGGAAACACACATCCCTGTTTATGTCCCCATTTCTATGCCTGAATCGTTCTAGCAGGATCGACCTATCTCCAAGGGGTTTCTCGCTAAATTACTGTATGTTCAGCTTTTAAGCTTAAAAGTGGCTGTGATGTCTGGCATGCCTACTGAAACTGTTGGGGGGTGGGGGATGGGGTAATTAACTATGGTTTAGAGCAAGTTGGAATGTTCGGAACCAGGGACCATTATCATTAGAAATATGAGTGGTCCACTTTGACCCAGCATAAATCGGTGTTGTACCCTGTATGAAAATATTGGGCTTGTTCATTTAAAGTGGGAATTGAGTGATGTTTAGACAAACAGTTGCAGTAATTAAGTTGACCACTACATGCTCCACATACTACCTAATTAGTCTGTCAAAGTAGACTAAATTTTACAGACTTTCATGGAATGGTGTCCTTTCCAATGCTCAAAACCCAAGGATGAGTGTACTAGTACGTGTCTCTCTAACATTGATACCCTCGGTAAGGGCTTTAATAAACTAACCCTGGTGTCATTTTGTTAACCTTTAAAGATCCCAATGGTGTTATAGTGAGCCTGCAGAGGTGTGAGGAAATAACCAAGACAACAATTCCTTTCTATGAGGTTGACTTACTAGACAAGGATGCTGTCAGACAGGTTTTTAAAAAGGTAAGCTGCAAGTGGTGATGGTAATGATAAGTTGCTACATAAAACTTTGTGTTGATTTTAGTCTTTTTGCATCACCTTTACCATTATTACTGTCACTAATATTTACTTGTGTATAGTTTTTGTAAAACATTGAAAAAGAACTGGGACTTGAGTATCAGTTAGTTTTAGATTTTGAAAAACACAGAACATTGTTATTACTTGCAGTTGCTCATCATATATTATGGAACTGACAATGATCATGATGTTTTATTATCATGCATTTTTTACAGCTGAAATATATTGTTATATAAGTTGTATTCCATTCTACATCTGATTTAACTGATTTTATTTTCCTCCAACTAGCAGGATCCAGTTATAAAATGTAGATGCAATAAATCCATTTTTTTTTGCCCTCAGAATAACATCAGTTGTGTTATCCACTTTGCTGGCTTGAAAGCAGTAGGAGAGTCCTTTAATCTTCCAATAATATACTATGATAATAATGTTGTTACAACTATAAATTTGTTTGAGGTAAGAGTATAAGCAAAATATCTATGAACACTTATTTCATTTTATGGATTTAAGAAGTTCAGTAGCATCAGTGTGCAGATTAGTTAATTTTATAAAGTCTAAAGGGAACAGGATGATGTATGTGTAGATAGCAAAATAAGATATTTCAGCCTTCATTGAAGAAATCTTGTCTTTTGAAATGAAATATCAAAAAACAACTGATAAACTGAACTTCTTAATTCCACCACATTTTATGGTATTGCAGATATAACATACCCCAGTATATATCACTTGATGAAGATCTTTGCACCTAATATCAGCTGGTCATTGGGCAATAACACATCAGCTAAACACAAACTTCCCTTGCAGCATGTTTGGTCTGGTGTGGAACAAAGCTGGTGACATTTTTTTTTTACTATATGATATTAAAACATTCTTGCCTTAAGTCTGTATGAAGACTGTTTTGATGTCACATAGTACTAATGATGTTACTGGTATATTGGTTCTAATCTGGTATGTTCCAGATTAAGGCTTCTAGGTCCAACAGGATAAGGTAAAGCAGTTTTCAGGATGGATAAATTGGGACAAAATGGAAGTGTCATTTCTGTTTCTATGCTTCTCTTTCCTAGCATGGAGACATTGGCTTTGTGATACACATAGCTGGCCTGAAAGCTGTTGGAGAATCCTGTGATTTACCACTGCTCTACTATAATAACAATCTAGTGGGAACTATAACATTGCTTGAGGTGAGGGTGAAGGTATTTTTCTACGTAAGTAGGTTAGAAAAGAATCAGAATAAAATACTGTAAGATCAAACTTGTTCATATGGTAATGTCCTCACATTGCATGCTGATTTTAATCAACCTAAAAAAATGGACAGAATAGATGCGGAGGTGTGATTACTATACATGTACACTGATATACTTATTGCATTCAGTATTTAGGCCTAGAGAAATGTGGAATTAATTTCGCATTCTTGTGAATTGAGCTCGGTATACCTAAGGTTTTTTTTGTGGTGTAATTTGCATGAAAAGACATGCTAAATCTGTCATGATAGGCATCGTTTGGCACTTAAGGGATCTTGGATATTAACGAAAAAGTCCAAAACTAATGCAGCTAATGAAATTTCCTATTAACTTAAAGAAAAGGTCTAGCAAGCCAAACAATTTTTCAAAGTTTGTAGTCACAGTGTAACACGAGTGACGTAATATCAGCGTTTTGAGGCTAAAATTGTCTTTTTTTTAATCAAGAATTTCTCTTAAACAAAAAGCCCTATTAATACGATTGAAATAGCTATCTAAAGGTTAGCACAAACTCCATTAAACTCTGTCAGGATTTTCTCTTTTTATTTTTACTTTTGATTTTATTTTGATAAAACGTGAATTTTACGAAATATATATGGACCTTCCAATTTCAGTATTAATAACTTCAAAAATAAAAGGTCAATCCAAAAACCAAGACTCAGACGACTAGATATTATACTGAAACAGAGACACATCAAATTTCATGTCAATCTGACAGTTACAGAATGAGATATGGGGATTGAAGTTTAGACTATGTTATCAATCTTCAAAGCTNGAAATGATTGACAGCTGAGTAGGTCTACCTACTCTCGTTTCACTGACGTAATTAATCATAATTGTGCCTGACGCAGTAGGAGTCTGTGCACTGTCTAGGAAGTGTCTAAGGAAGCGCTTACAAACAAAAAGAGGATTACTTGGTGTGCCAGCAGAGGACAATGCCACCCGTCGTGCGTGGGCGCCGCTCTACACACCAAGACGCGAAAATTGAGAAAGTAAAGCAAGATTTACTCCGAGAAATGGCCGAATGTGGGTACGTATATGCCATGATGCCACAGAGTGCCAAGACCGTAATATGCGAATTTGAAAATGTTTTGGGTGGCAATATTACTTTAAAACTTGCTTGCTATTACAATCTTTATTGTGCATAAAATGATTGCCTAACGATTTTTTTCTGACAACCCCAGACGTTGTACGAATACTCAGCAGTTCAAGTGTGATCTCGAGTCTTTACCGCGGGGTTTCTCCATCCACCAGAAGCACTCTCTTTCACAATTATCTTGCTTTCCTCGCTCATCCGTTTTCTCACGACTTTCTTTCTTCCCATGACTGTGTATATAACTGTGTTCTGCTTAGCTGACGTAAGACTTATGAGCTGCCAGGGCACGCGTAACAGCTTAAGAAGTTAGACAACCATTCTTGTCCCGCCCCCCATAGTAACGGTGCTTGACAACGGAGGCGGAGCCTAAAGCCTGCCACCCGTACCAGTCAGGACAGGTAGAAAAACTCGTCCAAATGTATATTTTTAGTCCGTGTTTCACAAATATAACTTAATTGAGTATTAGATACAAAATTGATTATTTCTAACGTATAAAAAACTAAAAATCGAGTTTTAGACGTATTTTTAATATCCTAGACCCCTTAAGGAAATGGGCTCATCTTAATCACCCAGTAAATTATAACAATAAAAGGTAGAACAATATAGTATATAACTGCATGATAAATACGTGGTGTATGCACATTGCTTGCTAAATATGGGAAGGTTATGAAGTATCTTAAAAATTTATAGCTGATAACAAATGCTGGTACAAAATTCTGTTTGTTATCTTTCCAAATACAACTTTGGCAATATAAAATGGAATGATGGTAGAAAAGAAGTCAATATTCATAATGAGTGAATTATCTTAAAATGTTGCCTTAAGAGTTTTGTTTTGTTTTATTTAAAAATGTTACATGGGTTAGTTGTTTGGATTGATTAATGTAACAGAGAGTACTCAGTAGTTTAATTTTCCGGAGTTTGCAAACATTTTCATGAAACAAAATCAAATTATACGAAAAATTGTTGAAACTTACTGTTTTAGGTGATGAAAGAGTTTGGAGTGTATAATATAGTGTTCTCCAGCTCAGCTACTGTGTATGGAGACCCACAGTATTTACCTATAGATGAAAAGCATCCAGTTGGGGGATGCACAAATCCATATGGAAAAACCAAGTATTTTATAGAAGAAATGATTAAGGATCTATGCAAATCATCAAAGGTAAAGTATTTTTGAAAGATGCCACAACAAACTCATAGGGCCTGGATGAGGGCAATCTTTTCATTTCTCTCGTAATTTTTTGATATATAGCTGGAAAATGTTTTAAATTCCAGAACATCTAACTCATCTTGTTTTTGACTTATATGACTTGCCTCAAACAGTTGCATTATGACTATGAACTCTACAAGAAGCTTCTTCCAGTATTATGTAAGATAAACTTCATTACTGAAACAGTAGTAATAAACACTTTTCATAATTAAGAGTTTTACCGTAAAATCAATTGTCAATGTTTGTTTATTGTAGCAATGGAATGCAGTGTTGTTACGCTACTTCAACCCCATAGGTGCTCACATCTCTGGACTTATTGGTGAGGACCCACAGGGACACCCTAACAACCTGATGCCATATATATCCCAGGTTGCTGTGGGCAGGCGGCCAGAACTCAGTGTGTTTGGCAGTGATTATGATACACCTGATGGCACAGGTAATTTGGCTATCAGCTGGACCGTGTCATCTTAGCACCCTTAGTGTTAGTATGCTTTTTGAGAAGACTGACACAAAAACAGTTTGAGTGCAGTTATATATTTGGGCCAAACTGACAATTTAAATATTCTGATGGATCTGTGTAGTAATGTTGCTCATAATTAAATACTGAAGTTTTAAAACTGTCCAATATCTACACTGTGATTGAAAGCATACTGGTAAAAGCTTTTACCCTAACCTTAGAACTTCATCAATCACAATGAAGATATGAGACAGTGTATAGTGACACTGTAACATTGCCCCAGATGTGAGACAGGTTGTGCCCTCCACTCCCCTTAAAATTGAAACAATGCTATCTGACTATTTTGCAGGTGTAAGAGACTACATCCATGTTGTTGACTTAGCTCAGGGACATGTAGCAGCAATTAAAAAGTTTAAAGAAAACTGTGGGCTGAAGGTTGGTACTTTGAATAATTTTCATTTTTGAGCTGTCATATGTCCTTTTAAGCTATTAAAGAAATTTGAGAATACTTTGTGTGTTGTTTTATTCCAGATGATGATTTTTTTTGGGATATTATAGGCTGGTGGTCAGATATTGAAAAGGAATCAGGCAAGCCAACCTTAGGTGGGTGGGTGGGGTGGGGGTGGGGGGGACCATACCCTTATGCCAGCCAAATAATATGGGAAAACTCCAGAAAAAGCAAGTGTCTCATCTGCCTCCATTGCCATGTATTTGAATTATAGTTAACACCAGTACCAAGTGAAACTACATACACAAATACCGATATCAGTCCATCCATTAAACACTGGTCCTGGATAAACTGTCTGGCCACATTAATTTAATAGTTGCAATTCTGATGTAAAATATGTGTCACATAATATATATTGTTACAGGTTTATAATCTAGGCACAGGAGTTGGTTACTCGGTACTGCAGATGGTCAAAGCTGTTGAAAAGGCCTCTGGCAATAAAGTAAGATAAACATATTATAGTAATATTAATTTCCTGACAGATAAGTTAACTTATTGTTCCATTTTGAGATAAAAGTCATTTGTTTTTAAAATAATTGAGTTACTCATTTAAAAATTGATGAAATTATGTATATTTTATAATTTTTGGTTGCCCCAGCTAAATTTTATTCCCATTCCATACCATAACCAACTTTTGTTTGATCTGAAATTTCACTATGCTTCACTATATTTCACTTACAACTGATTAAGTTTGAATATTTTCAATGTGGCATGTTTTGACTATATGTGGTTATCATCTTAAAACTTTTATTTTTGTTTGCAAATGTTTACCACAATACATTGAACACAGTGGTGAGTCCTCTGTGCCTTAAATGAAATAACTACTGAATGCTGTGTTTTATAGTCACACTGTTTTTTTTACAGGTGGCATACAAGATTTGCCCACGTCGTCCAGGTGATGTAGCAATCAGCTATGCAAACCCAGAACTGGCAGAGAGAGAGCTTGGTTGGAAAGCTCAGAAGGGACTGCAGGAAATGTGTAAGTTTAAGTTAAGTTGTGTAATATTGTGTCATTGTAGGAAGACTTTATGAAAGCTGTCATGTTGTCTACTATATAATACTAATTGCATAATATCTGCATATCAGGATGAGTATTTTTTTAAATTCAAAGATAAATGGCATAACGAAATGTAATAAACAAACTGCAGGACAATTAAATTTTATCAGGTATTTGGTGTGAGATGTGGATATAAAACTTCAGGTCATTTTTCAGGTGAAGATGTATGGAGATGGCAGTCCAAGAATCCAATGGGCTTCCGTATAGCTGAAAATGGTTCAGAATAATAATAAAATCAACCTTCGGATATGTAACAAAGATGACATCTCATTTCATCCTGCAATATAATTTATTTTGATTGTTTGTGCAGGGCACATTGGGAGTTAAATAGGTAGGTTAAATGTCTAGTTTTACATTTGATGTTTGTGTTTTAATTTATTCCAAGAAACAAGTTGTCTAATGAAATGCCATTAATCATACTAGACATCTCCATATTACATGTGTGATGCATTTCATGACTTTTAAGAAATTAATGTTTATGTGAATTTTATAGTTCTTTCAGAAAAGCAAAACGGCTTTTACTGTCAAAGACCTATAAACATAATAACAAATAATTTTACATAATATTCAGAATGTGTAATTGAAATGGCTTCCTACTTAGTGTTCATCTAGCTTATCCTTGGGTTAATAACATAGTTTATCAAATGGAGGCTATAGATCTTTGATGATTCTTTATTATTTCATGGATAAGGAACCCTAAAAGCTTAATCTTATAAATGATATCTCAGCATGAATAATTTGTAAAATTGTGGAAAATTTTACCACAATGTGTTTTTTCATTTGAAATTTTACTCAAATTTCATTTGTGTGTTTGTCTTTGCCTAGAGGTTGTTTGACATTTCAGGTTGAAATGTTTAGTGTCTACCTTTGATTTATATTTTAGATTTCAATTTTGCCAAGTAGGTTTATAATTATATCATCAAGTTATAAAATTAGTTTTATATAAAAAAATGCAGTACAGTATGAGTTAAAAAAAATTGAATGGGGATCACCATAATATAATAATATTCAGTTGACAATCATTTTCCTGTTTCCTGTATGTACTTTTTGAGGGTATTACTATATGGGCTAGTCTTCTTGCAGTATTTTTATGTTGCTAATTACCTCGGTCAGCTAATGAGGTAATGTGTCTGGTTTCCATCTGTTTGATGGATTTCATGAAATATTCAGTATAAGTCAGAGATGGGCTGTCTTAAAAGGGATTGAATTTTTGTAGCTTTCCATGAACTTGATTACCATAATTTTCTAAAGGATTCTTCACAGTTGTTGGAAAGGGTCAGTTATCTTTACCCTTTGTGCAATGAACATGTTTCAACTACCACAACTTATCAGTGACAGGTCCTTGGTGGAGGGCTGTGCATTCTGAATGCTGTTCAAGTTGACTGTTTGTGTCCCAGTTATGTACATTTTTGAATGTGATCTGAATCCTTGTGTTTCTTATTAATGCTTAGAAGGTTGTTCTAGTAAATGGGTTTTTGAAATAAAAAGGCTGTTCACAGTTGTTTACAGGGGAGCACTCAGGATAAAGCATATGCTAATGAGAAAAAAGCGTGCTTTATTTAATAATTAATATTTGAATAAATGAAGTATTAGATATTTTCTGTAAGGGCACAATTTAATTTTTTTTAAACTTGTTGTTGCCATAAAATTTTAATCATGTTTTATGTGAGCTGGTCTCTGCTTTTTTCAGTTGGATGGTCCCAGAATAAAAGGTAGTTTTAGCAGATGTGAATTGTTTATGTATTGAGAATGACCCTTACTAATTCTTGCTGCATTACTTGCAGTTTTGGTGCCATGTAGATACTAAAGATGACTGAGCTGTTAGTATGATTTTACTCTGCATAAATTCTTGTTGTTTACAAAATTCATGTAAAGATATAGTAAATAAGTAATAATAAGTTTTACAGATACTATAATAATGCATCAAATTGAATATTGAATTGCATTAATCTAATGATGGTACAGGTGACACAGTAAACTCTATATTATTCTTTTTAGTAATAAAATTGGGTTGTATATTTGTTGGTTTTTCAGTTAATGGATTGTCTTAATCATGCTTGATATGTTGTGATTATTTAATATGTAGTTCGTAAAAAATTATTTTAAGAATAAAACAGGGTCAGAAAAACATGTTATGGTTCCTTTCCTTTTAAGTACCAAATGCTTCATATAACTTAAGTACACACATTAAAATGCATAATGAATATGACCCAAACTTCAATATTTGTGCTTTCCAAATTTACATATGTTTTTGTTATTTGGGGTGAGTGGGGTGGGGATGGTACATGTATTTGTACAGATGTTTGTAATGTAAATGTACCTGCTTTAGGCACTGCTACACCAACCCAAATGGAATGTAGTAGCTCAGGTGAAAAAAGTTTTTGTTCATTGTGGGGTAGTGCCAGTTTCTACCTCCAATAGTATTGAATACAATAAAAACCAGGTAAGAATGCTGAAATGTGACAAAATTTTAGTCAAATAGAAAATGTTTGCTTAAATGTATATTATGGCTGTGTAACAGACTGTGAAATCATTATGCTAATTAAATTATGTTGATATGTAAATGTGCAGTTGCAACACAAAACTCCCACTAACCCCTCTCCCCTGGCTTTAACAAATGAGACATATTTCTTCATACAGATCTACACTGCAAAACTTGTCCCATATCTGCTCTTTGATTACACTGAATTAATATTCCCCTCTTACATCAAGTTAAGTACAGGCATACTTCATCATACAGTGGCAACAGTGTCGTGCCTATGGCTATGTCACAGATACTGTCAAGCATTTGGCTCATTCACAGCTGTTTTACAGCTGAAGAAGGCGGTACCATACAGACTAACCATATACCTTAATAAAAAGTCACAGGTGAGTAGTTATTTAGGTTAGGATACATCTATCATAGCATTCTATACCTCCATGGATTGTTACAGTGAACTTTCAGCCCATCACTTTATAGGCATTTATTCAATGTTTTATGCAGCACACAAGGAGAAGCTATGGCATTAATGATATATGCCACAGCCTAACAGGTCACATTTATACAGTCGTGCTACTTGATTGTATTCATACATGATCTTCCTTGACTGTCCTAGCACTGACAGGATAGTCCCTTTACCTGTTGTTTCATTGATTTCGTACCTGGGTAAGGTTTGATTTTGTTTACTGTATGTTGCAACATTAAGGAAGGCATGTACATGTATTTCTCTGATATATTTGATCAAAGACTGGACATGCAGTTCATTATCACTGACTAAGGCAGCAGCTTGAAGTTTTAATAGCTTAAAAGACTGAGATCAATTATGTTATTTATACAAGGGAAATCAAAAAGGAAAAAAGATACTTTTTTTGTTTTACCCTTATTAGGAAAATGGCTCCAGGAACAAACAGAAGGGCATGTGTACTGGTAACAGGCGGTGCTGGTTATATAGGTAGCCATGCTGTTGTGGAGTTGATAAATTCAGGGTACGATGCTGTCATAGTGGATAACCTAAGTAATGCATATAGAGGTTAGTGTGTTAGAGTATCACTTTGTAGGGTGTGTTTGATGTGATTTTATTGTTTTGTTTTTGGTGTTATGTATATGTGTGTGATTGTGTAGAAGATTACTGATGCTGCCTTGGATGTGTTACACATGGTTTTGATGATGAAACCTGAGTAGGAATTATGAAAAGCTTATTTTGTACTTTGACATCCTATATATCACTTGAACAACAAAGTACAAATAGGTAAACGGATGTCATTTGTGTCTCATTTCTAATGATGGCATGTGCGATTTCTCCACTTTTACATGAAATAAACCATCATATGAATGCCATCAAATGAACAAGTGTCTTCATTTCCCAAATAATATAAAATAACAATTTTCAAACGTGTTTAATCTATACTTAGCCAATTTGTACTTGATAAATTTAAAAAACCTAGGTTGCCATTCATGCTTCATTCTTCATACTTAATTGTTTTCAAACCTCCCTATAATATGAAGTGTAACTGTGGCTGTAGCTGCTTTTTTCCTGGAGAACTTTAGATTACCTTTTGTTGGCATAGAATACAAGAATCTGTTCTCCTTTTGTCATGCTTAAAATCGACTTAGTAGCAATTCTGTTCTAATGTACGAATCTAGTGCACTGGTTAGGGGCATTATTTTTTTGCAAATAACAATAAAGGATTTCAACATAGATTAATAAGGAAATGTTATATGTAACAAGCAGGGGCAGATTAAGGCTGTCTTGTGGGTCTTTTGGAAGATGGTCAGATTTTCAAGTTTACATTAACGGGTATCTATTATTTCTGTCGGAAGATTGTCAAAAATGGAGGATGGATCAACAAAGATAATTTAGAAGACTGTCAGAAAATATCTCTGGATCTAGCATAAATATTTTACTTTTTCCAGACAATGTGTAAATTTGCAACTACTAGTTGCATTGTATTTCTTGCAGAAAGCATAAATAGGGTTGAAGAAATTACTGGTTCGAGCATCCCTTTCTATGAACTAGATATACTGGATAAAGAAGAACTTTCAAATGTCTTTGAAAAGGTATGCTATGGTTGTTTAATTGTACCACTCTTAAGTGTGAGGCTACATACATTTTTTTCTTGTGTGTAAGCTATTTTATGTCAAAATTTATAATTCCTTTTATCTATTAATTGTTGTATATGTTATTATCTCTTTGATGTGCCTAACCTATTAGGAGGTGTTGCCTCTCTGATCCATTAGTAATAAATGTAGCCTAGGGGTAGCTATAAATCTCAGGGTAATATTAACAACAATTATAATATAATAAGCATAGAATTCAATCTTTTATCATTCAGTGAACCAAACTGAAATTATATCTATACTCTGTATAATGTCCTGATTAATGTCCATATACAGTACCCAGTACCATTAACACCCCATTTCCATAGATTAGATCGACCTACTTTAGATCGACCTAACTCCCTGGAGGTTCACGCTAAATAGCTGTCAGCCGGGTGGACACGAAAGTTAATTATCCCCTTACAGCTTGTAGTAGGCGGGACGGACATTTAAGTCGGATTATCTGAAAGTAATCTAGTGAGACTCCCCGCGGGGATAGATCGATCTAAAATCTATGGGAATAGAGCCTTAGAGCGCATTCTCAACGGATTAAGCCAGGCTTTACAAAGCCGGTGACCTAAAAATGGCGGACGTACATGAAAGAAAAACCGCCTAATCTTTTAATAGTCTCTCCGCCTCTCACACGCCTCCCCACACGTCGTCCCTGCGGGGTACAGTAATTAAATCTCGGCTCCGAACATTAATATTTCTGTGAATATCTCTGGTGATATTATCTCCGTAGATAGTCGATTCATTGCTGCTCTACGGGCCAAATTATTCCTTTTTCGTCTCTGTTTTCAAAGATAATAGAACAGAAGAGCTTTTTTCCTTCGATCACCTTCAGCCGCCATGCTTTCTTCACCACGAGTTTAACTGATGAGCATGCGCACTTAACATTTCTCAGGTAGCTTCCGCATGGCGAACGGAGACGCGATTTAATTACTGTGCCCCGCAGGGACGACGTGTGGGGAGGCGGAGAGACTTAAAAGATTAGGCGTTTTTTCTTTCATGTACGTCCGCCATTTTTAGGTCACCGGCTTTGTAAAGCCTGGCTTAATTCGTTGAGAATGCGCTCTTAGTGTCCACAGACGTCAGATTCCAAGCTGTTTATGTAACAGATATTTTAATTAAATTGGTTGGTACACAAATTGAAAATGGGGAGTGAAGTAACTGAAACATATATCAATATCAAAGTGTCACATTCAAACTGGTACTCATATATATCAGATGTATTGCAGTTGATGTATAACACAACTGAAATATTGGAGTATCGATCATTATTCTTTCTCTTCCATGTTTATATTGGCCTTCAGGGCATTCTGTAGTTACATACCCTTCAGTCCTGGAACTGTGTTTTGACTTTACATCACTGAATTATTTTCAGCATGAGATAACCCATGTTATGCATTTTGCGGGCAGTAAAGCCATTGGGGAGTCTTGTCAAGTTCCACTCATGTACTACAACAACAATTTGTTGGGAGCTATTGCACTCTTTAATGTAAGTTACTTTCAAATAATTAAGTACCTTTGACAGAACCAACAATATAAGTAATGACATTCATTGAGAGACTATTAAAGGATTCTGCGGTCTTCCTTTCATGTTGGTCCGCCACATTTAGGTCTCAGCCTTGCTAGACCAGGGCTCTTCTCTATGTGAATGCTCTCTTAGTGCAACAGGTGCCAAAACAGTGACACTGTGTTTGCATCATCCCCATAGAGTCACACCAAACAATAAATTTACATTGTATGTCCTATAATATCACATTTGTATCAGGTAATGAAGAAGTATCAAGCAAAGAATCTAGTGTTCTCCAGTTCAGCTNAGCAACGGTAACACTAAGCTTCCATAGTAAAGGTTATCTGGCCGTGGCAGACGCTAATCGTCGGCCGTCTCTCCCTCCGTCCACTCCCGTTCTGAGCGCCAGGATCGTTTTTGAAAAACGAAACTAGTTTCTGGCTGTCAGAATCGCTTTTGAAAAACGACACTACTGATAACGATGCTGTTTTGCAGCCCTAGACAAGAGTACCGCTCTATCTATGGGCCATACACAGTGATCGGGTGAAAGTACGTGTATACTTTTGGTCGCAATTACCGACACTCACACATCATACATTATGGTAACTCTAAATAGATCGTCGGGAGAAGATAACAGAAGGCCTAGCGACGAACAGACAACTTCCGGTCAAAATTGACAGAATTCCATGAAATTCGAACTTTCAGGAGTTCTGAGCACCTCCTTTTCATGAATTTCGGCCAGAACGATCTTTTCCCAAATTTAATTATTTTTTACTGTTCGAAATTCATGGCACATTACCGTAAGTACCTTTGACAGAACCAACAATATAAGTAATGACATTCATTGAGAGACTATTAAAGGATTCTGCGGTCTTCCTTTCATGTTGGTCCGCCACATTTAGGTCTCAGCCTTGCTAGACCAGGGCTCTTCTCTATGTGAATGCTCTCTTAGTGCAACAGGTGCCAAAACAGTGACACTGTGTTTGCATCATCCCCATAGAGTCACACCAAACAATAAATTTACATTGTATGTCCTATAATATCACATTTGTATCAGGTAATGAAGAAGTATCAAGTAAAGAATCTAGTGTTCTCCAGTTCAGCTGCTGTGTATGGAGTTCCACAATATCTGCCAATTGATGAAAAACATCCAACAGGGGGCTGCACCAGTCCATATGGGAGAACAAAGCTTTTTATTGAGGAAATGATTAAAGATATATGTCATTCAGATAAGGTTGGTAATTGAAACCGGCTCTTCCTTGCAATGATACACGATATATATGTGCTTTTATTCCATGTTTATGAATGTCAGTACCATATATGAAATAGAATCACAGGAGTCTTTATTTGTTTAATGTTATAGTATAAAAATGAAAGCTACCAGTTCGTCTGTTATATATGTTTCTGTGATCACTCTGTTTGTAATGTGGTATAACTACAGTATCGTATTTCCCACTTTTCACAACAGTGGAATGCAGTACTCCTGCGCTACTTCAACCCTATTGGTGCCCACATCTCTGGTAAAATAGGAGAAGATCCCTCTGGACATCCCAACAACTTGATGCCTTATATATCACAGGTGTCTGTGGGAAGGAGAAGTGAACTAAGTATATTTGGGAATGACTATGATACACCTGATGGTACAGGTACATGTAACTTACCTAACCTGGTGCCGTGACATACGTAGATCCATTGGGGCAAGAACTTTCTTGAGAGGGGTTGGGGTTGTGTGTGGAAGCAGCTAACTTAAAATATAAAAATAGTTTCTACCTCCTCTGTAAGACTGTAAGTCTTGAATCATTTATTAAATGGCACTATAATACATTTTTTACCAATCTTAGATCAACAAGTTATATTATATATTTATAAGTTATATTATATATTTATATATAAGGTAATTTTTACTTAAAAATGATCTACAGACTTTTTTTTTCGTTTGTAATGCTTTTGGACTCACTTTACTTATTAGCCCTGAGAGATTACATCCATGTGGTAGACTTAGCCAAGGGGCATGTGAAAGCACTCAAGAAATTAGAAGAGAACTGTGGGTTAAAGGTAAGAGCTACATTGTAGTTTATTAACATTTTAAGATACAATCAAAATTGCCAAACCACATATGTTCATGGTCAAAAGGTAAATTGTTTTTGAATAGACTAAATATGTTTTTTCTCAGAGGTGCTACAGTAACAAAAATGTTCATGTTCAACAGTATATATTATTGAAATTAGAATATATATATATATATATTTCCTGCTTGTGTTTTTTTATTTCTTTTTATCTTTATGAATTATTTACTGAAAAGCTCTGGTGTTAGTTTTGGAGCAAAACACTGCATTATAACAGGTTTGAATGGCATTTTCAAAGTTTTTAATTCATGCCCGTTGTCATCTTCACCTCTCCCTTTCAAGCAAATGAATAAATTAACATAAATAAAGACGTTAAAAGTATTTGTTCTAGCAGAACAAAATTTTGTGCCTACTGTAGCCAAAAGCAGCCTCCATGTTTTATCCAGAATTTTTATAATTTCAATACTTAATTTGTATGACATATATCATTTATAAGACATTAACTGTTAGTATCTAAAAATCTAAAAAATGAGATGTGCCAGATACTTTGGTGATTTCTCATCATCTTCTTCAGTATAAAGGGTCATTGAGACCGACTTGTTTTTAATTAACCTTGGTCCTCAGGTAACATAGACCATGACACTCCACTTTGAGGTGATGAGAAATCATCATAAAAAATTTAATTGAAAAAAATGGTGGTTTGTCTCGTGTTTTAGATTCCTAGAAAAAAAAACAGTTAACATCTCATAAATGACAGGCATAAAGTATTTAAAAAAAAAAAAAAACTATTTGATAAATTAAATGACATTTTTAAGTCAGATAAAGCTAGTAAATTGCAGAAAACACATTATTTAAATGCAGAAAGTTTGCCCTTTTGGGATAAATGGAATCCACACATTTTTATCCTACAGTATTACAATCTTGGCATTGGGCGCAGCTATTCAGTACTGGAAATTGTGAAAGAATATGAAAAGGCATCTGGGAGACAGGTAGGATAAATTGGAAACTATTGATGCTTTGGTGATTTGATGACTTTTCAACCATTAAAATATGATAAAATACTCCCTCCCTATTTAATTTTCTCAGTCTACATTAAAATGATTGAGCTACCTTGAGAATTTTCATCCTTATCTGAAAAATACATCAGTCTTCTGTTTTAACTGAAAATATTCCACAATGCCATTTGGAGCTCCATCAGTATCTCTGTATATTGTGTCACGAAATGTTTTGTCTCATCAGGTACCTTACAAGATTGTATCCCGCCGAGTTGGTGATGTACCCATCCTGTATTCAGACCCGGCATTAGCAGAGGCAGAGCTGGATTGGAAGGCAGTGAAAGATCTCAAGGCAATGTGTATGTACTTGTATACAGATCAACTCAAAGTCTTAAAGTAGCTTTCATACAACTGTTCAATTTCTCATTTCAGTTGCCATGACTTGAATTAGTGGAAGTGGACAAATTTTTTTAAGTATCTCTACACAATTGCCTTGTAACTTCCCCTGCAAAGAAAATTGAAATTAGAGTCAATTAAATCTGTGCTTATGTTGACAGATAAGCTAATCAGAGCAGTTTTAATTTGTGTAATGGCAGGGATTAGTTAGATATTAACTAAATATGGGGACTTCATAATATGCTGTTTCATTTAGGTGAAGACACATGGCGTTGGCAGTCTCTGAATCCACATGGCATGCGCGAAGTCATATCCCCTTCCTAGAATTCTGAATCATCATTTTCAAGGAGCTGTTACATATTCTTCAGGAAAAATGACTAATATAGGGAAATTATGTGTAGCTGAAGTCAGACAATTTTAATCCATATCTGAACAAAAAACCTTTGGAAACGCTCATTTACTCTTAGCAATTCCACTAGTCAACATGATGATAAACTTGTCATCAGCTGTAGACGAGAAGACAATGTGTAGCATATACATTTATTGGGATCAGTGCTTGAGCACATTTAGCAGCCTATAGACCAGCAATCCTAGGTGCTCTTTTGGAATAAGAAGGAAGCATCAACCTTATCTACAAAACATAAAGTCCAATAACTGTAAGCTGCTCATATTATATGTTTAGATATAGGTAACTTAGATTATATCCTTATCTCACTGATATTTTATTGTGGCTACACTGCTGCTATACTACTTACAGATTTTAGAATAGATTCTTTGATATTAACAAAAAGAAAATAATTTGCTAGAAGACATTCTTGAAGTTTCAAATACAGTGTGACTTGTCCAGTTATAAAATCAGTTTTTGTCTACTTTAAAAATAATATATTTCAAGTGAAAACAAAAAATATAAAAAATGCTAATAAACTGCAGCGCAAAAAATGATGAAAGCTACACATAAACATTGTCAAATTCACTTTTCTAGAAAGACAATACTTCAGACATGCTGAAACTGTCGGTCCGATCGGTCATGACTGGGAAAATTTGTCTGGACCGGTAAAAAATTGGACTTGGTCGGTCCAAAGGACCGACTAGAGTTTTAAGAGCCGCAATTTTGAATTTACAGTCATCATTCAACATACGTCACTAATAAAATTATATAAAACACAAAGCGTTTTTCCCTTCCATTTCAAACCTATCACATTCACAAACAAAGTAAGCTACCCTTATCGTACTGGCAGTATCTGTCTCAAACGAACAGAGTGATTTTCAGTCCGACAAAAATCCATTCGGTCCGGTAAATTTTTCATTACTGCCGGTCCAAATGTCCGGCCATTCTGAAAAGTTTTCAGCATGTCTGATACTTCAGTGTATTCAAAATTATGTGCATAAATAATTTCAATGCATATAATCAGACCAAAATAAAAATTAAAAATATATTGTGTGTAAAATTGGCCCATGCTTTATCATGAAAGACCAGCACCAAATACATTGGCAGGTTTCGTCATCTCACTGACTAAAAAAGTACTTGATAAAATCATGCAGATGACCCATTTGACATGAGCAGTAAAATCAACCAGCATAAGTGAGAAGTTACAATGAAAACACTGCCATATGCAACTCGGTGAAAACTGGGCTGTCACGTAAAAAAATTGACATTTATGTTATAGCTTACTAAAATGTTAATGTATACAAATTCAACTTACTAAAAATCATACCCAGCTGTACCTAAAAAGTGCAAACCAATAGGCTTGCAAATAGTATGCATTTAACATATAGCACAGTGGGCACCTTACACATTCCCACATTCACCAGTCACATACAAGTAAACTGTCACTGAAAATAGCCATATTACAGCATGCATTCAAGTGATGTTAATATCACCCAACGTGTGGCACAATTCAGGTGTCCAATAAAACGTGGTGTCCAACAGTAGCCAGATTGTGTATATGATAGGCTGTAAAATTGGTAGGAATTCAAACATAACTCTTCATTCCATGTGGCACATTATAGCTGGATGACTACTGTGAGAATGTCACTGTCAATGTACCTACTTCACCTTCTTGGTGGCTGTCCCTATACTGCACTGATTAACCTAAAAATAAAACAAAACTTTGAAGTACAGAGAACACAGGGATAATTTTTTTGTCAGTTATAAGCAGTTTTCTTCATCAGACAAAAAAGTTTTTACAAGTGAGAATGGAAAACTTTCTTCTTGGCAGTCTTAATAAGGTGCCACATGAGATATTGTTAACAGAATTAACCTTGCCAAAAAATATCTAAAATTGTGTGCAAAACTCACTTTTGTAGCAAATCGCAGAGAACAGAGGGTCTCTTGGATGTTTTCTTCTTTTGGTGAGATGTTGACAAACATGAGAGTTTTACTGTTACCTCCCAGAGAGTTTTGGAGCAGGTAGGTCAGCTTACTGTTTCGGTATGGTATATGTGATTCCTGAAAATAATTTTAATAAAAGTAAGTGCTTCAATATCAATTATAATATAAATTATGGTGAAACCACTAAAGGACACATCCATTAAACATCTAATCATGCTTTACAAAACAAATCAATAAAAACTAAAATGAATACTCCCTTAAAATTGAATCATAAAAATAAAAAAACTACATTATGTTTCACACATTCCACTGGGTACACAAGATCACACAATAACATAAGAAATGCCAGTCAATGATGAGAATTTTATTAGAATTACTGTCTAATATTACAAGCAGAGCATCTTTCAAACATCAGTGTCATGCTCAATTTACCAGATTTTGCCACTGAAAATTAATTTCTACTATGTCATGATCTTTTTTAGTTAAAAAAGGTAACTTTTTACAAGAGTAGTACCTTATTAGCCAGAGCCATGATTACATTCCCCAGGTTACTGAGACTTTTGTTGATGGCCTGTGTCTCTTTCAATCTCTGTCCCTCTGAGCCAGACTCCTTCAGCCTCTCACTGCCAGCAAGATCTATCAGATTCAGTGTACCTAGAAAGAAAATTATAGAACTCAAAGTGATTGCCGGATACATGAAATATTAAAAAACTGCAATGGATTTCAACTGCTAACAGCCACTTTAGTGTTTTCATCCTTTTAACTTATATTCTTTAGGGCAGAAAAAATCTTAAAGAATATCCCTTTCCATCTTGCTCCTCCTCAGAACACTTAAGATTTAAAACTCGCTATGCATACTACCTTGGCATCCTTCCCCAGTTAGCTCATTGCTGCCTGTAAGTTTCAGTCTGAACACACTATGACTTCGCGATGACCTTTCATTACACTTGGTTTCTGCCACTGCACGGTTGTGAGATGCCTTCTCCAGCAGTGAATGGACCTGACATCACAAAGGACAATAAATAAACCATAAAATATTTAATCAAAGGAAAAAAATGAAAAATTATGCAAACATTTTTATCATCTTTGATAAAACTAAAAATTGCAGGTAATCATCACCAACACTGCCCTAAAGCCTTACATCCAAATTATCATTGGTCAAACCTCTTAAAATCTTCCATGGTTCCAATGAACTGCAGGTCTATGTTTCAGGAGCTTTAGTTAAGGACAATCTCACCTGATTTTCTGAACTGACAGGGACAAGAGTCAGGTTGGTGACCATGACATCATTGGAGTTGCTTCCTGTCATCTTGATGTCATACTTTTGGTCATCTTTACCATTACCAAGTAGGTCTCTGATGGTTTCATTGTAAATCTCTAGGAACGAAGCCTCAAATGTATACTGGAAGAATAAGACACATAAAACATCACCTGTATACCATTACTGAAACTTCACCCCATCACAGTAAATAATAATACGATTCAAATTCAGCAATCTAAAAATGCAGAGAATGTTTTCTGGCATGAACTGCAAACTTGTAATCTAGTAATTTAAAGTGACAAGAAATGAATCTGCCAATTGTCCTTCCCCATAAAACTATTCATGGGGGTACTCACCTTCCACCCTTTCTCCTCCAGCTCCCGTCCCGTCTGGAATATCTGTGCCACTGCCCTGGGTATCATACCCCTGTTTTCTGCTGCATTATCAGAGCCGCCTTCCATGGTGTGTGTCTTTCCTGAGCCCGTCTGTCCATATGCAAAGATGCACACATTGTACCCATCCAGGACACTCTGCACTAGCTGGGAGATCTCTTCAAATACCTGAGCCTGTGTGGAGTCTGGGGCAAAGACACGGTCAAAACTGAAGTCAAATTTGCCCTGGCAGTTGTTGCCTCCACGCCTGGCACTTACAGTGCTCTGAAAGAACATGTAAAATCAAATGAATACTCCGTGAGAAGTAAATAATTGAAAAATGTTAAGGTTATAATAAGGAATGGTATTATTCCTAATAGGAATTATATTACCAGAAATAAAATTTAGCATGAAGAATAGACAATGTTATTTGTGGCAGTGCCCATATTGTTATTTGGAAAATTGAGAAAAAATACTTTAATTTATCATATCCCACTTTGCTGATGTCAAAGAAAAAATTACTTTTTTGTTCTCAACACCAACAACAAAACCTTTTCAGCATTAGAATGTGATATGATACTCGACACCCAAGCACCATAACAATATAGACATCATGTTACCTCATTGAGAGCCGCATCTCCCACTTTTTCTATCTCCAGCATTTTCTGCTCCTTGGTGTCAGGGAAGTTGATGTGGGGTATGACACCATCTGTCCCCAGAGTCTCATCAACCAGCAGTGGACGCACACGACAGAACACACGGATGTTTCCCTAAGACCAGAGGAAGACATAATGTAGTTTAACTTCAGCTTTAATATCCAAGAGGATAAATAGCCACAATGTTCTTTGTTATTTTACCTAATAATTAACATCTGCTTCTTTTTTTTTTATTAAAATTTATTTACCAATTAGGTACAGATTAAAATAAACCATAATAATGCACAAAAAATGCCTCGATATCAGTTCTTCTATTTCTAAATTTATACTGATGAATAATAAATTTGGCTACCATTACTTTTTTGTACATTTCTGTTGATAAATGTATGTTTCCTATTTTTTCTTCTCTACTAAGTTTTTTTACAGTTTGTTAATTTCCATATTTTTGAAATTCTTGGACATTCTACAAAGAAGTAAAAAATATCATCCTGTACAGAAGGACAGTATTTGCATACATCATGTTCTGAAATCTTACATTTCTTTTAGTATTTTCCTGTTGGATAAATTCCATGCAAAATTTTCCACTGCACCGCTCTAATTACAGATTGAGTACATGCCAAAAATATGTTATTCCACACTACACTTGGTACTCTTTCATTAACAATAAGGAATATAATATTTTCTAATTTATTCAAAACAAGTTTTAATCTTAATTCTCTAGAAGTAATATCTTGCACTTGAATTCCTTTAAAGGTTAGCTTATACTCTCCTGATTTACCATAATCCTCAATTAACTGATGAGTAATACAATTTCTTAAAACCTGATATTCCATAAAGGTAAGTAATTCCATTCCGCCCAACTATCTGTGAAATTTCTTCATAAGTACACAGTCTATTTTCTCTAACTAAATCTTTAATATGAATAATTCCATTTTTTATCCAACTACTAAAACATAAAGGTAAATTATTCCGCATGATATAAGTATTGTTCCACAAAATAGATTCATCTTTACAATCGCTGTGCCTTATCCATAACTTCAGAATTTGTTGATAGAACTCGCCACAAAGATCAAGATTAACCATATTTTCTGGGTTAATATTACTACAGAACACACTTAAACCTTTTCCTAACTGCCCATACAAGTAATTTGGGATAACTCTCCAGTGACCATTCCCAGGAGAACTTAACTTAACCACCCATTTAATGGCAAATGCTGTTTGTAGGTTATAAGCATTGATCATATTTAAGCCACTATTTGAATATTCTTGAACAAGAAGATTTCTTTTAACCTTATCTGGGCATTTTTTCAGATCAGCCTTTTTAAATTTCCCTTTGCTCCACAAAAATTTAAACATAAATGTGTTAATAAGATTCAAAATATTTTCTGGTAAAGCATTCTGGTATTTTCTGGTAATGCTTGCACTAAATATGAAAATTGTGACAACAATGATGACTTAGCTAAAATAAACTTGCCAATGACTGTTATGTTTCTTAAAGACCATAATTTCACAATATTTTCACATTTTTTTAATTTTTCTCTCATAGTTGTCATAGTTTTATGTACAACTTTAACTGTAGTACTAAAAGTTACACCTAATATCTTTATAAAATTCGCAGGTGCATGCTTCCATTTTACATCTGCAAGTTTGTCATTTCAATTTTTCCACACTCCTAGCCATAACCCTTCAGTCTTTTTAACATTCACCTTCAGACTCTATAAAATTCTTTCAAAACATCCATAACCTGCCCAAAAGAATTTACATCTCCAAGAAAGACAGTTAAGTCATCAGCATACTGAAAAAGTTTTGATTCCTCTGTTGTACCTGGTATTTGAAAACCATGGATATTTTTTGACTGGCGGATCTTACAAGAGAGAAGTTCACAAGCAATGATAAATAACGAAGGACTTAAAGGACAACCTTGTCCAATCCACATTCAAGTTTGATATCCTTAGTTATCCATCCATTATAAAAAAATATGATTGTGAGCATTTTCATTTATAACTTGTACCCATTTAATCAATGACATACCAAAACCAAACAGTTTCAAAGCTCCCAACATAAATTCTTTAGAGATACCATCATATGCCTTCTCATAATCGACTGCTAACAAGATACATTTCATATTATTAGCATTTATAAATTCCATGATAACATCTATTGCACGTAAAGTCTGAGCAGCTCCACGATTTTTGACATATCCACATTGATCTTCGCTGATAATGGTAGGCAACACTGTCTTCAGCCTATCTGCATCTTATTATTTGTCATTTCAGTGTCCAAGAATAAAAAAAATGCTCTGTTAAGCCTTACACTACCTTCAGTTCCTGAATTGTGTTATGTAATTTCCTTCTTTCTGTCTCGTGTGCTCTCATTTCTGCATTGCAATTAGCAATAATTTCTTGTTGACCTGCAACCACCTTTTTCAAGCTTGCTATCTCTTCATCCTTCAGCTTCCCTGCCTGGACAGCTTGCTCTAAGCAGAGCTGAAAGAGAGAACAGAAATAACACCAAGGGCTTTTTAATGAGCTAACACCAACTTCTCTATTCAATAATAATTTTCATTCTGAAAACAAAATGTTTTAACACATTTTTATGGTTTAGGTTATTAACTGATTATGTAACACTGATTTCAATATTTACAATGTATGATAATGTAATGTCACATACCTTTGTTGCAGTGAGTTCTGCATTCAGTCCAGCCTGAGCTGATGTGAGTTGTGCAACTGTTGACTTCAGCCCAGAGATCTCTTGTTTTCCTGCACTCAGTTCACCCTCTAGTGTCTCCCTCTGTCTCTCTAATGTAGACTTGCTGAACTTCAAGTCTTCTATCTCCCTATTCAACTTTCTGGTGCTAGTTTCTATCTCTTCCTGGTTTAACCTAAAAATACGAATTAAGACATGAAGTGATGTGACAATCTTGGATATCTTTATTTATTTCTTACCTCAATGGTAATAATTAATACATTCCTCAATACTTCTGACAGCAAAAAGTAAAATTTTCCTTGATACTACTTCTATCACTATAATGTACCTCTAAAATTCAACTGAAATCTATAGGTCAAATCAAATAAACTTTCACAAGGTTGTACCATCCATCTCATAACTTTATGATGTTGCTGACAAAATGTTTTCATCTTATTGACAGCCAAGGGGCAGTTAGAAATACAATCATCTATCTAAACCAGGGTAACTGACCTGAGTTTCCTCTGCAGCTCTTCCACCTCCTGAGACACTTCCTTGGTCTGCAGTTCCTTCTGCTGCACTGTCCCCTGTAACTGCTGGTTGATGGACTCTAGCATTGCAATACGGGCGTTGTTGTTCTCCAGAACATTGCGCAACTCCGCGTTGTTGGCCTGGTTGTCGGACAGGATGTTTTCCATGTCTTGCAGACGACCTTTCAGATCCCATGGCTGGCGCTTCTTGCCACCTAAAAGAAAAAGTTTTCCATGCAAGTTTTACTCGTATTTTCTTAATATTAATCTTCCTTCTGATAAGCCAATTTGTTAAACTACCTATGGTAAATCAGATTTACCTAAATAGGTTTTTATGTAGAAGTGGCCTGTTTTTATTCTGCAAACACAGAGTACAATTAAAAATAAAGTGTCATTCTAATTAATAGAAAATTGAAATCTTAAGACAAAGTTATTACTACAAGGTTGCTTAGCACAAAGAATGGAGAAGTGGACACAACTTTCAGTAACTACAACAGATGATACATTAAACAATTTTAACTGGATGGTGAATTATACATTTTTCTACCTGCTGGCGCTGCAGTCGTGGGTTTAGTTGCTGGTGCCTTCGTGGCAGATGGGGCAGGCTTCTTGTTCAATGAACCTGTGCTGGTCGCCCTTGACAGTGGTGCTAGATAAGATAAAATCTATAAATTGTAAAGATATGTTACAGATAAACTGTGAAGATCCCTAGAATTCTTTCTTTATTGCAAAGGTCTATAAATTATGCCCTGGAGTGCATTGCAGACTACAATTTACAGTGCACCCATGATTAACCCATAACATGAGAGCTGATGACATCATGTTGAATACCCATTACAAGGTAGTCTCATGTGATATGGCTTACTGCAGGTCAATATAAACCTGTATTGTATTGGCAAACAAGAGATAACTAGAAATAGTGTCCACAATAAAAAAAGGCATGACAATACTAAACTGGGTTCATCAACAACTTGGATGTATGGTCCAACAATTAGGCACTTCTTTTCTTTTATCTTCACTCTAACAGTTGGTTCTTTTATCTTTCCAAGTTTATGGTTTATCAAAGATGGTTCTTTCAGTTTTCTTTCTTGTCCAGTCATGGGTTTAGGTATGAAACTTTTTGAGCCAACTTGACCAGTACTAGTACATTCATTATCAATGTTCATGCTTCTTGGGGTAGTTACATCATCACTCCTATTTTCAGTTTTGTTCTCGTATTCGCTTTCACCATGCCCATCATCTTTGCCAAAAGACAACACTTTCTTACTAACTTCATTAATACCACAAACTTTTTTCACTGTGCTCATATTGATATGGGAAGAATAATTCCCATCCATTTTACGACTTTCAGCATTTTCCTCCATTTAATTAGCAAAGTCATATCTGTCTTTTTTTCTGTCTTCATCTATATACTGGTCCATTATCTTCTTTTCAAACGAAACAAGACAAAACTAACTCTTGTCCAGGAATCAAATCCATTTCATCCTAGTAAAAGAAGATTTTCATAACCTCTATATCACAGTTTGTGCAACATTATTTATGGAAGAAATGTCCAAGCTGGCATATAGACACATCACAAAGTGCTATCCCACATGTTGACTCTAGCAGACAGCTTGCCTTTCATCTTCCGACATTTTTCATCAACTGTTACAATTTCTAATAGGGCCTTTTCACCTATAACACAGGATCACAATAACAGACTAATACCATATTTTTCCTCTCCAAAGATTAACTTTTATAACCTCTATCATGAACTGTTAAAATGAACAGAACTATAAAGATTCTATTCATTCAATAAAAATGAAGCCATCGTATACCGATAAAATTGTCCCACCCTTGTCTTTTGTTCTTAAACGCCCCAAAGAAAAATTTCACATAAAATATGACATAAAGTGCCACCCCTTGAAGATGTCTATTCAGATATACTGAGTACATGACATTAAGTGGGCTAGTGACCTCCTCCCCTAGGGGCTTGATTTACAGCACATTCTGAAATAGAAGTTTTACTGCTATTCTACATTCCCAAAAGATATGTTAGGTATTGTTTACCAGCTGGACTAACTGATAGCATCCTGCCCCCATATCAAACAGGGAACACCTGGTCATCTGGTGATGTCAGTTGGACTTTTTCCAGTTAATTTTAACCTAGTTGTGAACTCGGCTAACAATATCTAGTAACTGATCAGATCCTTACTAGCACTTTTTTTTTCAAATCCTGTTGATGGTTTCATCTAGATCTTATGTACTTTTAAACATGCACACAACTAAAGCTGTTAATTGGTAATTTACACTGGGGTCAAAACTGTCAGAATTTTTGAAAAGTAAGGATCTAATCATTATGAATACTTTTCAGTATCATCTTATACTGAAATCTTCACTCACCTACTTTTGTTTTTGCTAAGAAGTATTGGAATTGGCAGAAGATAGAAAACATTATTAAAAGCATGTATACAGGTTTCAAAGGACAAGTAATACACAACAACCTTCTCACCCAAGAGTTCGATATGAGCACAGGAGTATGGCAGGGATGCCTACTATTGCCTATGCGCTTCTTAGTAGCCACTGACAGGGTGATGACAAAAACAATACATGAAGCTTAAACAGGGATACAGTGGACCTTCACAAAGCAACCTGAAGATCTGGACTTTGCTGACGACCTATGCCTACTATCAACAACACACCAACAGATGCAGAGAAAACAGATAACCTGCAAAGGTACGCAGAAGAAGTTGGCCTAAAAATCAACATGGCCAAAACTAAAATTATGAAGGAATTTACCTACCTTGAGAGCATTGTCAGTGCAGATGGAGGTGCTGAACAGAATGTAGAAGCCAGGTTAGGCAAAGCCAGAAATGCATATGCAACACTAAGACCAATCAGGAACTCAAAGCAAATCTCAACAAAAACCAAAATCTGTATATTTAACTCGAATTTAAACAAGGCCTTTCTGTATGGAGCAGAAACTTAGAAAAACAACAAAAGCCTTATAAATAAACTACAAACCTTTGTAAATAAAGGCCTATGAAGAATTCTGAAAATCTGGTGGCCAAACAAGATGAGCAACAAAGAACTGTTTAAAAGAACAGGTCAAGAAGGAATTTCCAAAGATATGAAGAAAAGGAAATGGAAATGGATAGGGCACACACTGAGAAAAGATCACTAGTAGACAAATGTAACCAGACAAGCCCTAGACTACAGCCCACAGGGAAAGAGAAAAAGAGGTTAGCAAAGGAACACCTGGAGATGTACTGAGGGAGAGATTAAAGAACTCAACACGTCCTGGCCCCAAGCAAAGGCGGCAGCCAAGACAAGGACCTGTTGGAGAACTCTGGTGGACCGACAGTTTCAGCATGTCTGGTATGTGCATTTGTGGTGGTGGTTGGATAGGTGGAGTAAAGTCTGAACAAGTCTTTGTATCAAAAAGAATTACTAGTCAGGGTTCTTTTTTAAGCATTAGTATTATCATCATTTTTATCATGCATGCATGCACACATGGAAACAAAATGATAAAATTAGTACCAAAATTACAAATTCATAAGATCCTGCATGAAGGCTGTGATTGTAAGAAATAGGGTAAAGTGAAAAGGAACTGACAATTGACTTTACAATTACTGAGTCCTTTACATTGATGGGTCAAGTAGAGAGGAATATAAGAGGCACTGAAAGTGCCAGTAAAATGTGTATCATCTTCCTTGCCATCAATTTATCCCTTAAAAAGGTAAAATAAAAAATAAAAAATTAACAAGTTTTAAAATTTCCTTCTCTTTGTTTGTCTGTACTGATATTTGGAACATCTTACCTCTCTTAGCTGCTGTCACTGCAGGTTTGGTTGCAGCTGGTCTTATTGATGGTTTCACAATCCCTCTAGTGGCAGTGCTTCCTACCCTGGTGTTGACTAGACCTGTCTTAGCTGGAGGTTTCCTGGTTACAATTCCAGGTTTAGCACTGCTCCCTTTGGTGCTCCCTGTACTACTTCTTGCACTCTCCACACTTGTATTGGAACTGGTGGAGTCGTCAAGTTTCTGACATTTCTGGTCCATTTCCTGATTAAAAGAGAGTAAGTGATCTCTGTATACTTTGAAAATGATATCAAACTCTCTCTCTACTCTATTCTTTTTTTTTATTAAAAGTAAATCTAAATTAAAATGTGTTCTTTGTTGGCTTACCAAGTCTGGACTTCTCATCCTCTTTGCAGATACAGATGGGGGTTTCAGGGAGGATGGAGGTCTCAGTTGAGAAGGTGGTTTCAGGCCAGATGGCTTGGGAAGTCTAGATTGTAGAACTCCATTGGCATCAGCCAGTGGCTGTCTCTGGAATGAAAGAAAAAAAAGTCATTTTTTGTTTTAAAAAAATATATAATATATAAGGAAATACATAATAATAAAGAAAAAACACCTTGCTAGAACTCCTATCACCCTTGTCCATAATTTGACGTTTTATTTTTAAATTCTACAATGTTGTAATGGGTTTATATCATGTAGCAAACAAAGCTGAATGTTTTATGGTTCTTGCTATATGATTTTTGGATTTATAAGTTTTGTTTGTTACGATCCATTTCTCATCATTTCCCCCTCACCTCGGCTCATATTAATAATCGATCATTTCTAGCATATCACAATAATGTAATTGATTTCTGTACAACATGAAAAACAGATTAACGACTCTGTAAATGCATGAAACTATATTATTTCATCATAAAAATTAACTGAAAAAATTAGTAAGAGTCAAATTTGAATTAAATAAGCCGAAGGCCAAAAATATACCTGGTATATGTATGCACGTCGTAGTTTATTGGTGTCATCACTCCTGCAACCTTACTGCGTTCAAAATCACAAAGCACTTCAGCGTTTACAATTTAATATTAACTTACCTGCACATCCATACTATAAGGGCTGTGATATTCAGTTGTAAAATATTTACAACACCTACTTTGGAAGTTCAATATTTTCAAGATTTAAGGAAAGTGCAAAGTTTGTTCTATGGCATTTGATTGGATGAAAATGCAGGACGCGTTTCGAGAACTAGTTTACCATTGGTCAGATTCTTTTAACGTAACCAGGTCAAGGTCACCATGCAGCCGGTCCCTTTTCTTGAGAAACAGGATTTTCCTAGTTAAAACACTTATAAAAGAAGGGAACTAGTTTAGGACTTAAACAGATTTACTTATTTCTTAAGTAACACGTTAATTTGACCACGAATCAAGTCTAAACATCGCAAGGTAACGCACGTTATTTCTCTTCAATAGCACCGTATCTTAGGGATCAGATCACTTTCAGTTTCATCTTTTACTTACTAAAAGAATTTTCAGATTGGACACTGCAGAGATCAGGAATGAGAAATCTCACCTTATTCACATTCCGTGTGAATGGTTGGTCTTTTTGTTTATTTGCAGGGAAATGGCTACTAGGTGGGGCATATGTAGTTGTGGGAGCATCAGCCATGAATTTGCTAGTTCACTGACTATTTTGTCTTCCCAGGAACACAAGGTACACAGGGAACATGTTTTTAAATACATATAACTTATAAGCATGTTATTTTATCAAAGTTAAACTGTACTAGTAAAGCTGTCTCTGATACTTGCACTTCAACAATTTCTTTTTATGAAAAAAAAATGCAAAAAGAACAGACATACATGTGCATGTAGTTGTATTACTCGTTTTAGATAACAGCTGTAGCTGCTCGTGATGTGGGAAGAGCAAAAAAGTTCGCAGAGTCATACAGTATTCCTAAGGCTTATGGGTCATATGAGGAACTAGCCAAAGATCCAAATGTTGGTAGGTTAATAATAACAAGGGGTTTAATTTATTATTTTTCTCCTAAAATTGATTATGGCATAGTCATGATTATTTTATAATTAATGAACATATAAACAGAAAATGGATATTATTTTCCAAAAAATTATGATTAAATTATGATTAAATCATACTTGTTAAATTTACTTCAACAGATATTATTTATGTGGGTGCAATTCACAAGGAGCATCATTCCCTGTGCAAGTTATTCCTTCATCATAACAAACCAGTATTATGTGAAAAACCTCTTACCATGAATTTGAAGCAGGCACAAGAAATCATAGCTGTTGCAAGTGAGAAGAAGTTGTTCTTTATGGAGGTACATGTATATGATATTGAAGTGTTGGTTCAGTGCATATTTATCTAGGTTGTATATATAATTTTTCAAAAATCAGATGATCTGAATGTTGAGTTGGTGCACATTAATTACATAGACTATCAGTGTACAAGAATATGAGGTAATGCATTAAGCATGTGACATAAGCTACTTAATTTGCTGTTTTTGTAATATTCATTTTTCTAATATCAAAATGAAACTGATTTTGTGTTAAAAGCTTGAGCTGAAATACTTTCTCTAAACCCTGTTTTTTTTTTACATTCTCAGAACCAGATGGTTACAACAAAAAGAATGCATCATGCGTAAATCACAGTTGATACCAAACTTCACATTTTGATTTTAGGCTTTATGGAGCCGTTTCTTCCCTACATATGAGCAAATAAGGAAAGAACTAAGGAATGGGTCAATTGGAGAGGTTCACTTGGTAGAGGCATCTTTTGGCATGGATCTTTCTGAATTAGACAGAATCACACAAAAGTCACAAGGGGGCAGCACCTTACTTGACATTGGTATTTATCCCATCCAACTGGCTTGTATGGTATTAGGTGGGAAGCCAAGCAAAATAGTTGCCTCGGGTCATTTATACCCAAATGGTATGTAAATTTTATCGATTGAATTACATTCTGAAGATTTCACCAACATCTCCTTCTATGAACATTTTTTCCTGAACAATTGCATGGTTAAGATTTTTTAATTTTTTCTGTAATACTTAATATTAGCTTCCTATGCGCTTGTATTTTAACTACATATTTTACATATTATTGCAGGTGTTGACAAGACCATGAGCATTGCTTTACTCTACTCTAGTGGTGCTATGGCTCATCTTGTGGTGAGCAGCAATGTGAACTTGCCCAACAAAGCTGCCATTTATGGGAAAAAGGGAAGATTAGAGGTAAAAATGTAAAATTTGGAATGTGCCCTTGTGCAATATTCACATATAATGGTTTCATTTACTAATAAACCTGTTGGGAAAACACTAACATTCAAATACTAAATGGTATAATTTTACCAAAAGTCTTTGTGGTCCATTAAATATAAATTTTTTAAAACTTGAAATTGATTGAATTCTTATTGTTTATATATTTATGTGCTGGTACATAAGGATATTTTTTACCTGATATAACAATAAAGATAAATAATAATCGATTTTTCTATTAGCTTCCTGAAACTTTCTGGTGTCCCACCAGGCTTATCACTCCAGACAAGTCATATGACTTCCCATTACCAAAATGTCATTACCCAATTAAGTTGACTCACAGTGAGGGTCTCTGCTACCAGGCACAGGCAGTTAGGGAATGCCTCATCAGTGGTAAGCATCTATATCAATATTTTTTTAATATTTGAGGACACTTGATGGTGGATATGATCACTGTTGGGGAATAACTACCAGTACTTAATCTAACCTAGATGCAATAATGACATCTTATGTATGCATATATTATACTTTGGCATTACATGAAGAAAATGACAAATTAAAATATGGGAAGTTCAGTTTACTTGGATATCTTTCTATAGATAATATGAATATGCCAATACAATGTAATATATTTTTTTATTTATTAAGGTAAGCTGGAAAGTTCTCTAATGAGTCACCAGGATTCTTTGGACATTTTGGCCATAACTGACGAATGCCTGAGACAGCTTAGTGTGGTCTTTGATGTTGAACAATAGTACATATGTACTGGTATCTCATCGACGGAATATGGTTGAATATGTACTCAAGCACCACTTCATTCTTTACACATGGCACAAAACATTGATATTTCATTGACTGCAACATGTTCTATTTTATGAAATAAGAATATTAAAATTGTATTAGAATACTGCTTTTATATTCCATAATATTTTCTTTTGATAATGTGCTTTAATGCACATTTTATTTGTACAATTACAAGCAGCATGTACTGGTATTTATTTGTTCTATATTTTATTATAGTGTTTATGTGAGGTAGAGTGACTTTATGTAATTACTGGTTTTATTTAAATTAGTTATGCTCATTATTGTTTTATATAACTACTGTTTTTGCACATATAATGATATTTGAACTAACATTGCCAGCTGTTTTATGCCACTCATAGGATATGAAGTTGAAGATCTGTTTTGTAGATGGAATATATATAAAAAGTAGTAAATAAAGAGGGAAAACATGTTGTTGTTCACAGTATTAATTTTTTTTTTTACCGGCTGCAGATTTTTTTTCACAACTGGAGATACATGATCTTTTATTGTTTTCTGAAAACCATACCAGCAACAGATAAATTTGGGGACAGAGAACTCCATGCAGCAGATTGTGAATATTCATTTTCTTACCAGTAATGGACCGTCCACAATGAAATTTGTCAACCTAGCTAATTTGCACTGACTCCACAGTGACTCCTGCTGAATGCAATCAGATTAATAGACTACTGTAACACAGCTCCTCTTGTTTCCAATGAATTCATATAATCACCAGCTTTTTTGCACTCCACTCAATGTCAGGAGGCGGTGTGATAGTCTTTAATTCTGATGAATTCTGCAAGAGTCCCCGTGGTGCTCTTATTCTTTGTAAATGGGTTCACATAAAGCAATTATCTCTTTCTCTTGAGCAGGTGTTCCAAGCTAGCAGAAATGAGTGTGTATGAGTTAGGTCGACAAGATTCATTGTAAATGGTCCATAAGATGTTTAAAAGGTGTAAATTGGGAATTTTAAGTAAATAACGAAACACAATTCACTGTAATAAAGGGGCAAAATTCCTCGTCGACTAAGCAAAAATCACCAGTTGCGTGTCCAGGGGGAGGGCATGTGCCACCTCTTAGCTTCCTCCTCACCCCCTCCCAATAACCGAAAAAAAGGTAATTTTCCATTCCTGTCCCTCCATATTATAGTAAAATTGTCCTCGCTTACTTTCTTATAAAGTGATCGGCCAGTAAGCGTGAATTTTAAGCGTTAATTTTCCTATTCTTTAAAAAAAAAAGACATGCTGATATCCCAATTTTGCCAAGTTCTATCACGTTTTTCAAGCATAGACTAATTTCCTCCACTTGCAACGTCATGACGTAAAGCGACGTATTACTTATGACGTAAATAAGAAAGGGTGGGAGTGTTTTTTTAAATTATGGTTAATAACGTACAGGGGGGGGGGGGGGAGCATTCCCCATCGTGTTAATCTCTTTACATTCTTTTAGCTAAAGTTGAAAAAAATGGTCCTATTTAAATTAATTTTCAGACCTAATGTAAGTTGATATTTTATGGTCCTTCGACAGCGTCATATATGACAATACGTTTAGGACGTAAAGTGACGTGCCTTTTCTTGTGACGTACATTTATAGGTAACGTGGTAGGCCTATCCGTATCATAGCAATGATGAAAAATCATGGCTGTGGCCAAAGATAAAGAATCGTGTCATGCTTAACAGTTTGAAAATGGATCTTAAATTGATATGTTTATTTATCGTGACGATACAGAACTTTATTGACAACGGGTAAGGATACGAAATGGTGTAGTTGTTTAAGGGAGACTCGACGAAGACAACTGAAAGAATAACAAATGCCTTATAATCGGCGAAATATTTAATTATAATGATCGACTTGTTTCTTCTTCTTATTTTTTCATTTTGCAGTCCCTATCGGGATCACGTCTGCAATCTGGCAGAGGACATCGGTGAGCAATGCACAAGCTCTTACGGTGAGAGAAACGATGTCCCGAAAAAAGAATGGATGAGAAAGCGCGTCGGCGGAGACAACAGTAAGGAAGCAGAACTTACCTCTCCTAGTATATTTGCTAACGGCGATTGTACCATTAACTGTGAGTTCCCTCCAGCAAAATATATATACCTATGGTTTTTGACATTTTATTTATCTAAAATTTAATTGCTGGTTCTAAAATTTTTATCAGTAATATAACAGATCTTCAATAATTTTATTCCTCAGTCTTGTCAAATCCACTTATCAGTTTTTATTTCAATTTCATATATCTATAATCAAGACTGGAGCCAATCTGTAAATACCATTACAAAAATGACATCGCCATATGCATATGGAGTGTATTTAAAAGAATACGCAGCAGACAACTTTGTGGTGCATAAGGGTTGGTTTGAGAGAAAAGTGGCCAGTGTTCAGCGCATGCTTAACCTGGGAGTTGATAAACTTGTAAACTTCATTAGGCCTACTTTGGATCTTTACTCGACAGAGATGGCGATGATCAGTGCCATTGTGATAATAAAGATTTTCCTTAAATCTTACAATCGCATTCCACAAGAGCGGACATCACCCATACTTCCAATATTTCTTTGTAAGTTAGACGTTTCATCTCACATAATAATTATACAAAAAATAACACAATAATTAAATTTAATGGCAAGAAAACAGATGGCTTGCAAAAATATTCAGCTGCCTTTTTGTACCTTTTCCCTCTTAACCTTCACGTCCTTGCTTTCAGTTTCTCTGTCATGGTTCCTGAAAATGGTAGCAGATGTGCTAGAGTCAGCTGCTCCTCTTCTCTGGGACATATTGGTCTCTGTAATGTCCCTCTGCAGCATAGAGCTCTCTACTACCTTATTTGCGTGCCTGCTATATATCAGCATCACAAGCGGCATTGTTGCTTTTCTGCTAGTGCAGTCAGTCAGATCATTGCACAAGAAACTGAATTTAAGTGAGTATACTCAACGAAATAAGGAGAAATATCTGAAATAGGGCCTATATGCTCTTCAAGTTGAATACGTTTTGAATTAGCCTTAAAATTGCGAATGTGCCATAAGTTCGGCTGTAAGTTCATTTACATACACTTTTTATTCTTTATTGAGGCCTGCAAATAAAGATTTATTCTTTTTTCAGATAAAAACTTAACAAAGTTACATAAAATTCACTTATGCTAATTGACTTTTTAGCAACCATTCCCTACTCGAGTATCAGTAGATATTCAACTCCGGCGCCTTTTGTGACCACGCAAATATCTCTAGGCGCATTAATTAGCACTCCCGTACCGCCAGCTCTGCCTGGAGTTCATCAACCCTCTGAACAGCCGCCTGTCCCTGAGGCACCAGCAAAAATCGCTCGCCCCAAAACACGGCGTCGCGACCTGGAAATCTCCCTGGCTGCTCACATCTCAGGAGTGCAGGAAACAAGGACACCACCCAAGGATAGGCAATCCCCCTCTTCAGACCATACAGTGATTTGGCATGGGCCATATCCTAACAGTAAACCGAAGTCTGAAGAAAGGGTCTCGTCTCCTTCAATGACCGTTGCCTCTGCAACATCCCAACTCTCCGTTGTTTCAAAAGCGGCTTTGTTATTCTTCTGTAGAATACTTGAGATGGTGTTGGTCACTCAGATCCCCTGCTGGCCGGTGAGGATGTCAAAGTTCTTCCCACGGCGGCGGTGGTCTTCACTGGTGTGGCAAGGCAGGAGAACACGAAAGGCACGTATCCCTCTTCGGTCATGTTTCTCAGAGGTGGATGTCCCTGCTTACATCAACCGTATCCGCCACTTGTCATCTTGCTCAGCGGACAGCGCTCTCGCCTCTGATTTAAGCGCCATCAGCGTGCCAGACGTACCCATGCCACTGATTAATAGAGACAATCTTTATTTGGGCATGAATAATAGTCAGGTGTTTGGATCTTTCCAGCGACATTTCTCGGCGGTCTGCCTTGGTTCCAATCTGAGACTGGAAACAGATGTTAACACTGAAACCGCGCTAGACTAAAAAAAAAAAATGTATTTTAAGCCTTTATTTATAAATATCCTTGAATCATAAGAACAGTATTCGACATTTATTACTTATTGCTGAGCTGTAAAAAATCAAATCCTTAATTGTGTACATTAATAAAAGAGTCGCTTGTATTTTTTGTGGTTTTCTAGGAATAAACAAACGGTATAGAGTCTAAGTCAAAGCGTTTTTGAGTACTTTTTATTAAGAAATAACTATAATTCCTCAAATGTCAATAGTTGTCACTGACCATTAGATTTCTTCAAAATTAAAACACCAAAAATAACGTATGAATGTTTCAAACAAAATGAAAACCAATAAATCAAATTAATTGTGCAGTTCAAAGTTATCTTCTTTATCAAACACCCCTAAATACCTCACATTTATATTAAGATGGGCCTTAACTCGTGCAATTGTGGATATTAACCTTCTTTTTTAGTCTAAAACCAGACACATTCACTTTCAAGTCTTGCTATCAAAAAATAACACTTTTTATGCGTTTTTTTTTAATGGGAATGGTCGCTCATTTCTCCCCGATTATGATAGTGCATTGTGCTTTATGGTAATTGGTCTTTTGTCTCTTTATTTTGGTTAATACATTACTGATTAATTTCAATACGCTGTTAACGCACTTAGGAGGATTTCGAACTTAGACATCTCGACACGTCAGCAATGGGACTCAGCGCCTCTTAATGAGTGCTGCCGCCTGTCGCCAATTGTGGTAATTTCGAAAAACATGGCAGAAGCCGATTCCAATGTCAGTACAAATCCCTACAGAAAATCATTGAAAGTAGCGGTTGCAGCCATATGCAACGAAGTTGGATATGGCGAGGCAGAAGATATTGCCATTGAGACATTAACTGAAATGTTACAGAGTCGTAAGTTTTGACAATTAAGACTATATACTGGGTCGTGCCTTCGGCTTTGTAGTTAATGTAGCATTCCTACCACTACTAACTTACCAGTACCACAAGCCTTGTAGGTTGGACTAGGGCACAAGAAGCCTCTGTACAGCGGTTCTTGGCACAAGTGGGAGCCTTGGCTCGAGTCAAGATTAGATAAATGACTAAGTAGCAGTATTAGTAGTGAGTGCAGTGAAGTGACCACTGAACATTCTGCAGGCCCCCGTTTCACAAAAAAACTTAAGTCGGTTTCCCTGATTTTTTCTTAGCTGTAAGTCGACGATGTCAAGCCTCCTCGGGAGGAGACTTAAGTCGGCAAGCTCAACTAAAACTCGGTAAATGAGAGCATAAACAACAAAAATTTGGAAAGAACATACCTCCTTCAAGATATTGTGTTAGAATATCCTTGAATAGCACTGACATTTATGGAATATTAAAATAAAAAATAAAATTCCACTTTACCCAGCCGATCGCGTATTTGTTTATGTTTTTGACCGCTAGACGTCCCTCAGTAGTGTTCCACGACAAGCTAATGTTTAACTGTTACTTTGAAGTTGTATTGAAGTTAAACTAATCAATAAAGTTCAAAAACAAACTTTGTTTGTGTTTTGGCTGACTTTTATTGTTGATAAACGATCGTTCTCAGCCGAAAGAGGCCATGAAACGTCATGTCTTGTGAAACTTTTGCAATTTTACACCTCCTTTTCTTGAAGAGTTTCTCGTGTGCGTCGACTACGGTAAGCACGCCAAGCTCAGACATTAGATTCTTTGTGAAACACTCCTAGTCGACTTCAGCTAAGTCGACCTAGCTAGGCCACCCAGCTCGAGCTAGTCGACTACGGATTTAAGATTCTTTGTGAAACAGGGGCCAGGTGCGAACCCAATAATGTTTTACAATGACACATCAGATAATCAAAGTGACGGACACTCCGACTCTGACTCTTCCCCAATTCTATTTTTACATGGCAATACAAAAATCAAGTGTTCACAGTTCAGTAACATGGCAATATTTCAACCAATAGCAATGGGCATGTCTTTCTTTCCAGTGTTGAGTGAGTTAGCACGTACATCTCGGTCATATGCAGAGCTCTCAGGAAGAACTGATGTCATGGTGGCAGACTGTGTCATGTCTATGGTGGATCTTGGTAAGATGATTTTAATATAAAATGAAACTGAAAAAATCCAGTAATGCAAGTGCTCCACTATAAAATATTTGACATGTTACGTATGCCACTTTCTTAAATAAACATCTGTGAGTTGTTTTTTGAACATTGCTTTTGTAAAGTACTAAAGAAAAAAAAAGCAACATATACAGCATTTAGAATTTTATTCATTTCAGTTTTATACGCTCAGTGTTGTTATTTCCAGGCTTAAATGTTGAGTCCATAAAAGCCTATGCCAAAAGACCGAATGCAACAGTACTTCTACCACGTGAGTATTGCACTTTGTGTGCCATAATCCTGCATTTCTATGCACTTTGCAGTTTAATTGAAAGAAAGGTCGTCTTTTTTTCATTCTAACAATATTGACTTGACAGTATTTTAGATGATCTTTGAATGGATGTAACTGAAATGTTAAAGAGTAAATATAGCATTGTTTCCTTATTGTGATCATTACTTGTTTATATAAACCATTGAGTGATCTGATGATGCTACACATAAGTATGTTTATCTAAGACATTTTCTTAGATAGTTACTTATACCCTGACACTTTGAAAAACAAAGTTTCTAGTTGAAACACAGTTGCGGCTCTTTTTTTATTCAAAGCAATCTCTTCCTAAAATTCAATGTTGAATACAAAATTTAAAGTGCACCATCGATCCTCCTTTAACTTTTCAGCCAGCCACACTCCAGCCAGTAACACCCCTAGATCTCTACAGGTGGGGAGTAAAAAGGACCACCTGAGTCACATCCCAGACTACCTTCCACCTTTCCCTGATACTCACACTTACATCAAAACTCCAGTGAGTATGCTGACAGGATTGGAAGACTATTGCATTATATTCATCTGGTGTCCTTGACAACTTTAAAGTACTTATATACCACCGAGTTCCAAAATCAGTGGTATGCTGTAAATATATATATTAAAGATAATTTAATATTGTACCTGACCTTCACTGAGTAAACAGGTGTATGCATTTCCTGTAGTTTTACTTCACATATTCTTATAATAAGTACAGTTTTTGAGCAGGGGCCTTATGTATTCATTTAGTCACAAAAGATAAGGTCATCTTTCAGTCATAAGAGCAGGTCATGTACAAAGAAAAACAGAATATTAAAGGTTGAAAACTTCCTATGCATGGTTTAGATAAGAACTATGGGGGAACTTGGGCTAAGTTGCACAAAATTGATGGTTTAGCATTAAGACTGCGAACCACTTGAGATTTTATTTTGTTTACTGACCGTCTTTTGATTGTATAAGAAAGGTTTATGTTGAGCACCAAGGCTTTCCCCAGAAAGTGGTCCAGCTGTCATTGGATGGCTATTAGATAACCTACATTTCCAAAGACAGCTGGACAGTTTACTAAATTTTTAGGTTGCGCTTGCTTGATTTGGACTCCCTGTACACTAAACTTAGCATTATGGAAAACTTTTTTTTTTTGTTCATCTTTGCGAAGAATTATGGCAGAAATAATGCCTCTGGAACAGGTCCTTACTTTATATTTATGCCCTCAGTGCACAGTATTTTTATTGTTTTTTTCCAAGGAATCTGCAATGCATTGTAATCTGTATTTGTAAAATAATTGTAACATAATTGTTTTTCAGTCCCACATGCAACCTCCAAACGAATACCAGGTTATTCGTGAAAAAGCAGCATCACAAAAGAGAGATGTAGAAAGAGCATTAACAAGATTTATTGCCAAGACAGGAGAGACGCATTCTCTCTTTAAGGACGACACATCTGCATTTCCATGTAAGTCTTGGTTTGGTTTAAGGTCTGAAGAGTCGTAGAAGAATGTAGGTTTGAATCTTTGCACATTGGATTCAATGCTATGTCATTTATGTTCAGAATCATGTATAAATAATATTCAGACAAAATGGAAAAATCCTTTTGTATTTACCATTTTAATTAATTGACACTACACAACAAGATTTAGTTGATTTATATCCAAAAGGAGGGCATTTTTTTGTGTTCCTGTTCAACTGCAACATGGTCTGAGATTGTTCAATTTGCATTGTAGTGATAGCTTGCAAGCCTACCCCTCACCCATACTTAGATGCATTATTACCAAAGGACCAAGAGCTGGACCATGTTGATCAGACAGATGCAGGGCAACATAAACAACCACCAGGAAGGAGGAAACGTCCAGTAGAGGATGGACAAGGGAACACGCAGGACTCTGGTTATGGCACACAGGACTCTGGTCCGTCATCACAAACTAGTTTAGATCAGTCTCAGTCTAAAGAGGATGCAGCAGACAATGATGCCATAGACAACCCTTTTCTAAGACCTGTAAAATTTCCTTTGAAAAAAGGGAAATATTATTAGTGTTTTCATTGGGTACAAAAATGTTGGACATGTTTTTTTTTTCCTTTTTATAATAAAGTATATTGCTTTGCAAAATTGGGTCTTTTGGTTCAAAGCATCATGTACATTAGTGTAAAACTATCTAATAGGTGAACAGGGAAGAACTGGACACGCCAGCAGAATATAACTCTTTATTTTATCTTCTCCCTCCTTTGGGTAAGCATACCCCATGTTATTATACTCGTTACAGTTTTAATTACTTCCCTATATCATCATGCACATGTATGTCCCCTCGTTGCTTCTAGCAAGTACCTCTGTAAACATAATGGTACATAATGTAAAAAAAATTAATTTTATATTTACAAACAAAACAGGATTAGATCCATTTGCTACAATGTTTACTTATATTTATAATCCATAAAATCTTTTTTTAAACCACTGACCTTTCTTTGAACCACGCACTTTACAAATCTTCTATGAAAAATGTACCGTAGATCTATTCTTCCCTCTCTCTCACATACACAATTACATATGATATAATAATGAAAAAAAAAGGCCATGCTGGTGTTCATAAAGATAACAGAAACTACCCTCTCAGACACTACATGACTAGCACCATATATTCCCCCGAATGATATTGGCATTTCTTGGGGGAGGGGATCTTTGGAATTCTAATACTAACAGCTAGGTAAACAGACCAGCTGACTTGCATAAAGATTAAACCTAGACTACTGAAGCACCAGAAAAATTTGTGTTCAATACTGTAAGGTTAGGTTGATGCGTCTTCTAAACTGACTAACTGTACAAGCTAAATGTAGTCTTCTCATCTGGTCCCAAAAAGCTAATAATTCCATACATTAGATGCACTGTAAACACAACCAAATTCTGCAAGATTCCAATTTAAGTTACTATACTTAAATTAACTATTGATTTTTTACACTGCAATGGCAACGCTTGAGTAAAGTGACAGCTCTTTCTGTGTATTTCTGTATATTCCTATTTTGAATGATCACCTGTAATCTACACAATTGATCAATGCTCAAAATCCTACTAATAAGCCAAAGATTGAAAATTGTTTTGTTATAGCCCATGCTTCTTAGCACAGTAAATGACAATCATATTTCACTTTTCTGCAGATCTTTCCCAAGCACGTCTCTAAAAATTTTACATTTAGATTATGTCTGAGGCATATAAACAAAATAACCATTGGCAATAACTAACAAATAACTACCATAAAATTTAATAACAATGGTAATAATCTTCACAGGAACACCAGTTGATATTGGGACAATGCTAAATAATGAGGTCTAGCACCATTCTTTTCATCATATTATGCCATAAAATTAAAAACTGTATATACCATAGCAATTAATGCTAAAATCTGTGTCATTTCTGTAAATAAATATTAGTATTAGATTTTTTTTTTTGATGAATCACTGTGCCTTGTGTTATTGCAGTAGCTGTCACTGACATTTTTTCTATACTATCATGTGTCAGATACGTTATCAAACTGGAAGTTACTGAAATGTTGTGAATGTTCTCTTCTATTAAGTACATATTATAACAGGATAATTTGATAAAACAATTCTATAAAACAAGTTAAAAAGGAAAAAACTGACCAGAATTATCTGCAAGGTCTAATATTAGTGATAACCATGGTTTGCATTGCCAAGGAGACAAAGTTAAGTAAATGATTAAAAAAGACTTCTTTTGAATGGGACAGTATAAAGAATGAGACTGCTCTGTTTAGAAATAGACCATATTATATTTAATATATTTTGATAAATAATAATAAGGCAACTGGTGTATTTTTGTATGAATTAATAATGGGAAAATTCCATTGCTTAAGAGTGAGCACAGATACCATATACAATAAACTAAGATGGCCACAATGGATTTTCTATTTAACTTAACAGCAATTCATATTGTTTGATTGTCTTAACTACATCAAATTCCTGATGTGAGAAATAGACTAGTAAACTGAGCGAAAAAAATGGCCTAACCCAGGACTAATTGCAAAAAAATTGTAATGATGTTTTTTAGAAAGCTAAATATCCAAATTTTAACATATTAAAAATCTAGAAAAATCTAAGTAGTGGAAAATGGTTTTTAGGGCAGTTTTCCAAGATGGCCGCCAATATATTAAGTCTCTATAGGTAAAGGGGGTCTTTATTTTTTTAGGAATATTTTTGCTGGAATAAATGGGGTTAAGACCTTGAAATATATCCAGACTTAGAGACAAAGACCTTTTTGTTTAAAAGAAAAGCTTATTTGATAAGAATATTTCACCAAAGGTCATTGGCTAAGGGTCAAAGGTCAGGCAAAGGTCATTTGTATAGATTTTTACCTGAAATATTGCCTAAAAGTTTGCAGTAAATGTTTTTAAAGATTGCTTATTGAAACTTTTGGTGTTTATTACAATTATTACATCACTCACAACAAATCTATGAAGTTTGGCTGCAAAATATGCATTTTTAGGAGAAATATGAGACAAATTGTGAAAAATCAGACGAATAAAAAGTATGTATAAATGTGTAGGGTAGATATTAAAAGTGGACTTCTCTTCACTCTGGGGACAAATATTTCTATGTAAATGTCATATAATATATAAAAAACATTTGTTTTTTACATTTTCTTATTACAACCATCTATGTTTAGGCTCAATTCCTTTTTTCCAATATGGCCGCCAGCAAGGGTATTCATAAGGCTTTATAAGACTTAAAATTTTAAACACTTTTCTTCAGTAGTGGCTTACTGCAAAAAAATTGTAATTAGGTATTTTAGAAAGTTTTACACCCAAATTAAATTATAATAAAAATCTAGAAAAATCTAAGTAGTGGAAAAAGGTTTTTAAGGGAGCTTTTCCAAGATGGCCACCATTACATTGCGTCACTGTAAGTAAATGGTGTCTTTTAATTTAGGTGGTATTTTGCTAAGATAAATGGGGGTTAATCCTTGAAATATACACAAAGTTGTCGACAAAGAATAATTTGTTGAAAAGTTAAGCTTATTTAATAGGAATTATTCACCAAAGGTCACTACCTTGGGGTCAAAGGTCAGGCAAAGTTCATTTGTACAGATTTTTAACATGGAAATTTGCCTAAACGTTCACAATAAATGTTTTTAAAGATTGGTTATTAAAACTTTTGGTGTTTATTACAATTATTACATCACTCGCAACAAATTTATGAAGTTTGGCTACAAAATATGTATTTTTAGTAGAAATATGAGACAAATTGTGAAAAATCAGATGGATAAAAATTATGTATAAGTGGATAGGGTAGGTAATTAATATTGACTTCTTTTCATTCTGAGGACAAAGATTTCTATGTAAATGTCATATAATATATAGAAAACACTTGTTTTTTTTTACATTTTCTTCTTACACCCATCTACCTTCCCGGTTCAATGCTTTTTTCAATATGGCCGCCAGTAAGTGCATGCATAAGGTTTTATAAGACATAAATTTTTGAACGTTTTTTTTCAGTAGGGACTTATTTAAAAAATGTAATGAGGTATTTCAGAAAGCTTAATATCCAAATTTAAACATAATAAAAATCTAGAAAAATCTAAGTAGTGGAAAAAGGTTTTTAAGGCAGCTTTTCCAAGAGGGCCGCCATTGTATTGCGTCATTGTAAGTAAATGATGTTGTTTAATCTAGATAGTATTGTGCTAGAAATAAATGGAGGTAAAACCTCTAAATACACACAAAGTTAAAGAAAAGGACTCATTCACTGAAAAAATGCTTATTTAATATGAATTATTCACTTAAGGTAACTGGCTTGAGTCAAAGTTCAGGCAAAGACCATTTGTACAGATTTTCCCTAAAGTGTTGCCTAAAATTACAAATTATGTTTTTGAAGATAGGCACTTGAATTTGTTTGGGTGTTAAATATAATCATTATTTCATTCACAACAACTCTGTGAGGTTTGGCTTCATATATGGCTCTTTAGGAGAAATATGAGTCTAAGTGTGAAAAATCAGACAAATAAGGATTCCGACAGGATAGGACTTCTTTTCATTCTGGGAACAAATATTTCTATGCTAATATCATAAATATATGATATATGAAAAACACTTTTTTTTGTTTTTTTTTTTTTTTGTTCATGTTTTTTTTTTTTTTATTATTATTATTTATTATACCCATCTATGTACATGTTCAAAGTATTTTCCAATATGGCTGTCGGCAAGATAATTCATAAGGCTGTCTTCAGTAAATATTCCACTCAAGTTTGTGTCTTTACCCCCTTTTCTTAATTATATTGATGAATAAGTAATGGAGGTAAAAAGTTGTACAGTTAACAGTGGCGCCAAACACAATATAAGTCTTTTTTCTAAGAGTGCATTCCCATAAATTTTTAGATCAATCTATCCCCGTGGGGAGTCTCACTAGATTGTTGTCAGCCTGACCGGCTTAAATGTCTGTCCTGCCTACTAAAGGCTGTTAGGGGGTAATTAACTTTTGTGCGCTTCGGAAACTGACAGCAATTTAGCGTGAAACCCCAAGGAGTTAGGTTGATCCGAATAGATTGATCTAAATCTATGGGAACCCAGTCTAAGACAGACTGAAATGTTGCATCAATTGTACAAGCAATCATATAATCAGCCAGACCAAATGTGCCGCTGGCCTGTCCAAATAGGTTTGGGTGTCCAACTGCATAAACTTTTTGGAAACAGATTCCTAATTCCATGGATTCTGTTGCTCGTACTCCTAATAGTAAGATATGAGAGGGGCTCCAGGGCCACACAAGGGACAAAATCCTGGAGCATTTGTTGCCACATTCACCAACATGGAAAACCCCAATATCTAGGAATCGGATCCTATCAGAAACCATTTTTTTTGGAAACTGTCCTTACCTGCTTTCCAGCCACAACCCAAACTACTATGGAATGGTTACATGGACAAATGATGACTAGAGGGAATCACCCAACAAAAGCATCTGTTATGTCTCTTTCTCTGATAGATATAGATCTACAGAAAGAACTGTCATGCATCTACCCACATTGAATTTAATCTATTCACGTGTTCAACAGTTCAGAGCAACCCCCAATAATTACCTTTAATCTACCACTGTGGTGGAAGGACCAGACTACTGTTGAAAGTGAACAAGAATTCAATATACTACCATCTCCAGTTGCAAGGCTTGTTGGCTTCCACACAGTGATGAGCTACCTTTAGTGCATATGTCAACTAATGACAGGGTCAGGACTTTGAGAACTTATTGAAACTATATTTGCTGTCAATACAGTAAGCCACATGATTCCCAGGGAATGCTCTGGCTAGGGCAATGAGGGCCCAACTATTACTTGATCTATCCCTCATTGCACTTGTCATCTTCAAGCTTTTGCGGGATAATGTGCCAGCCACTGTTGCTCAAAACAAGAAGCACAGCACAGTGAAACACAGTGCACAGATGACATTGAAGGTACATGCATGCATTGTCTGGGTGATTTCCAATTGATGGAGACAGAGCCGACATCCAGATCTCCATTCTTTAGACCATGGTAACATCAGATGTGGGAGAGAGTGGATTTTTGATAAAGATAGACCAGAAACTGGCTGTTGAGAAAACCACTTTGAAAAGTCAAAGAACTGCAAGGTTCAGGGTACAATGTATGGACATTTCCTTTTTGCTAGAACATGCAATATAGTCAGATGGGCTTGAAAGTGAAGGTGAGGTCCAGTACATTTTAGATGGTGTGGCACTTCTTCATCACATACCATGGACTGTTGGAATGTGTTGCACACCAGGGAGATATAGGAGAGCTATAGTGTACATGTAGCATTATAAAGGGATCATCTTGATGTCCCCTCTACTAAGCTATGATTCTGCACACCTAGTAAAAAGATCCAATTAACAGTATGAGCACAGCTATCGTCTTCACAGATGAGACGAAGCTGCAGAGTAAAAAGAAAAAAATTCTTACCAACAAAGAAAACAAACAGGTTCATTTATTTCCTTGGTGAGAAGTTGGAAGGTGTTGGAGTTAAAAAAATCCAAGTTCCAGGTGTTGCAGACCTCCATATTGCATTAAATAAAAAAGTTTATCTGAAGCGCACATCATATGATCATAATCTTCTGAGCCTTGTCCCAAAGCCATAATTGCTCGCAATGTCATTTTCTTGTTTTTGAAGTGAAACCTAGGTCATCCCTGGTGAAGACAGTTAGGTACTTATTGACTGGTCAGTTATTTTTAACTAATNTAGTTACTGAGCAATCTTGGAAACACCTTCACTAGGCAGTTTGATGCTTTGTATATTTGGATTTGAATCTTGGCAAGTGAAGAAGGCATCTTGCCCAGAATCTTGTCTTGTGACTAAACAAATACCTAAAATCTCTCTGTATATATGCTGGGGGTTTCTTCCTACAGCTTCCATCTTGCTGGATATGACAGTTGTCTGCATGGATGGGGTGACTGAGGTCTTTCCGCTGTCTATTCTGATCTGAAATTTAGAAATTTTACATTTCATTCCATTATGTTAAGTGATTTTGCTTTACAAATGCTGGCAAAATCATTTGACTCTTAAACTGAAATTGAAGATTGTAAAATGTCCTTTATTTGATGCTACCCTATGCAAGATAATACTAAAATAATCACGGACAGGGCCTTATATTAAACATAACTGCCAAAATCTGTATGGTAAGACATTCAAGTGAATAAAAAATTTTAAAAAATTAAGATAATAAAAACCTACTACTCTTGTGATCCTCCAGAGCTGTCCTGCACACCAGGTGGGTGAAGTCAAAGTACAGTGGCTGTGTGAGACCAAAATACCTGGCAGTGAACTCTTTAGCTCTCTCTGCCACATCCAAGTACAGCTTCACAGCTTTGACACCTACTTTCATCTGCTGGACAAGCTGAAAAGGAAATGTGAGGCACATACAGTAATCCTTGTCATGTCAATTTGAAAAAAAAAAAAAGTTGACTGCCAAACAATTTTTAAACTATAGATAAGACACTGGCAAATTAAAAATGAGAAAAAATTAAGTAAATATTGTTAACCATTTAATTAACTGTCCAGAAATGTCATATACTTTTATTTAGATAGTATGCTCACAAAAATTTTTTAAATAAAATTCAATTCAAAATAAACAAATAAATTAAGTTATAAACAAATAAACAAACAGATAATTGGAAATAAAAAAGGAAAAATATCTGCTTCCCTACAGAGACAAAATGGTTAGTGGAAATCATTATAGAAAACAAGCATCATTAAGACAAATAACAAGCAGATAAGTTTTTTTATGTGCACCAACTTATACATGGGGAACTTTAAAGAAAATATTCAAACTTTCCTTTAAATAACATAATTTGTTCACTAAAATTTAGTTTAGAAAAGGAGGCTCAAAATTTACTATCTAACCCTATGTATCATCCTTACTTAACCACTTCGTACGCCACTACCCATAGTGGAATAGCATGCAGACAGGAAATGTAGTCACGCCAGAACTCTCAGCAATCAATGGCACACACATAAGCTCTCATGCAGATAGGATAGGTAGAAGAAGATTATCTTTCATCTATTTGAAGTGTGTGTGTGTGTGTGCGTGTGCGTGTGCGTGTGCGTGTGCGTGTGCGTGCATGTTTGTTACAACATGCACTTTCTCTTGAAACTACTCTTGAAATTACCTACAGAGTGTTTGCAAGCACTGGGAAGCATTCCTATTGTGTCTTAACACATAATTTTTGTAGCACTGCCCTTATTTTTCTATCCCAATTCAAATGGGATATATATTAATAAAACAGGCAAGTGGCAAAAACCTAAACTGCATCTACTGAATGTTCCACAAAATGTAACATATGTTACTTAAAAGCAGACATAATATGTGAGATAGTTAATCAGCAACATGCTATACTGTGTAAATCCTTTAGAATCCTGTTTATTGTTCTACAGAAAGTTTTATTCAAGTGATAGTGAGAGTAATGGACAAAGACTACACAAAATTTCATTTTCCTATAACAACTGCCAAATGATTTGGGAACGTGTTGGCTAGTGCTGGCTACTTTAATCTGAGACTTGATCATACATTTTTTACATGAATTCCTTCTGGCATGCAGTATGCTTTCATGCATCAACTATCTAAGTTCATATTAATACTGTATTGATGTCCATGTGCCACTGCATCTGAACTCGTACCTCTGTCACCTCTGTTATTGTTATTCCTCCAGTGTTACTCATCTCATCTGCTTCAAGAGCTCGGTCAGTCCCCTAGTTAAATACACAATGCATGCCACACTCAACAACACCAAATTATACACCAATCCATACTAAGGTATCACTTTAGTAGCACTGAACCAACAACCTTAACATAGAAGCAGGGCATTGTAGATCTGCAGGAAGTTGTCACAAGTGTTAGGTTTAAATTGGGATGTTGGGACACCCAGCACTNAGTCCCCTAGTTAAATACACAATGCATGCCACACTCAACAACACCAAATTATACACCAATCCATACTAAGGTATCACTTTAGTAGCACTGAACCAACAACCTTAACATAGAAGCAGGGCATTGTAGATCTGCAGGAAGTTGTCACAAGTGTTAGGTTTAAATTGGGATGTTGGGACACTCAACATTATGCCTCACAAAATACTACATGTTATCTTTTTCATTTTTCAAAATGTCAATACTTTGCTAATTCTCAGTTGTAAGGTGTCCAGGTAACTGATACTCCACTCCCAGAGTCCAGGTATCAAAAATGTTTCACACACAACACAAGTCATCACCAATTACAAAATTTTTAGAATGTAAACAGACACATACACAAAAACATTCTCACATGCTTTCTGAACATGTTAATACCATCACCTTTAGGTAGAAAATTACACCTAATCCTAAAAGAAAGGGAAATAAGTTTTCTAAAAGAAATAAAATCTTTAAGCTACCTTTGCCTTCTGATAGCTATAAATTACAAGAAAACATGGAGAGCAAAGTCAAAATAGACAAGACTAAAACAACATGAAACTTATAATAATAAATGACATTAAAACACAATATATACATAATTAAAATAATACACAATTGTTAGTGTCAAATATGGGAAATTTAATTTACATTGATTAAAAAGGTGTTTCCAGTTGTATTAAATGGACTAAAGAAATACATTGGTTACATAACACAGAATGAGCCAGGGTATAGTGAAGTCACATGTAAAGTTAGTGTTATTTTGGTATAAAATAAAGAGAATCAAGATATACTCGCATATTCAATTTAACAAAGGGGTGATTTAACTTTATTGAAAATATTTTAAAATACTACTTATAATTTTGATATTTCATTGGGGTGGCGATGTTTATAGTGTCTACCTTATATGCATGCACAACATTTAATCCTGCAAATATCTCATGCTTGGTGTGTGGAGATGACTGCTTCTCCTTTCCTCTGTAACCATCTCCCTGTACTGCTGCTGCCTGAAATAACACATTCAAAATACAGCATCTGGGCTGCCAGTTGGTGGGGTCTCTGTACACACCAAAAGTTTTCAGCTAAGTTACTGACCTTAAGTGGTTTGTTAAGCATTACTACCACCTAAAGATACCAGACGCATACAATTTTTGAACAGGAAGTCAACAGAAACAAAATCATCAAGATAGAACTGCCATGAGAGATCTATAGCTAGTCCACATTCAAATTGAAAATATAATTTATAATTTGTCAATTTAAATAAAATAAATTGTCAAGTGAAAAGAAAGTTTCACTTGAAATCTTGATCTGAAAATAACAAACCACAATTAATATCTTGTAGCATATTATCAAAATGGGAAATGTTAGCACAGGTTAGCAACACGAAATTGATTAAGGACACTGCAAAATAAATATACATTTCTCTCTGTGCCACAGTAATACATGAAAAGGGAAGTTTTCTGAAACAGTAAGGTAAGAATGGGATACACACACACACACACACACACACACAGACTGATGGAGCAGGCAGCATACATGAAGAGGCTAACATTGTCAGTCCACCAGTACCTCAGCTGCCTCAGGTACATCAAGACCTTCAAAACTCTCATGAGTTGAAAGTGGTGAGACATGACCTCTATACCCTGACCCTCTCTTTCCATGCCCCTAGGATGAAACATTGACTTGTAAAAGAAGTACTTCTGAAGAGCAAAATATTTGGGTTCATCACAGGTGCCGCAAATCTTTAAAATATTTACAAAACAGGACTGGGACCTGAAAATGTTGAGTTGGAGAGGAGAAGAGGCAGAGTTTTGTATATCACATACAGTAGGTCACTTGTCTTATAAGTTGTAACTGACTTGTGATGAGTTAAGTTCTGCAAGAAAACTCACTATTAATAACATTCAAACTTAAAAGACCTCACTTTATTAACAATACAATCTTCTCTTTAAAACATTCAAAAGGACATGGCACTATTCCTTACATTGGCAAGTTTACAAAGTTCTTGACACTCTTCCTCTGTAGCTAGTCCATCTGCCGCCATTCTCTGTGGTCCCCCGAGGTCTTCATCAGTTGCAATGACCTGGACATTACTATCATCATACACCTCCAGGGCCTTAGTCTTCCCAACAGGTACAGAGTCATCTTTTTCAGTTTCTGTCATGGAAAAAGAGTATCTATCAAGAAAAACTACTTACAAAAACACTGTATAAATGGATGAAGCACATCACGGATGAGATTGCCATTTAGTATGGCATGGGGTCCAGAGGGCAGCCAAGGCCAATGATATTTTTAGTTCCCAAAAAGTTCATAATCCATAAATAGTTGTAAAAATCTCTTGTCTACATGATATTGGTTCTGGTTTGAAAAATTTAGCTAAGTAAAAGATGCATATTTACTGTATGCAAAGTGCTTAAAATTTTTTTCTTCTCTTTACTTGCATCTTATTTGAAATGTCTTTCAATTTTTGCAATCCTATCTGTTACCTTTTTTTTGGCCAATCAAATCAGGATTCTCCCTCAGCTTGGCCAACAGCTGAAAAGCTGTGTCATGGGCTGTCTCTTGATACATGCGGTCAAGAGTAAACCAGACTGCTAAAGCACACCTTTGCCCACTGGTCACTGCTTTGACCCCATGATAATCACTGGCCTGAAATGACACCAGTCGCCCACACTTTGGTTTGACAGAACTTTGCATACTCTTATTTCTGTCTGCGAAGAAAAATTCCCCTCCTTCAAAGTTGTCATTAAGGTACAGAAGTCCGCTGAAAGATTCCATAAAAGGTATATTAAATCAACATACCACCATCAAAATGTAAAACCAAAATAAGATAAATAACTAAGGAATATAGAGATAATGAAAACGGCATGTGTTAAAATTTTTCATATAGCCTTGAGTTATTAACATATTTTGATTTACAATCTACTATATAATTTATTTGTCTTAAGACAGAATAAATTCCCAGATATGGCAGCACACAACTGGTCCAACAATAAACAAACTCACGTGTAATCTCTCCATATAAAGGCAGGTAGTTTCTTCAAACATTTCCCATCTGTAGTCATGATACAGTTGTCAGCATGGATAGGGTGGCTGAGATCTGTCCTCTCTTCACCATCATCTACAAAGTACAGAAGATAATTCACAACCCAGACTATCAACTTACGCCATGAAACAAATTTCTTTTTTTTATCCATGAATCTTTTCCATCTTTCATTAATATTAAAATTATCTGCCATGGTGAATATAATGTTTTTTAACTCTGTGTGATACAATTTTTTGATTTACATTGAACAAGATTTATCACGAATCAAATATTAAAAAAATAAATAAAAAAGAATGTGACCCACAATGTTAATGTGAGTTTAGGTGTGTCTTAGCACATTGTATAGCACGACATGTGTACCTAGTGATGTCCTGCAAACTAGGTGAGTGAAGTGAAAGTAAAGGGGGGATGCCAAGTTCAGGTACTTCTCAGTATACTGCCGCATTAGTTCACTGACGTTTAGGTAAAGTTCAGCAGCTGTCATATTGATCTTGGCTCCTTCAACAAGCTGTGATAAAAAATTACATCATTATAATGGAAGACTGCATACTAGTACTCAATTGGAAAACTTATTGGAATAGCAAAGTTTACAATGAAACTAAAATAATGTTTTCAAACATATGCCACTAGGTGCTTTTAAAAATGCTTGACAAAGAAAAATGATAATAGACCATAAGAGCTTCATAAAAGTTTAATTTTAATAAAGCAATTTTAGCAACCTTGTACTAATACTTAAAGTGATTTTGCAAATGCAATAATCATCCTTAGGTATTTTTTCTACAGCTGACATCAATAGGGGATTGTGTTTGATGTGTCAGCACATCATCTTACTGCACCATTTCCTACTTTCCCTCATCATTGTGTTAGGTGTGAAAGCGTGCACAACATTGTGTTGTGTCCTACCTCAGCTGCCTTGTCTACTGTGATACCATGGTACATCTCATGTTTGGTGTGAGGTGTGCTGTATTGCTGATAACCATCTCCTTTTATACCACCAATCTACAAAATTTATAAAAAAATAAAAGTTGCAAAAATAAAGTGATAATACAGGATAACTACATACATGCACCATGGGGGTATAGCAAGAACACGATAAAATGGCCAAGATATAATATCAACATATTACATAATCAACAATACATAATGTAAGTAGTAAGAATTAAAGTAAACTGATGCTGTTCTCCTCCAGTTAATTATTCAAATTAGAATGATAGCAGTAACTTCATATTTGGCTTTTGATCCTTTACTCACATACTATATAAAACCTAAAGCAACAAGTAAAAGAAGCATTAGATCAGCCTATTTAAATGTTTCTTTATCCTTGGTGACATGCCTGCATTGAGTATAAATGTTCTAGAGAAACATATTCATTTTTTAAAATCACTTAACACATCTTAATATAATTAACGAAATATAAAAAACAACCAAGCCATAAATCTTTGTCCAGTACACATATCATCACAGTAGGGTAACTGTGTGCCCTTGCAGAATCCATTCAATCAGAGGCAGTGTTGTTAATGTACTTCCACCTTCTTTATTACATTTCTTGCTCTCATTTGTTTTTAAACTATTAAAAGGCTACCTGATATGTGCTTCTTTGATGTCTATATCTGAATTTTAAAAAATCCATTTATTGCTTTATGGATCAGGTCAATACAAAACATAGGCAATAAACCCCACAACGATGACTGTGTAGGATCAGAATGCAGTCAGCTGGATGCTCTGTGTACCTAGAAGTTGATGACTATTTGCAGTGCAATAAACACAAACTCTCCATAAATCAACAATTACTCTCATAGCTGAGCTATGACAGACTAAAGCAGAGCAAAAGGTTACAAATCCCATAAAAATCCAGCAAATGGAAAAAATCTGGTATAATTAGTTGGGAGAAGCAAACAGGAGGTTTGGGTGATGCTGATATTAAAATGGATAACTTTTTTGGAGCTTTTGACATCTTGTCATGTAAACACATCGGTGACCGTTCATCATTTTTCCATTTTGTGGTTTTATGTAATCTTTCCCCTTTCTCCCTGAACCAGACACATGTCAGCACCCTGTGACATCATACATTGTGAAGTAGTCTGTGTTGGTTACAGATCAAACTTTGAACCACAACCCTTCGTAATACATTTATCAGTATACTTACCAAAATTTTTTTTGAGGGGAAAAAAGGAAACTGTCCGCTGGGTTTGAATTAAAATAGGGCTTACAGTAGCACAAGAACCAATTATTTTAACTGAGCTTTTGAATGCAGTACAATCTAGTCACTGGCTGAAAGTACTGATTTCCCAAGAGACAAAGTTCCAAAAGACCAATAAAATGTCACAGGTTTGAATAAAAAGCAATACTGCTTACATGCAAATCTTATAAAACCTTTTTCAAATTAAAGTTCAGCTTTTTTTCACATAAAGTCTCCATTTATACAGGACAAACAAAATAATTGATACTCTTCTATACTGTCTTTTCCTCTCACCTAGCAATTTCAAACTTTCCCCAAGGGGCCTTGGTGCACTAGAGAGCATGCATCACTGCCTAACAAAATACATACACAATAAGCCAATTAGAACTGATTTTGGTCTTTATAAGCTTTTTCTGCTGGGGTGGGAAAATCTAAGCAATATAATGGGCTTATTTGCCACAACTTTTAATGCTTTTCCATTAAATCCAGGCTAAGTCAGAATTTGTTAACAGTGACAGAAAACAGCTGATGTAAAGAGTAAGATTGTGCCAGAAAATGTAGTTAAAATTTCCATCCCTACAAAAACAGGGGCACATAATGAAGACATTTTAAAGGTTAAAATTGCAAAATGATATGACAATTTGATGACAGATAACAATGCCTCCAAGTGGTAACTTGAAAAATGCATTATTTTTTTTTTTATCAAATTCTATCTGTTTTATATTTACTGTATGTCCTACCAATTGTGAGAAATTTTATTTGTGGCAACTTGGGTCTTTTCTTCTTGTACATGTATATTCTCTTTTATCAGTCAATGAATAAAAAAACTGTACTTTAGTTAAAAATGCACTAGCATTTACCACATTAACTATCATTTGGAATGTACAGAGCTACTCATCCATGTTAATCAATTGATGGAGAGCTATGTATCAATGTTGTCTCATTTTTGCACCAACCCAATAATATAAGTAACTTGAATTGGTTGGATGTCAAAATGAGGCTCACATCTGGATGAGAATGGGAGTTTCATTTCCATACCCAGCCAGCTTCCATGTTGGCACAAAACAAAATTGTTGTTATAATAAGACAAATCCATCCCCTTTCACATGAAAGCACCCCCATGTAATGCAACACATGGGAATATTTTGACAAATTTTCAAAGATGATATACCCATTGTTACCCAGTATCATGGACTTGCAGATATATATGATACCTACATTGGCCAGTTCTTTTAGCCAGCCACATTGTTCATCTGTAAGAAAGCCATCCACCACAACTCTCTTCTTCCCCTTCAGCTCCTTGGGACCAGCAAAAACTTGAAAACCATGTGCCCTCTCAAACTCCTCTAAATCATGCTTCTTTTTGGCCAAAATATCCAGCTCATCTGCTGAGTCTCCAAGAAAAAGATCATCAAACTCGTCATCCTAAAATACAAATAAGAAAGAGTTCATAGGGATGATATCACCAACATTTTTATTTGTACATCATAATCATATACATGGCTTTGTTTTGGTAAAAGAACAAGAATTTCAATGAACTGTAAACTTACAGGGAAACTTGCACATTTTCTAGTTTTGTATGAAATCACACAGTGCCAACAGCCTCATATTTAGGCTCTCTCTATTTTCATTAGGGGGAGCAAAATCATGACTGTTGGATTATTTAAGTTAAAGAGAGAACAAGATGCTAAAGAACAGACCCCCCAGCTGTCAAACATTCTGTAGCAAAATGACACTGCAGGCGAAACAACAGGCACCTAGTGAGTACTTCCCTGCATCAGAAGTGGGGGGAAATTGTTAACACAGGGATTTTAAACAAACACACAGGGGACACTTGTACAATTACAATAAATGCTTGATAAAAAGCACATCTCTGAAAAGTGCAAAAAAAGTGTAAATAGATGTCTGAAATGCACATTTGATAAAAATGATCTAAATACCAATTGCCTCTGAAAAAAACATGACACAAGTATTAGTCTGATACATTAAGCACTATACATGCACCAAAATTACAAACTGCTGCATTAGCATCCATTAGCTTGGTATGTTTTTATTCCCAGTAGATAATAATCCCCTGACTATATTTTAGGAACATGTACTCAGAAGTCTAGATTTTATAATAAGCAACAGTCTGTAAAAGCCTTCTAAAGAGATAAAAAATCTGATGAGAACTGTACCCAAATAACCCCACTGTCTAGTCAAGACCTTACACTAACTTGGTCAACTTAATCACGGAAAAAATCCCTGTGAAAAAACTGAACATACCATAAATGGATAATGTAAAAAATTGTATGCCACACATGTACACATGTACATAAATCTATTAAAAAAACAAACTTTTATGGATGGCATTTTGCTGGAAACAACTATCTGTGGGACATGCTGGCTTAAACATGGGTGTGGCCATTAAAACCTCACTATGGTCAACCCCCTGTCCTATTCACAATTCCCACACCATATGCTTGTCACTTTAAGCATACCAGAAGTATTCTTCTAAAACCAATGGGCAGACATTAATGTAAAGTGACAGGGTGCTATAATTCTTCCTTTTCCTATCACATAACACCTTCCACAGGACTCAAGTAGTATAGGTTATCAGAAAACACTGGTTAAAAGGAAAAAAACATTAGTCACCACAAATTCCATACATCTATAAGTAACATAGTCCAGTCCACTGTACAGATACCATCCATCATGTCTTGATAGGAATTTGGGAGACATTTTTAAAAACCTTGTTTGCTGGTCTGTCTGTTAAACATTCTTCTTTGTCACCTAACAAAAGTTGTTTTTTTTTTCTCACAGAAATAGACATATAACTGATTGGAGAGTCTGCACCAACTGACAACCTGTTTGAAAAACAAGGTGTAAGTCAGAATAATGTTTATGATAGGTTATCAATAAGGGAGAAATCTGAATTACTCAGAGATCAATAATGGCCAAAATGGTCGGATACCTAACAGCATTAAAAAGATAAAAAATTCTGACAAGGCCTTTCAATCTGCTGAAAATATTGATTTTGTTGATATTTTCATGATCCTACATTTACAAAATACCACCCTTGTCATGACACCTCAGCCACATGCCTGCCCCAGTGTATAACTACTAGCTTTATACACTGTATGCACATTCACTCTAATCCAGAAGCTGCAATAAATTTTCTTGTCACCATTTCTCGATACAAAGTACCAAGAAAAAAACACTCACTATTAATTGCTCTTGCATTACAATCATCACAAAGCTTTAAGAAAGAAAAGAAAAACAATCATCTGTTTTGCCCTAACATGTTCTTGTTACTAGCCTTTATTAACCCATGCAAAAAAAGAACAAATAATGCAGGTTTATTTGGCTTTGAAATCCCTTCTAATTGAGTTTGTGTGAACATCCGCCCTTATCTTATCTTTCCATGTTTTCTTGTCAGTGGGGCTTAGTTGCAGGTGATAATACAAGCTTGAGTATTTACCTGTGCCTTAACTAGTCATTAGTTTACCTAAGAACAGCCCAAGTTAAGTCCATGACAAGACAGTGAAGAGGAATGTTATTGACACTACCACCCCTACACTGGAGAGGTTTGGAAAAGGGCGCTGGTTGCCAATGTTTATGTAAAGCACTCTAAATAAAATCAAATCTATGTCCTATTGCTGATTTGAAACCTGGTTAACATGTCATTGAGATATTTCTCCAACTAAAAACTATATCTTCTCCCTTTTCTCGATATTAAAATATCAATCCATTTTTTTTCAAGCATTAAAACCTTCAAAACCCAAGTCATTATTATTGTCTCACTGTTTAGAGGATCACTATATTGGGCTGTTTGAGTGAGGATGATTTCTTTGGCTTAAAATTTTGATATGTTTTTAATATAAGGTAAATGTAATAATTGTATCAAACTGTGAATTTAAATTCTCTAGATTTATCATTTCAGTTTATTCTAGAAGAATATGGTAACATTAAGGAACTATCCACCAGGAAATTCCATGTTGATGAAGGTGTTGACACATGAAGAGTTGCCCCACCACATGCCATTTCTCCCTGCCTCATTAGGCTACTGACTTGAACAGATTCAAGATTATTATGGAGAATGTCATAACTGTTAATGGATATTAATGGGGTATAATTGGGTGACTTATACAATTAGTTTCCCAACTGCTCCACACACAAATCTGATGGCCTAAGTGATTATTTCAATGGAATTGACACATGATGTGGAATAATAAATCTCATCCTAATATTTGCAATGACACGAGGAACAATTGGATATATATATATCATTAATTCAACTTGATCATTTTTCGCTTAGCTAATGATTTTCTGCTGTTTCATATCATAATCTATTAAAAAGATCATTCTGATATTTATGTAATCTGCAACTTTAAATTATGTTCAAATGGTTTTTAAATCATAAATGTCTCAATAGTAAAAAATTAAAGATATTAAAATTTAGCTTTTGGCAGTATGAGCATAACAAAACACAAAATGGACTAAAATATATGTCATAATATATGAGGGGGGGGGGGGAGAAAAAGAAAAGAAACCATATATCAGAAGGGTATTTGTCAGGTGTTCCTCTGTGTTGGTATTCACCCTGAAGCCCTCCCAGTGCACCTGTATCTTTTCAGTTTAATTTTAATTCAAAATCTTTGATCTGTTACAGCGATGTGTTGGAGTGTCTCTTTGAAGTGGATTCTTTTTTAAATGGCTTAATAGCTGTGTGGTCAAGGATAACAATGCTTGCTTTTGAAGTACTCTTATAAAAACCTATAATTATACTTGTCAAGGTGGCAGTCCCTTCAAGTCTTCACTATGACAGGTAAGGGATCAGTTACTAGCCTCCAGAGCTGCAGACTACACAATGGTGGACTATGGAGAGAGGTGTATTCACGGGCTTTAGAGACCTGCTGTGTTTTCATCTTCCCTTGCCTTCTGTCAGTGATCAGAGAAAGTGGCTGGTTGCATCTTAATCTGGGAACTATTTTGATAATTATTGTCATAGTAAAATGAAGTTATCATGAGGACAGCAATACCATGCACCATTCTACTGTTCCAGGCTAAGCCAAGAACTATTTCATTGCGAAAATCTGAAAAATATTAATTTTGTAAATCACAAAAATGGCTACAATAGTTCTTATTTTTTAACAATTGTCATTTTGCTTACAAATACGACAATTATTGCTTACTCATGACTAAAATATCAGTCATAACCCATTATTTTTTATCAAATAAAAAAGACGGTAAAACTTCCTTTTATAAATGGATTTTTTTTTCATAAAAAAACCACAGTTCTGATAACAGAAGGATAATTATCCATGGCAATCTTTCACAACAAAGCAATTCTCATCTTCACTCACCTGACAGACAGGTGGTCACGCGAAGAGGCTATCAAAGGAGAATCCAAACAGAAGTTCTCTGACCCTTTACTACCTCCGTCATTTGAAGTAGAGACATCATAAAATATACATGAAATGCAGGTGTAATTACATCTACACTCAATCAATTCTGGACCATGTTAGATATTCCACAGCGTATAGTACTGAAGATGTGAAACAGAAATACAATTTATTGTTCGAAATAGCTCGGTTATGCCAGGATCAGTTTATGTTAACCGTTACTGAATTGGAAGATAGGAGTCGTGAGCTGACCATGCCTGAGCGTTTGTTTTTTGGTTTTAACATATATATATATATTTAAAGTAACTGAATAAACTGATAATTACCATGGCATAAGGTGGGTTCTGCAAAAAACACCAATTTAATCTGCATGATTACAGCAAGGAATGTGCATGCCTTATGCAATTCTTAAACATATCTATCATTTTAACCTCCTATTTTCAGAATAAAATTCATCTTTAATAACTGTTATAGACAAACAGTGGCAAGCTTTAATTTATATACTGTACAGCAAAATTCCTTTAAACATGGAAATGTTTCTATAAACTCAAGTCACTTGTTTGATTTATCACAAATGTCAAAATATCAAAATATGCATTAATATAATGGGATAAAAACTGGCATTTAACCTACTAACCTAGGCTTTATGAATAATTTTAGTACTCTGTTATTCAAGACTTTACACATGACTAAAATGCAAACGCCCCAACTAATTTCCAATCCTGCATCATGCATTGTGACCAAGTTGTAAGTTTATATACCACATTATTTCCAGCATCCGATAATGGTACCAGTAGATAATGTGCTGCTTCACAGTGCTGTAAAGACAAGACAGGTTCACTCTTCTGACATTACACCTTATTTCAATGAGAGACATGTGAAATCTGAGTAACCATACCATGTTCCTACAGATTACTGAAAATCTAATGGTGATCAATCAAAATATAATAGCCTATCTCATCAATGGTGGGGTAGACCTGGTGCACAGGAGCCTGCATAATGTTACCTTTGTATAATAAACATGGCCTATCATCCACAATA